GGTGCCAAGGTGCTCTGATATGTCAGTAAGGAAGGTTCGGTGTCCCAAACAACCTGAGGAGGAAAAGACACCTTGGCACTCCTGCCTCCTGCAGCGCAATGGAAATCTTTGCATGAGTTTTGCCATCCTGAAAAAAGTGCCGTATGAGCTCTGAATAATTCTTGAGTCCAGCCATAACGCTGAAGCTTGTTCCTTGATCCCTTGATGACTGAGTAAGGTTCACAGCCGGGTCACGAAACTTTCTACAGATTAAAAAAATCTAAATCAGATAAAACTGTCATTATCCATTTATCCCATTTTCATTTGAGCTAAAGAAAACAGAAATTTTAGAAAATGAGCCATTATCCGTTTTTTCATTTTGCTTTTAAGAGACAAATATTTAGAGAAAAATTTGTTTTCTCATTTTTGGTTTTATTCTGAAAATCTCAAGCAGCCAGCAAATGTTCAATCACCTATTTTCTTACCTTTGCATGACAGGAACTCCTATTATTCACCCAAACCTCTCACATGTTCATCTCTGGGTAACAAACATAGTTTGAATTATTAGTGACTTTTTAAAAACACAACACAACACTCTTACTCTCGACAGTAAAACTCACTTTATCACTCGTCTCATCCTGCCTGATGTGCAACAGGTCACTGGGAGGTCAGTGGGTCACAGAACTACACCAAAGTTAACTTTTGATGTGGAAACCCACCAAATTTTAAATGAAAGCATAAAATCTTAATCCTAAAAACAGAAACCTGAGATTTCCAACAAAGTCATGCAGAAACCACATCAATGTCTCTGTGACCAACATACTCTGCATTTCAGTCACATCTCTGTGTGGGTTTAAGAAAAACCTCTGCGCTGAAACCCCTCTTTGTGAACAGTTGGCCACTGCTGGAGCCTCCTCACTCTCCACATGTTGTCCACCACAACACTCAGCTCCCCTCATCCTACAGAAGGACTGGTGGGCTTCATTAGCAGCTGATGAGTCGTGGAGCTGCAACAGGCCGAACTAGAACAGAGGCTAATTAGCAAACAGTTGCCAGCTGGGACGTCAAACCTTTGTGCTCTTGATGTGTGCTGTCTGTCTGGGAAGAGAGAGACAGAGCAGAGAGAGGGAGAGAGAGAGCAGAGAGGAGATCTCTGGAGAGGCTGTGATCATATTCAGACTCAACTCTGACTGCTGCAGGTCTCTGATCTGAGGAAACTTCAGTCAGATGAGCAGAACAAGAATATAAGTGTGCTTTAAAGAGAGATTTTGGGACAACAGAAATGCAAATACAAATAGATTTTTCTGGAACCTGAGTAAAGAGCTTTTTTCCTATTCAGGTCTCTGCTGCCAATAAACTTAGTGGTAAGCCGATTGAATGAACACCGCATGAGAAGAAACTTGTTGAAGGAGCATGGAAAGTTAAGAGAAGGTTGAGCAAACCTACTCAATTACACAAACTTGTCATGCTGGTGTGTTGTGACGAAACAATTTACACCTTCCTAGTATTCATTTAACCAGTCTGTCAGGACAGTCTGGCCAGATTCCTTATTCCTCAGTCTCTGTGGATCTAAATGGCATAATCCCAGATCTGCAGCCGCCTGCAACATCTATCCAACAACTGACTTGATGCATTTGAGCCCAAGCAACAACAGGGATAATGCAAGTGTGTTTTTGCACATGGACCTCTTTTTTTATAAAAACACTGCAAATAATTTCAAAAGCTCTGTGCCCAAATTTCCCCATAGTTTATGTTTGCACTTGCTCCTCAGAGTGCGAAATCATCTTCTCTTTTGTCAGCACTGAAATCATTCTACGTCTTTGGCCTCAGATGTTTTTATTCATCTCATTCCTGTGGCTAAAATTTGCACTTTTGTCACATGATATATCCTCATCAGTCTCCCAGACTTGCTTGTAATGAGTTATCCAGAATATTTCCCTCTGTTTTTGCCCATTAACTCACTCTGATTTCTTGCAAGAACTTCACAAGGAGGCGGTCAGGGTGGAAACTTCAGCTGTCGATATTCACACATGCAACTCACCACAAATGTGCATGTGTGAAGACAGTTTTAGAGTCTCAGACTGGTATGATAGAGAAGGACCTTACTGCGGACATCGCAGTAGGACATCTGTTGGTATATGTGCAGTTTGAAGTTGGACCTTAGCTGTTATACAGAGTTAAGCGATCTCACTTACCAAAGTTGCTCTTCATCATGCCTTATTCAAAAACTTATGCTTAAAAAAGATAAAAGGAGTTTTTATTTGTATGTATGTATTAGGTGGTCTCAGTTATGAATTCAAAGTTCACTGTGAAAAACAGGAAATGAAAACATCTGAATGGTTTTAAAACACAAACCACAGAAAGGGTCAGAGGAAAGTGATTCATATTATGTTCAATGAGACTGACAGGAAATATGATCTGTTTACTGGAAAAATACACTTTCTTGTGTTTTTGGTGAACTTTCTGGATCCACCACAAATATTTCTAAGATAAAGTCCTACATGGTTTATGTATGAGAGGCATGAAAGCATTTTTGTAAGTTAGAAAAATCTGATGCACAACAAGGTGAAACAAACTGTTAATTTTAAAGCCTCAGTGAGGAACTTTCTGTTTGTGTTGATTTTGGCGCCCCCTGTTGCCCCCTGTTAAAATCTCATCCTGATCTTATTAACACTCAAACATTTCACCCACTGTGGATATTTGAGTGCAGTCTTTACTGCCTTAAAAAACTCACAAAGTCTGTCTCATTTCACACATTTCATCTGTTTTACATAGACCAGAGCAGACCTTGTCTCCAGCAGCTTTGGTTTTCCTTCATTCATATTGCAGCCCTTTAAAAAATGGAGGAGCAGCTCATAAAGTAAAGACCTTAATGAGTGTGCCAGCCTCAGTAAGAACACTCATTTTCTTGTTATTCATTGTTAATCTTCTCCGTCTGACTTGCTCCCTCTGTCCCTGCACAGAGCTTTGAGTGTGTTGTGTCTGGAGCCCTGAGCTTGGAGATGCTCCACTCTGACGCTCCTCTGAGCCTCTGGGGCTGGATGTTAGGAGAGGAAAAGGGAGGAGGAGGAGGAGGAAGGAAACGAGGTGAGAAAAGATATCAAACCAGATAAGAACAGAGGTTTAGGTAAAGGAGGCAAAACAAGAACAAAGAGAAAGAGAAAGGAGGAAGAGAGGGAGGAGAAATTAAAGTCAGAGGGAAGACAGGATAGAAGAAAAAAGATGTAAATGAGGGCTGAATGAGAAGATACGAGGAGCTGCCTGAATTAAAATGAGGAAGTGGGGCACCGTATGATAACATGCTATAAGTATAGGTTTCGTAAACGATTGAATACCTCGTCTTCAAGCAAATCAGTACAACACTATTGAGCTGCTCCTGTAGCTGCTGTTCTTTATAGCTGATCATCAGCTGTCTGCTCTTCTAATATCACCCTACAAGTCATTACAGCTACTTAGATTATCCATAGCCCATAATAACAACTGTTTTCTCATCAAGTTACACCTTCATGACTTACTTTGTGTACATTTACAAATCTAATCTTGCACATGTACAAGATTGTGCTCTATTCTAGTGAATGTACAATTTTGTTTGCTCAAAATTTCAGTCAATTTGTCACAAATTTAAGATCTTGATGTCATGGGATTTTAATCTTGTTCCTTTACAACTTTTTCCTCCATGGCTTCATTTTGTAAGTGTGCAACTTGTATCTTGTAAAATCTCATCACATTGTGGCTTAAATCTCATAATTTATTCTTTTTTTTTTTTTTTTTAATATAGATTTACTACTTCAGTCTTCAGAAATTTCCAAGCGTTTCCCAATAAATCATGATTATTTTTAAATAATTTTTAGGCCCTTATTCATAATTTAATGACTTAAATCATGCAAATTATTGATTTTCTCACAAACTTTTTATTTTAAGTTTATAATGACTTGATTTTTATCAATTTAAAACTTTTACTTATTCAATGTTGTTTGTTTATACGTTCATTTTTGTGAAATTTTATCCAAAATCCTTCAAATTTTGAACTTTTTTCCTTGTAATGACATGACTTCATTCTTGCTGAATCAGAGCCAACTGGCTACACATATACATACGTATATATATAATAGCCTATCTAAAGGCTGATAGTGGTACCCTTAGCAGAGCCTAACCATTTAGTTGTATTTTCTTATTTTACGCTGTTATCTTTACTTCTGCTTTAGAAAAATCAAAAAATTAGGCCTGTTGGACATAAAAACTTCACCCCAGCTTCAGTTCTGTTTATTTTTGATCATCTGTGTGGGTCCATCTCCATTTATAATTGGACACTTAACTATACATGAACATACTGTGTTCTCAGGCTTCCTGTCTGCGCTTGTGTGTGAGTATATATGTGCACATGTGCTCATTGACATGCATTCCCCTTGTAAGTGTTTTACTCAGTCTGATCCTAAAGAGGATTTGGTAAACAGCACCCCTCTCGACAATTAGCTAACATGTCGATGTCAGCATGGTCAGTATAATCCAGCTCTTAATGTAATGTAATAACCCCCCATCCCCTTATCCTCAGCTCTTCTTCAGCAGATACTCCAACACAACAACCTGACAGGATGCTGCATCAGCTTAGATTGAAGAGAAACATTACCAGCAACGAGTGAATGAATTTCCTCTATGTGTAAGAGGACAATTTTCTGACAATGTTAGGCATCACATCAGAGGGGGCCATTCTCCTTGTAATCACTTGTATTCTTTATCGGGATCTGTGTCTTAGCATTTCAAACAAATTAATTCAGTAACACACCACCTGAAAACACAGTGACTTACTTTGGGACACATCATAAGTGTCTTTGCAAAAAGTTTATCAGTAAGTGTGTAGTCATCTTCTTAACAGCCAAAGTAAAACTAATGACAACCACCCTCTTTTCCCTTCCAAAACATCCTCTCCTCACATCGACATAAATCACAGCGGCACACTTCCCAACATCCTGGCCTCCCCCTGGTCCAGCCTGATGCAGATAGCATCAGGGCCGAGATGGCGGTTAATGATGCACAGCTCGCCAGGGAGACTGAGGCGAGGCTGCCATTTCAGCCAGGGGGACAGAACCGTCTGTACTGCTAATGCTTCCAAGACAGCTGGAGACACAAACGCAGCTGAACTGAAGGGCTGTCCAGACCAGCTGTCCCTGTAGATGTTCAGCCACGATGGTCAGAGTGTCCTCCATGGTCCAGAAAAGTAAAATAAAGCTGTATTCACATATGCGCCCACACTGCAGAAAGTTTTTTTCAAGGGGTTCATGTGTAAATGTAAACTTTCATCCAGACGGATTCACCCAACATATTCGCTGCTCGCCATCATCAGGATGTTGGAGTGCATGGGTGGATGTGCAAATGTGCAGTACAGCTGCTGTCATTAATAGCATGAATACACCCAATTACAAGGAGCACTGATATTAACTGACCAATTATGCTGATCTGTACTCCAGCACATACTGTATATAGTGTTATATTGACCTCACAACTGTGTAAAAAGTAACACCCACAAAATTTGTCTAATTTTGTATCACTGAAAAAGTAGACATGAATCAAGCATAGAAAACTCAGTTTAACTCATAGACTGTATAAAACATGGATGTAGCCTTGATGACGTCACTCATCTCTTTCTGAAGCAGTGTTTGGAAGCCCACCAGCAGTAGTTGCCTTATTGGAAAGCTGATTTGTGAAACTTGTGTCCTTAAAATCTTTAAACCAAAGGCATGGCAAAAATTTCACTCCCCACACAATGTTGCATCATAAGATAACTGACCTGTTCAGACCAAAACTGCTTTTTCAACCAGGGTGTAAACATGTTAAGTTTTGCTCTAAAAATGGGCTTTTTAAATGTGTTCTGCCCACTGAGCATTTTTTGGTCTAAAGGAAGTCTAATAGACGTCTAAATGTTACTTACATGATCTGGTCTAGAATCCGGCTACCACAGGTCTAAAAATGAAAGTTTTTTTTAGACATCTAAATATAGACCAAGTTTAGACCAAGTCTAAATCTGGGCTCTATCTATACTACACTGTATATTGCTCAACAGCTATCATAATCATTTTGGTGAAGTACTTTGAGATCAGTTACGGGCAAAATCCACAGGATTCGGAATGGCTCTGCTCCGGTGCGGCAAGGCAGGTGGATCAAATACGAAAGCATTATAATCAATCCATATAGAATCCGTCTGGCCTCCAGCTCCACTGTGGATCGGCTCTGGCGACCAGTTCAGATACGCAAGGCTTCTATTTTTGCCAGACGCCGGAGCACAGCACATCAATTCAGTGCAGTGCAGCACGAGCAGCAGCGGAAGTTGTACATGGTTACAAAGTAAAATATCTGGTTAATTTTCAAAATGAAATAAAGTCGATACATTGAACTGTTCTTAACTTGAAAATAGGAGAGGCCAGGGTGGTGGGATGTGGGTGTTTAGATACACCGCCGTTTATATACACCGACCAGCGGATCGCATTCTATGACTCCCAGGGAAGCTTGTGAGATCTCATTCCGTCTCTCAAGAAATATCAGTAATCTCGCGAGTGCTTCTCCTCCAATGGCGGCAGCAGATCAGTTACGGTAGGCGCTGTATGCTTGTGGATTTGATCTGCCTACCGGTCCAGAGCGTTCTGGATCAGTGGGATTCCCTGGTTATGTAACTCACAGTTGCTTTTTGAAATAAATAGTTATCGAGTAATAGGTTAAAGTGCAACATCTAAATTCCGTCTAAAAAATATACAGAATCTAGACAGTTTAAATAAGGTCTTTATAACTAGACATCTAATAGCTGTCTATTGCTCACTGGCTGCAGCCAGATTCACTGGTGGTTTTTGGCATCCCTGCCTCAGCTTCACCGAGGATTGTTGCATAGTTAAACTCCAGAAAATAATGCTGTATGAGGGGGGATCTTTGCAGGGGAAGCTGAGAGCTAAAGAGCTTGGCCCTGATCAACTGGACATTAAAACCAATCATCACCATTGTGATGTTTGTTTTTGCACCATATGGGATAAACTTTGGATCTTTTTAAGCCACCATCACTTCTGGGTAGGCTGAGTACAAATGTGAAAAAGGCTCAAGTGTGTGAAGTTGTTTGTGTGTGAAAAAGTAAGATGACAACAAATCTTCCTGGGCTCAAGTGGGTTTAATGATGGTGAGGAAAGATATCAAGGTGAACGGTGAATGTACAGGATATATAACACTGCCCCCTATACTCAACACATATTAACTTAACGTTTGAACTGGGAGTAGTTTTGATGAGGTTTGGCCGTGTAAAATTAAAAGCATGCAGCAAAGTGTGCAGGAAGTCTCACCTGGAATCAAACTCACTGAAAACAGAGCTGAAAGAACCTGTGTGTGTGTGTGTGTGTGTGTGTGTGTGTGTGTGTGTGTGTGTGTGTGTGTGTGTGTGTGTGTGTGTGCGTGCGTGCGTGCGTGCGTGTGTGTGTGTGTGGACATGTTGCCTTGTTCTGTTCACGAGAGTCCTCCAAGGGCTAAGTGTCTTTTTCCACCTCCTATGTCTCCATGGTGAAAAAAATGAGGCTTCTTCCTTGAGGAATTATTGAGCAGCTTGTGTGTGTGTGTGTGTGTGTGTGTGTGTGTGTGTGTGTGTGTGTGTGTGTGTGTGTGTGTGTGTGTGTGTGTGTGTGTGTGTGTGTGTTTTGACAGGCGGCTCCAGGTGTCTCGAGCAGATCAGCGTTGTCAGGTAGTGCTGTACCTGTCTTGCTCCTGCTGTCTGACGCACACTGTTGTTTGTTTTACACATCTGTCTGCCGATCTGTGCGTCTGCTGCACACACAAACACAAAATGCTCACACTCACAAACAAACAAAAATGATTCGTTAGTGGGGAACAAACTCAGCTCAATTGTTTGGCCGGAGTAACGATTTTTCCTTGCTCGTTAGATTGTCCTCCTCAGGGGTGTCCGTTTCAGAGATGCCTCGCTGAAGTCCATGATTGTATTCAGCATGTGCTGGTGAATATCAGGGTGCATTTTCTTTCATAGTTTCTAAACCAAACCTGTGAGAGTGTTTCGCTGGTGGCCTTGGTTTACATGTCCCAGTGCTCTTATGAGAAAAAAAAAACTGAGGAAAAGCTGTTGAATAATTCAGCTTTATTTAAAAAGAATAAACTATGATCCTCTGTGAATATGGCCTAGTAATCCCCAAAGGTGCTTCTGCACTCTCCTTTTACACTTTTTCCTCCTCCCTTTCTTTAAAGCTCTCTCCACTTTTTAGGACTTTTCTGCAGTTTACTCTACATCTCTTTACTCTGGGTAATATCTACAAGGGATTTTCAAATTTTAGATTTCTCTTTTCTTCATGTCTGAGCTCTTTATTTGGATCAAATCCAATGAAAAGTGAAAGTTGATGCGCAGAGGTGTATTGGTGTTTTCAGCCAGACATGAAAGGTCACCTTTGGTCTTAAGACAAGATTTAAGGATCATTAAGAGGCTGGCCTCTCGCAGAGGACAAGGAATGAAAAACACATTTTATGTCAGCCGTAGTATCATCATCAAACATCAAAATGACAGATGAAGTTTTGTACAGGGCGTGCTGAGGAGAGCTTGAAAGAGATTATACCCTGTTTATTTTTGCTTGTCAGTACATTTCAGTCACTTCTGTCTGACTGGTCATATACCGTTGCTGTAATAGTCGTCTCTACAATTACAAAACGGCTCAAGACTTTGCCTAAACGTCAGTCTAAGCACAGACATATGATGGACTAAATCAGTGGTTCTCAAGTCCAGTCCTCGAGGCCCCCTGTCCTGCATGTTTTGGATGTTTCCCTGCTCCAACACACCTGATTCAAATGATCAGCTTGTTATTAAGTCATTACAGAGCTTGATCCCTGTCTGAGCAGCTCTGGGTTTGAGTTAATGTTGGTGAGAAAAATGTGGTCCTTGCTCAAGAGTGTTTATCATGGAGCGTGTGAAAAAGACTAGCAGATTATCACTTGATCTGACAGCTATCCCTGTCAGGGGCTGTAGACATTAAAAAATAGCCTTATTTTTGATTTTTTTTAAAAACCCAAATGGAGAAAGATGAGAAAAATTCAGGAAACACTGCTTGCATACTGTGATCTAGTGATACCATGTTGCCAGATGAGATGTTTCCTGTGAAATGTAAGTCCACTGTTCTACAAAAACAATATCTGGACCAGGGATGTTCAACAGCAACTAATTTAATGGCTGTTTAACCAGAAAAATAAAATTCTGACCGACAAACTAGTTTGAAAACAGTCAGGATTGAGCACAATGTGTTAAACACAGACAAACAACCCTGAGTCTGCTGGTAAATAATGTCAAAATGATTTCATTGAGTTTTCCTAATGTTAGCATGGTTAGCACCACCAGCCAGTGGTGTCTGATTCCCTGTGGCTGGTTATTTCAATTTCACCAGACACATCCTAAATACAACTTCATCTCAGACATGCTGTCTGTCTGTCTGTCTGTCTGTCTGTCTGTCATCTATGTGCTTGTTTGCATCCTGATAGTAGAGCATTAAGGCAGTAGCTGTTAACTGGAGCTCCAGCCCAAGACCTGCATGTTAGTGTCATGATCACATTGGTTTTTACACTAGATGGCATTATGGAGTCATGTTGTGTGTGTGGAGTCTCTCTTTCCTCTCACAGACGTTGGGCAGCTCCTAATCAGCACTGGCTCCTCATGTACCTTCACCTGATCAGCTAAACACCATCTGCTTTTGAGCTCTGCCTTGAAGACTGCTCATCGCCAGATGATTCCAGCTTGCAAAGCGGTATCTCTGCATGCCTCTAGTGAAGTTCTTGCAACTTTGATGAATATTTACTTGTTTTACCGTACCTGAGACTAATCCCTGCTCTCCTCCTTTTTCCTCCAGTGCCTCCGCCTGTGACCAGCGTTTGCAAAACCTCTATATCTTTATGTGGCACAAAAGAAAACAGATTCCATAAAAAGTCCAAATAATGATGATGGTGATGTAATGAATGATATTTGTACAATAGTCTGATTCACAATGAAGAGAAGATCGTGCAAACAGAACAGCTTACAGGAGGTTTGATAAATCTTCTTTTCTTCTTCTCCACTCTGTTGAGGACAGAGGGGACTCTTGACCGGGTGAGCAGGAATCCTGGGCCGAAAAGGGACTTTTCCAGCTCCAGGTGTGTCTGCAGTCATGAACTTAAACTCATCTTTGAACTTCTAACCCCCAATGATGAGCCCTGTAAGGGAGCAGAGGGAGAGTTACATCAAACATTAATGCTGATAGTAATGTGATGAGGATATAATGTAGAGCAGCAGGGGATGAACTGTGAGGAGTTTTAAGATACATTAAATCAAAAGGCGCCCTCTGCTGGTGCTTAGAAAGTACTCTTTCATTTCTCAAGAATATTAGAAGATTATTTTTCAAAAGTAAGAACAGAAACTTTCAGACTTATTGCTAAACCCCTAAAAAAGCAGGGTTTTTTTTACTTATATCTTTTAAAAGGTCAGAAATTGATCCTTTTTTCAAATAAAAGTCTGATCAACATTAATAATGAGCGTTCACGGTTTCTCTAAGTCAACACACTGTATCATAGACAACTTTTAAAGGACAGAACTTTCTACCACACAGACAGCTCTGACTTTGATACAAGTTGACATGTTGGCAACATATGAATGCAAAAATTACTTTCAAGTGTCTGCAGTCAGTCACCAACTCTGCACCCTGCACAGTTAACATTCAGTCTTAAACAATACTACAAGAAAAATATTTCACTGAATTTAGTTTGGTTCAGTCAAAGACCTGCAAATGACAAGGGCCATAATGTGTTTTGGTTATATGGGACCATGTATAAGGTATATGGTTTCACAATGCCTTAAAATCATCCTTTATAATCTGCTCCTAAAAAGCAAAAAGACAAGTATAGTGTATCCCTCATCACTTAGCACTGAAACAATGAACCCTTTTCCATTTTCAGAGGTTTGTCACTACTTTAAATAAAGACTCAAGTTTACAGTCTTACCATGCACATAAAAAAAAATCTGTGGCATATGATTTCAGTGACCAAACTTAAATGATAAACAGTCTCAATTTCAATTCATACATGGTGTGATGCCCTAAAGGAATAAAACTACTAAGACTTACACCACAGATTATGAGAAGCTTATTAAAGAACGTATTGGGAGTGAGACAAATATTTGTTGTGGTTTCTGTTTGTGTGGCCCTGCCCAGATTTTAAGTGTCAGGGTTAACACCCCAGTTTGTGTTCATGATGGGTTACACAATATAAATATGTGTGATACCAACCTGCCAATGCACATTTGAGATGTATCAGATCAGACAGGGAGCTCTTAAAAGATTTGCGACGAGGTGAGCTTCAATCTACTTTATTTCTCGATTTCCCTTATGATTTACCTTCATATCACTCTTAATTTTTCCCACATAGTTGAGTAAGGATTTAGAGTGAGGAGGAGGAAACAAACCTCCTCATTAAGGTGATTTTTTTTAATCTGTTTTATAATGGGAAAAAAAGACAAAACATAAACACGTGTGGACTGAACATATTTGTATTGTGGTTCTGTTTGATCCTTTACCACTAGATTGATGTGGGAAGCGGGACATACCTTCATGTGCTGATTGGAGAGTCTTTCTCAGGAGAGGTCAGGCTGAAGGAGGTGAAGGAGGCCAGGGGAAGAGAGCCTCTCGAACCTTTCTAATATGACCACATGGCTGCTCTGGGCTACAGCCTCATCACTGCCCTTGGTTAGACTGTATTATCATCGTTCTTCATCTTATTTGTTTGTTACTTGAATACATCACTGAAATCATGCTCATTAAACTGCATTTATATCATTGTAATGTGCCATACAACTCATATTTGCTTTTATCTTTTGACATATTGTGCAAAGAATTGAGTCATGTGAGTGTCTGACCGAATGGTCCATATTCCAATCCTAATATAACAATAAAACACTAAACAGGTTTTAAAAAAATGCATGCACCAGTTTATTGTCAGTCAGTGTTTGACACAAAGGTCAAAGATACAAGATCACTGAACTGCATGGTCACAAGCCATGGAGCTGAATGTTTCAAGGCCTTAGGTGATAATACAGAGCACAGGAGATGTTGCAATGTATAAATAACAATTTATGATCTTTATGACTGTAAGATTTCTCATATAGATCTGTCTGTATTTCTTATTTTACCTACATTGCTAAGCTGTACATAAAGATATCAAAGTTTAAAAAGAATGATTATTTTAGACTTTATATTTCTTAAAATTAACAATGCAGAAATCTGAGTCATACTGTGACAATGCCGTTACTTACAGTCCTGCTGAAGAGAGGAAATAATGAGGGTTAGCTGAACAGAGATGTAGAGAGAGGTGTCTGGAAATGTTTTGATCTAAAAGATCATTTTCACCAGAGATGTAGTTATTTAACTCTTACATGATATTCAGCTCAAATTTGACGTGTTTTGAACTTTGCTAGTAAGATGTCACTGCTGTAATCTGGGGTTTGATGACTTTTCCAAAGCTGTGCAAAATACACACAATATTATAAGATATGTGCCACAAACTTTTGTGCGTTGGGGCTGTTCAACGTCAAATTTGACCCATATCTATGAAATCAGATTTAGGATCCTCCAATGTAAGTCAAATCAAAGGGAATGGTTTTTAGGGAGTCTTCAAGCTGCCAACCTTTACATGTCGTATCTATGTGTATTTACTCTGTGACAGTTTAAAGGGGACCTGGACACTGTCACAAGATCTGCCTGCATAATCAACACATATGCTCAGGTACCTGTGGGTACTAACACCTGCTGGTCCCTGAAGAGTGGCAGGGGGATCTTGAAACTGTGAAAGACTAAAACTGCATAAGAATAATCTCATATGGTGGAACTGCCACAGATTAATCTAAAAAACATTAGAATCCATTAATTATTGAGTTCACAGAGATCAGATCAGGGCTCATTCAAAAAGATAAGGGGCACAGTGTTGAAAAACACCTGCTGTTTTACTGAATGAGGCACCTGCAGACAGACTTAATGTGCAAGAGTCCGTTTATCTAATCTTTAGTGCAGGCAGTGATCGATGTAAATGCATGTCCCTTTTTATGATAGGTTTCCTGTCACAGCTCTGGGTTGAAAGACTAGTTTAGATTAAACACATTAGGAGTCTTCTACTTTAAGAGTAAAGATTGAGTTAATAATTAAAGATGGTAGTTTTGAGGCTTTTTAATGACACAGCAGTGAAGAAAATGTTTAAAGGTGGAAATAGTTCTATATGTTCATGTAATAAACCCCAAAAGTTCCAGGGTGTGTTTGCTACAGTTTTAATGAACCATATTTAAATCAATGCAGCTGTTATGCTGACATGTCTAATAAAATAAGACATGGTATTTTGTGGTAGTACATGTTTTTCTTGATGAAATAAAAGGAGGTGTAAAACTTATAGATACTCTGTCAGATAAGATGTTTTCACTTCAAGAGGATCATTTGTTCAAACTTTGAATAACTGACTTGTTATGTGGTCCAAATTCATAAAGACTGTACGGCTTCTTTACTTCCCTGAGTCTTTCATTTCTGCTTGTTTTGATGAGGAATAACTCAACTCAACTGTTGGAGTCATACCAGAGGTATTTAGGGACTTCAGTATCTGTATTAGTCTGTTTTCCTTTTCCTCCCTCCAAGTACTTTAGACAGAAAGTATTTTACTGTCAAAATACACATCAAAGATATCACCACGATCAAAAACAACAACAGTGCAATGACATCAAGAGAGTGGTACTGAATCCAGGACAGCTTGTAGGACTGGGTCTTTAAGTGAGCCGCTCCCTTGTGTCTCATGACAAACTCAATCCAGAACATAGCTCGGTCCAGAGGTTTCATGGGCTGGTCTCTGTGCAGTCTGGAGAGCTCCTGCATGTTCTCCCTATAGGACGGCTCATGAAGAACTTCCTTCAGAGCATCCAGGAAGGTGTCTGTGTCGAGTGTGCCGATGTCTAGAACTTTGGCTACACCCCTCACTTTCATCCTGAAGAGGTTATCATCCTGGTCAAACATCAGAGGAAGACCCACAATAGGTACTCCATGGTAGATGGCCTCCTGGAGTCCGTTGGTGCCTCCGTGAGCCACAAACACTCTGGTCTTTGGGTGTCCTAAAAGGTCAGTTTGGGGCAGCCAGTCCAGCAGCAAGGTGTTGTTGCCCAGGGTGGATGGTCTTTTCCCAGTATGCCTCCAGACCACCTTCTGAGGTAACTGAGCAAAAGCAGCAGCCACGTGTTCAGCCATGTCATCAGGGAGTGTCCCCACCAAGGTCCCCAAGCTCATAACAATGACTCCATGTTCTGCAGAGCTCTGGACAAAGTCCTCCAGATCTTTAGGAAGTGGCTTTGGGGGTTTACACTGAAACCCACTCATATAGACAACATTAGGCATTGTGGGACGAGGGAACTCAAAGGTAAAGTCGGTCCTCATCAACCATATATCTGCTGCCAGAACCAGTTCATCATAGTGGACATCGGGACCAAAGTATTTGTGGATAAATGGAGCATAGTAGTGCTGTTTAAGAGTGATTTGGTGAACAAGCGTCATTAGACCAATATAAACATTTTTTACTCTTTGCCAAAAGTCCATCCTGTCAGTCAGTTGACTGCCTGGTATGGGAACATATGACAAAGGTGAAGGGGCAACTGTGTGGTGTCCTTCTTCCAAAATTGTCCATCGGACATTAAATACCAGAGGTAGACCCAACCGATGAGCAAGAAGAACCCCCCCTCCAAAGCAGGGGTCTGTCAGAACAAGATCATATTTGGCATCTTGGAAAAACTGCATCAGTTTGGCATCCTCAAATATCTCTTCTGTTTTATCAACCACAGCTTTGTGGGCTCCTTGTAGCAATTTGAGTAACTCATCTCCAGCTTTTAAAGATGCTGAAATTGAAGAGTGGAACTGACGCCGGAGCTGCAGCGTTGATGATATGAAATGAGTAAAGTACTTCTCATCAAATTCATGGGTACCACTCAGGTTGATTGACTCATAGAGGTTGGAGTCTTCATCCGTAAACATGCTGGTCTGCAGCCAGATCACAGTGATGTTGTGACCCCTTGAATGAAGCTCTCGGATGAGGACCTTCATGTTGACCCAGTGGCTGCCATCCACAGGGACAACAAGGACTTTTCCTCCGTTTGTATTTTGTGCAAAGAAGAGCAGTGCAGCCAGAGTCATCAGTCTGAACTTTATCATCTTAAGACCTGGAAACATGTAACCAAGGAGAAGGTCTAATGGTTACTTGAGTACCAAAATACAACGGGGAGATTTTACATGTGAGATTTAACATACCTTGAGATTTTTCCACTGGTTTAAAAACAGACTTCTCTTGAAGCTGATGCCTCTATGTGACCTTGAAAAACAAACCAGATCATCAGAAAATGGACTTTTTTTACATGCCAGTCACCACTGCCACCTCAGCGTTTGAATTTGCTGAAGAATCTAAAAGCACACTGACCAAGAGGAGTTCAGTTTTTCTATGTCACAAATTCACAGTTGACAGTTCTGATTGACAGCTGAAAGACAGGGAGATATTTTTTTTCTAATGAACTTTTGAAGTAATTTGTCCAAATCTTACCTCCACCTGAATCTGTAATTCTTTTCTGGAAACTAGCAACAGAACTATAGCACTCACACTATGTTTGTGTCATTTCTGTGCCTATCAGATTGTCATGATAAAAAAGATTCTGATAGTTGAAAGTCATAGCAGTAAAAATGTCCATGCCTCTGCTGTTATAAAGGACAGAAAGGAGTCCTAGTGAAAGTAGTGTTGCTCAGTGTAATTTGTGTGGTCAAACCAGCTCGTGGATTAAATAAGTACAACCCTGTTTTGAACTTTAATGCTTGATTTCATGCATGATTGAGATGATGATTTTAGCTGTGTAGGTAGAAATGCCTCCACTTCATAAAAGAGGGCTGAAATAACGTTAGTTCTCAAGTCAAATAAAAGTCCAATTAGTAGAAGTCAACTTTGTGATTAAAATGAATAGAGTCTGATTTTCTTTCATGATAAGGACTAGAAATAAACATGGAAACTTATTCTGATGAAGCTACACAGTATTTACTTATGCTCTGCCTGTATTGTTCTTAACTGTAACGATGATCTGTAGCCTAAAGAGTTAATTTCACCTGCAACAAACAGGAAAAACATGAAGGGCGACTGGACGGGGTTGAAGCCTTTCGCAATCATGACAGACAAATTATGACAATTAAAACCACGTGAATATTTATGATCAACCAGGGGCTTATGTGAAACCATGCACAGGAGTGTAAGTACTAGTCCTTACTCAGTAATAACTCTAATTTCCACGGTGATCAAAGGTCTACCTCTCTCTATCTCGTACACACTCCACCTGAACTTGTGTTCACTCCCCCTCAGGTTTAGTGTGTGCCCTCATAACAGACCAAGTCCTCGTGGTCGCCTGGGTTATCTTCTTTCTGAGTCTGTATGAGGATTTATGATCATTTCTGTTAAAGGATGCATCAAGCCAAGATCAGCAAAGATTCATTTCTCCAGGAGGCTGTTGACTGTCATACCTGTATGAAGGTGTATTTCGACTGAATACCCAGTTTTCTTTGAACAAAGACGATAAAAAAAACTCAGCCCACGGTTGTGACCTTGTCGCCTTCGGTTGTGGTCGACAGAAACAATCGTAAAAATAGTTACTGTCTCCGGTCTTGTGTGAAAAACAACACTGACTTCGTGCCAGAAGAACTTTTGGAAGTCTATAACGACTACAATTGATTTCCGGTAATACCTTCACAATAAAAGTCCATAAACATGGTGATATTGGTGTTATTATTATTATGAAAGAGCCGCATAAGGAAATTAGTTTTAAGCAGCAGGAACTTGAAACAACTTAAAAGGGCAAATACTGGAATATTTCAGAAAAATACTTACATGGCTGCAGCTGATGGACTAAACCACTAAACCATACAGTAAATAAGTCATATGAAAAGCAAAAGCGCACTGGGAGTAATAATTCATAATTTTGATAATAAGGTTTTCTCTATAAGTCACCGCATTTAGCCTGACACCATTTCCAATATTAAACACTGATTCTGTTGCCTCACATATGAACAAATTATTTAAACATGGTCAGGACTTTTCACAGTTTCATAGTACTGCACAAATGAGCATTTAATGACTCTTCACAATGAGTGACCTTTTTAGAGTGTCTAAATTTATTTAATAATTCTTTGACTCTTCAACCATAGCATTAATCAGTGGTTTCATTTGAAAGGAAACAGTAAAATAAAAGGAGGGCTTAAGACTTGTAAATTCAGTCCCAGTTTTTCATGGCACTAAAACTTAAAACCTAAAACTGATGGAATACATTTTTAAACACATGATTATTTAAAATTTTCAAAATTCCTGTTTATTCCCCAGAGAGAAAAAGTTCTGAAAAATGTTTTGCCTATTTATGATTGTAGCCTAGTATTAAACTTATTTACATGATAGCGCCACCCTCGGGTTTTCAATTCGAGTATGTCAATATGTCAGTTTAATGACAGTATCTGGATTCAGTTGCAGTAATTTTATGTTGTACTTACAGAGGAAAGGTGCTGTGCTGTAGACTGACAGTCTGTGGAGTTTTGTCTACCAAGTGCAGCTCTGCACTTTTTATTGTTTTGTGACTGACACGCTTTACACTGACTGTTGTGAAATATGTTGGTCAGAGGCAAAGTTCACACAGCAGTTTGGAGGGTGTTTTTGAACACACATGTTAGCACGGATCTATCAAAAATCATTACAAATTTTAAAAAAGTACAAAATTGATCAACTCAAGTGTATTTTTTACTGTTACTAGTTTAAGGATAGTTGAATTAATTATCTAGCAATAGCAGAAAGAAGAAAACAGCTGCTGACATGAGGACTGAATCATGATGTGTTGAAGTGGAGTTGTACAGATTGATAGATTTTCAAACGGTTTGGATGGTTCATTCTCTAAAATTGTCCTAAATCTTTGTTCCAGAACCTCACAGCACAACTGAAAAGTCTATGAAAGTATAACAAACCAGTAACAGTAGAGATGAAGTACCAAAAACTATTGGCAAGCAAGGAAATTGAAGATTTTGACACTTTACTTGAACCTTTAATGCCACAAGATGGAGACAAAGTTCACACTATCTCACTCTTTGCTTTTCTGAACACTGAACTGTGTTCTGTCCTCTTTCAATGACTAATTTATGTCCTTTTTCAAAATCTTCTAAAGGCGTTTTGATTAAAAACATTGTAACAGCTGATCTCTTGACTTTAGCCCAAACATCCATGATAGCGTCCTTTGAACATTTCACTGCTTTGTTATGTTGGTTAGTTTGGTTTTTAGAATAACAGCTCATTATAATGATTAGATTGTGTTTTACTGAACCTTGTATTGATTTGTATTGAAAGGGTTAGATAAAACACAACATTGGACACTGTTTGAGAGTGGTAAAATGTCACATCGACAGAAAAACCCACTACACACACACACCTGATCAGCTCAAGTGACGGGAACACTGTTCTCCTCAGTACGACCACCTGACTCTGTTGCTCTTCATCTATACTCACCTGCCTGTTGTAACTCCTTGAGGACTTTTTATTTCCAGAATAGAGCAGATTCACCAACAACTGGCTCCTAACACCCCCTACATCTCCTTCTCTCTGGTCCTCTCATCCCCTTTCTAGTTTTAAACTTAAATGTGAACTTATCTGGAAATCCAAGCCACCAACCTGTCTATTAGATCCTCTTCCTTCTGTGTTGATCAAAGCTTGCCTTCCCTCTCTATCCTCCATAACATCTGCTATCATACGCTCTTCCCTTACCTCTGGTCCTGTTCCCTTATCTCTTAAACTAGCTGCAATAACATCTACACTAAAGAAACCTGACGCAGACCCTGACCTTTGAGGGAACGATAACAATGAAGATGACTGAATCTCTTACCACATTAATGGATGCTGCACTGAAGATGAACTTGCCTTGAGCAACATTTGGATGTCCTACAGTCTAATCTTTTACCACTCAAGAAAGAAGCCAGTGAGCTCTGGGCAGACTAGAATGATGCATACTGAAATCTAAGGTCACAAAAACTGGACCTAAAATTATTTTTTATTGTTCAAAGAAACAAGTCAGGAAAAACCTTTTCACAGGCTTTGGTCAAAAACCTGCTCAGACAGTGTGTTGATAAAGGATGTTTGAAACGAGGCCCTGGAATTATTTGATTAAGTGTGTGGAGACAATCAAAAGGTATGCACCTCAATTAAATAAATAAATAAATAAATACCAAGAACAAAGAAATATCAGCCAAAATCACTGTGGATTGAATCTTAAGGCAATTATATTAATTCTTCATTTTAATAACAATTTATGGTTTAATTTAAAGGAAACAGTAAAATAAAAAATAAATAAATGAAAAACAGTAGGACGTAAGACTTGTAAATTTAGTCCCAGTTTTTCATGGCACTAAAACTTTAATCCTCAAACTGAAGGAATTTATTCGTAAACACATGACTATTTAAAACTCCTGTTTATTCCCCAGAGAGATACAGCTGTGAAAAATGTTTTGCCTCTTTATGATTGTAGCCTAGTATTAAACATACAGGACAGGCCAAAAGTTTGGACACACCTTCTCATTCAATGCATTTTCTTTATTCTCATTACTATTTAAATTGTAGATTATCAGTGACGGCATCAAAACTATGAATGAACACATGTGGAACTATGTGCTTGAGAAAAAAGTGTGAAATAACTTGAAAACATTTATTATATTTTAGATTTCTGTTCTCTCAATGAGCTTCATGAGGTAGTCACCTGAAATGGTTTTTACTTCACAGGTGTGCCTTGTCAGGGTTACTTAGTCACTAAGTACTTCTTTAATCAAGAGCAAAGGGTGGCTATTTAAAGAAACTAGAATATAAAACATGTTTTCAGTTATTTCACACTGTGTTTATAAGTACAAAATTCCACGTGTTCATTCATAGTTTTGATGCCTTTAGTGATAATCTACAATGTAAATAGTCATATAAAAAAGTAAAGAAAAGATATTGAATGAGAAGGTGTGTCCAAACTTTTGACCTGTACTGTTTATATAATAGCATCCTCAGTTTTCAATTCGAGTATGTCAATATGCCAGTCTAAAGACAGTGTCTCGATTCAGCTGCAGTCATTTTATGTTGTACCTACAGAGGAAAGGTGCTGTGCTGTAGACTGATAGTCTGTGGAGTTTTTTCTACCAAGTGCAGCTCTGCATAAATACTTTTAAACTTTTCTCTTTCTCTGCTGTCTCTGTGATTTTTGACCGTTAACATTGAGAAAGTGGCTGAATACTAATGTTAGCTGTGATCTGATGTTAGCTAAATATGACTACATCTCCACCCTGGTCATCTCTGTCTTTACTCTGTGTGGCTGCACATCAACCAAGGAACCTTCAAATGATCACAGACTATCAGAATATTGAGGTTACAGCCTGAAACACCATCATAATACATAATGAAGTACAGGTTTTTAGATACGCTGTGGGGATATGGTCACTTGGAAAACTGGTCTCTATATTATGATGCTTGTTTTTCACATTTAACAGTGTTGGAGAAGATTGTTATAATCTTGGGTGAATTTAATGTTTTTAGAAGTAAAAAACTCCAAAAATCTACAAATCTGTGTGCCTCATGTGTGTCAAATAGATAAGACAAGAAAAAAATAAGGATACTAAATTTATTCATTTTAGGCTGTCTTATTTTTCTTGAAGACTTTAGTCACAAGAAAAAAAAAAAGAGAAAACATGTGGATCTGAGACAAAAAGAAAATATTAAAACTCTCAATGACAGCTATACATCTCCATCTGCTGGTGTAAAATTAGTATTACACAATTCCTACTGGTGTCAAGTTTACCAGAGTCACATGAACAAAAGTGAAAGTAAATTTTGAAGTTGTGGAGACGCCATTACAGGATCTCAGCTGAAAAACACAGACTCGGAGTATTAATAGACGCCTGGAGAAGGAACAGTCACTCGGTGAGTCTCACAGATTAGAAAAATGTCTAAAGCTAGCAAAAAAAAGAAAAATTCTGGAAAGGCTCTTCTGGAAAGTTTTCTGAACTGTCACGTTTGTTCAGAGACTTTCAGCGATCCTGTGTCTCTGAGCTGCAACCACAGCTTCTGTTCAAGCTGTCTGCAGAAATTCTGGGAACAGACTAAGAACAAAAACTGTCCCATCTGTAAAAGAAGATCTTCAAAAGATCGTCCACGGACAAATTTTAGTCTAAAGGAGCTGGCTGACTCGTTTGCTGGGAGACTGAAAGTTGGATCATCTGAGACAGAAAAGGCAGCAAATAAGGTGGAGGTGGTGTGTAGTAAACATGACAAGGAGCCTGAATTTTTCTGTAAAGATGAAGATCGAGCTGTGTGTCCTGTCTGTGAGTTTTCTCTCCACCAGACTCACACTGTGGTTCCTGTAGAACAAGCAGTCAGTGATCTGAAGGAGCAGCTGAAATCTGACTTAAACTCTCTCCAGGACAAGAGGAACAAACACAAACAAGTGGAGAAAACATACAATGAAGTGATTCAACACTCCAAGAAGCAGCTGCTGTCCACAGAGAGACAGATCAGAGCAGAGTTTAACAAGCTCCACCAGTTCCTGAAAGAGGAAGAGGAGTCCAGATTGGAGGCTCTGAGGGAGGAAGAGGAGCAGAAGGGGAAGACTATCAGCAGAGAGATGAAGAGGATTCAGGAGCAGATCTCCTCTCTGTCAGACAGTATCTGTGCTGTTGAAGAAGAGCTGCAGAAACACAGCGCGGCCTTCCTCAGCAGTTAAAAAGTCACTCAGAGCAGAGCCAGAGTCCTGAACTCAGAGTCAGATCCACAGCTGGTCTCAGGAGTGCTGATAGATGTGGCCAAACACCTGGGTAACCTGTCCTTCAGAGTCTGGGAGAAGATGAAGGAGAGGGTCCACTTCAGTCCAGTCATTCTGGACCCAAACACTGCGTACCGCTGGCTCCATTTGTCTGATGATCTGACCAGTGTGAGATTTGGTGAAACTAAGCTGCAGCTTCCTGATAATCCAGAGAGATGCACTGAGCGTCCAATTGTTCTGGGCTCTGAAGGCTTCAGCTCAGGGAAACACAGCTGGGAGGTAGATGTGGGAGACCACCAAGTCTGGTTTTTGGGTGTCGCTAAAGAGTCTGTTGACAGAAAGGTGGAATTATCTCCTTCACCAGAAGATGGAATCTGGTGTTTGAGATTTCATACAGGAAATTATACAAATGGAGAAGGAAAGACTCTCCCTGTGACCAAGAACCTCCAGAGGATCACAATCCTGCTAAACTATGACACATCAGAGGTGTCCTTCTACAACTCTGAAGACAGGACTCACATCTACACTCACAGAGACACTTTCACTGAGAGAGTTTTTCCATATTTTGGAGTTGGAAAGGCTGGTAATGCTAAAACTGCTGAAATCAAAATCTGTCAAACAGAGATTCCTCTGTGATTTTTTAGGGATTTCAGTGAATGGCCTGAACTATTACCTGCTAATATTTTTGGAAAATGACTGCTGAAGGTTTAATACACTCTGAAGAGATCATCACACAAGCTTAAAACCTACAACAAATTGCTTTTTAATGAATGCAGCTCAATCTAGATTTTAATCAGTGATCTGTGTTAGCTGTGACAGTTTAGCTTTCGTTTTTTGTGTGTTTGTGACATACACAACTCACTGAATCAATCAAAACTTCAAATTATATGTAAAAAAAACAACGGCATAATTTATAATCTAAAAAGATCTATGGTTTCTCACTTGTGTGGTTAAACTGTATTATCATCGTTCTTCATCTTATTTGTTTGTTACTTGAATACATCACTGAAATCATGCTCATTAAACTGCATTTATATCATTATAATGTGCCATACAACTCATATTTACTTTTATCTTTTGACATATTGTGCAAAGAATTGAGTCATGTGAGTGTCTGACTAAATGGTCCATATTTCAATCCTAATATAACAATAAAACACTAAACAGGTTTTAAAAAAAAATGCTTGTGCTTTAAAAAAGATGGTAGTTTTGAGGCTTTTTAATTCTTAGTTATGCTGCTATAGGTCTAGACTGCCGGGGTTATCTGGCTCTATGTCCCATATAAGCCACTAACCAGATTTCTCTCTCTCTCTCAGTGTCTCTGAGTCTCTTAGCTTCCACTGGACTAATGCTGCAGACGGTCTGCTGTGGAACTGCCTGACCCCAGCTGCATCGTCCTTGATTTTCCACCTCAGGCCCTGAGCTCCTCCATCTCTTAGGCTCCTCTGGACCGTTGCTGCAGACACGTACGTCAGCCTAACTGACATCTATAAAATAAAACTAGAGTAAACTGCCGTTGAGTTTTAACTTAAATCACCTTAAATTAATTTAGCATGGTCCATAACTAGTTATTTTATTATCTTGTACATTGAAGTCATTTTCTCCCATCAAATTGCTAACCAGATCTCTCTGTATGTCTCTGAGCCCCAGTCTCCTTGGTTGCTCTGGACTGATGGCTGCTGCAGACCTGACTGACTCCAGCTGCATCGTCTATGATTATCCACCTCAGGCCCCGAGCTCCTTCTTCTCTTGGGTTCCTCTGGACTGTTACTGCAGACATGAACATCAGCCTCACTGACACTAGTAACATAAAACTAGAGTTGACTACGATTAGGCCTGCTGACTGTAATCACATTAAACTAATTTAACATTGTCCATAATCACTCATATCCTAACCCTGTTAACTGAATTCATTTTGTTTCACCATTACATGAGCTGTTGTTGTTGTTGCTGTTGTTACTGCTGTCCCCTGTCTCTCTCTCACTCTCGTTCTCTACTCTCTCTCCCTCCCCCTACCTCTCCCTTACTCATTCTCTCTCTCCTTCCCCTTATCTTGTTCTCTCTGCCCCCTCCCTCTCTCCCTCTCTCCCCCTATTGCTCTACATTCCTCCCCAACCCAGCAGCGGCATGGTGGCTGTCTGGCATGAGTCGGGTCCTGCTCAAGGTTTCTGCCTGTTAAAAGGAAGTTTTTCCTTGCCACTGTTGCTCATGTTAGATGAGATGGGCCAAAACCCATCTTAGGTTGGTTCTTGTTAATTCATCAAACAATGAGTGTGGTCTAGACCTGCTCTTGTTCTTTGAAAAGTGTCTTGGGATGATGACTGTTGTGAATTGGCGTTATATAAATAAAATTTGAATGATTAATTGATTTGATGTCTAATAAAATAAGACATGGTATTTTGTGGTAGTATATGTTTTTCTTGAAAAAAGAAAAGGAGGTGTAATACTTATAGATACTCTGCCTGTCAGATAAGACATTTTAACTTTAAGAGGATCGTTAGTTCAAACTTTGTGTAACTGACTTGTTATGTGGTCAAAATTCATAAAGACTGTACGGCTTCTTTACTTCCCTGAGTCTTTCATTTCTGCTTTTTTTGAGGAAGAATAACTCAATCAACTGTTGGAGTCATACCAGAGGTATTTAGGGACTTCAGTATCTGTATTAGTCTGTTTTCCTTTTCCTCCCTCCAAATACTTTAAACAGAAAGTATTTTACTGTCAAAATACACATCAAAGATATCACCACAATCAAAAACAACAACAGTGCAATGACATCAAGACAGTGGTACTGAATCCAGGACAGCTTGTAGGACTGGGTCTTTAAGTGAGCCGCTCCCTTGTGTCTCATGACAAACTCAATCCAGAACATAGCTCGGTCCAGAGGTTTCATGGGCTGGTCTCTGTGCAGTCTGGAGAGCTCCTGCATGTTCTCCCTATAGGACGGCTCATGAAGAACTTCCTTCAGAGCATCCAGGAAGGTGTCTGTGTCAAGTGTGCCGATGTCCAGCACTTTGGCAACACCCCTCCCTCTCATCCTGAAGAGGTTATCATCCTGGTCAAACATCAGAGGAAGACCCACTATAGGTACTCCATGGTAGATGGCCTCCTGGAGTCCGTTGGTGCCTCCGTGAGCCACAAATACTCTGGTCTTTGGGTGTCCTAAAAGGTCAGTTTGGGGCAGCCAGTCCAGCAGCAAGGTGTTGTTGCCCAGGGTGGATGGTCTTTTCCCAGTATGCCTCCAGACCACCTTCTGAGGTAACTGAGCAAAAGCAGCAGCCACGTGTTCGGCCATGTCATCAGGGAGTGTCCCCACCAAGGTCCCCAAGCTCATAACAATGACTCCATGTTCTGCAGAGCTCTGGACAAAGTCCTCCAGATCTTTAGGAAGTGGCTTTGGGGGTTTACACTGAAACCCACCCATATAGACAACATTAGGCATTGTGGGACGAGGGAACTCAAAGGTAAAGTCAGTCCTCATCAACCATATATCTGCTGCCAGAACCAGTTCATCATAGTGGACATCGGGACCAAAGTATCTGTGGATAAATGGAGCATAGTACTGCCTTTTAATTTGAACCTGGCTGTAAAGCACCCTCAGGGCAATTAAAACATTTGCCACCCTTTCCCAAAAAGTCATCTTATCAGCCATTTCACTGCCTGGTATAGGAACATATGAGAGGGGTGAGGGCGCAACTGTCTGAAGTCCATCTGCCAGGATAGTCCATCGTACATTGAAAACCAGAGGTAGACCCAGCCGATGAGCTAGTAGAACCCCTCCACCTAAGAAAGGATCCGTCAAGAGAACATCATACCTGGCTTCATGGAAAAGCTGCATCAGTTTGGCATCCTCAAATGTCTCTTCCATTTTATCAACCACAGCTTTGTGAGTATGAAGCAGCATTGTTATAAACTCTTCCCTCGCTTTTAAAATTGATAAAGTTGAAGCGTAGAAGTCTCGTCGGAGATGCAAAACTCTTGTCTCGTAACGATTAAAGTCATTTACATCAAATCCAGCAACAACATCAAGAGTAATTGACTGGTAGTAACCAGTTTCTGCCTCAATGTGCCTTGCGTTTTTTGGTCGGATCACAGTGATGTTGTGACCTCTTGAATGGAGTTCCTGGATGAGGACCTTCATGTTGACCCAGTGGCTTTCATCCACAGGGAAAACAAGGACTTTACCTCCAATAGCACTTTGAATAGAGAAGAGCAGTACAGCCAGTGAGACCAGTTTCATTTGGATCATCTCTGAGGTGGTGCTGTGATCACAAAGAAAAGGGGTATTTCAGGAAATGAAGATGGCCGACTCAAAACATTGAAGTAGCAGAAGAAGACAAGGAAGGAGAAGATTGCTTTTTCAGACTTCCTTCAAAACACTTCAGAACAAACACTGGCAATTGTCTCAATCACTATGTTAACATGCACAGTTAAGCTGATCTACAGTCATAGCACAATGTGGTGATTTAATTGGACAGCTGTCCATGTCCCAGTTTGTTAGCACTGGGCAAGAAGTTATTATTGACGCCAGCATGTCCGACTACGGTGACATGCTCCCTTTTAGCTTTTTACCATCAGTTTATCTCCTGGTTGACCTATAAGTATCAAAACAGCCTGCAAAACCAAACAGCAGCCTCCGGTCTTAAGTAAGTGCTAAAAACTGCAGTTCTCTAAGTGTCCACTTGAGGCAGGCTTCAGGGGCACCTGTTCTACTTTAGAAACAGGAGGGTGACGTCGCCAACGCTGTGTCTCATGATTATACAGTATATGGGTAAAACACTTTAGGAAGAGGCTAGTAGGATATTACTTCTATAGCTTTGTGCTGAAAGTTTAGTCTCTTTTGTGTCCTTTTTCGTCTATTGTGGTTTTGTTTACTACTTAACTTCCAAGCAATGCATCCATGCTGTTAAACCACTGGCCCAGAGCAAAGCGTGCAAACCATAAACTGTATATACTTTGGACAACTTGGCTCTGCCTCCCGTTATTATACAAATTTGAAGCCAAGTTGCTTTCAGTAATTCCGGGATTTTCTCCACTTCCTGGAACCACCACTTGCGCAGTAGCATTGTACACATTGGGTGGGAGAGTCGCTGTGAGGATGTTCTGCTTAAACAGTGTATTCCCCGGATGAGCGACACAATCTTCGTATGCCCATAGGCTGTATTAAGTGTCAATCATAGAAAACATGAACGCCTAATAACTTTTAAAAATGGAGCTGGACAGAAAAAGGAGGATTTGAGCACAAACCAGTCTTGCAGTAACTACATGTCAACATCCCAACCAGGGGGGAGAAAAATGTATCTTCTGTGTAATTAATTTCTAAAATTTGTCCACAACTCCATATGGATTACAGGAGGAGGTGGGATTCATGACCTATACTGCAGCCAATCACCAGAGGGTGCTGTTCTAGCGGTGGCTTCATCCAGCGAGGAGGCAGACGGTGTCCATTCTATATACAGTCTATGGTGTGAACACTGGAGTACATGCAGAATGCATGGACCAGTTTTTGTTTGATTAATTTGAATACATGCCAGAGAAACTGATCTCCAATCACATTATTCAGGAATGCCAGTACAACAAAGAATAGTTTGATTTGAGTCAGACTTATGTGTTAACATGCAGTTCACAAGTCCAGTTTCAATCAGACTTTTGCCATAAATCAGTTTTTGAAGTGCATGTAAACGTACTGCCAAGGCAGTGGACCACACATACATATAAAGGCATCCAAGGCCTTCTACCCTCATTTTGTTCTTATACACACCTGGTTTCTACAGTGAATGTCCGAACATGGATTGAAACGTGGCAAAACTACAAGAGCAAAATTACAAAAAAATCAACCATTCCGACACACAGATGAGTTAACTAAATCTAGAGTCAACCACACAACCATCTGAAATATCTGACACACTTCCTTGAGGTCCTTAAATGGTTACAAACCCGCCCCTTTATGGTCATGTGCCTAAACACTTGATATTTCTCCTTAGATAAGCTCAGTTTTCAAAATGATTTTCAAAGCTGGCTGCAAATGCTTCAATTAGGTTATATCATTTCATGCTGTACTTACAGTGTAAAGCTGCAGAGAAGAAGTTTTACAGTCTTATTCCCACTGAGCCTGACAGATCTGCACTTCATACAGCAAGCCTGACAGTGACCTTTATCAGTTTGTTCAAAGGTCAACATCCAGGTTACTCAGAAGACTCAGTATACAGATCTCTGTGACTGGTCACTTTCAGCACATTTCTCAGACCACATGCTAGAACAGGCATGAAGAGAAGAGCCTGGGCTAAATTTCTTAATAACCAACAAATAAACCAGAAATATTTAAAAACCAAATTGTGTCAGTCTGTGTAAATCATTTAAGGTTGTGTGGCCTCCGCTGGAAAATACAAAGGGCAGATGGTAAGAACGTCATCTTTAGAGGGCAGTTTTGATTTCTAAAGAAATGGCTGGGGACATAACACAGAAAAGTGACAGACAAAGAAGAAAATCAAATACATCACTAATCTTTTATAATTTTTTCATTAATATTTTGGGGTAAAATCTGTTAGGAAATGAAACTGAATCAAGAGGAAAGGAAACTTGAGAACCATGGGTGAAGTATCCATCTGCTGGTAAATATCTGGCATTGCAGAATTACTGCTGTTCTATATTTAACCCACGACTAAAGTGAGGGACACTGTGCGGACGCCATTACAGTGTATGCGACCACAACACAGAAGTGGATTACTGAATGCAACTAAGAGACGAGACAGTGCTGGTGAGTCTCCCAAGTTAAAAGAAGAAGTTAAACATTAAGATTTCAAAAAGATGGCTGAAAGGTCTCTTCTTGAAATGTATCTGAGCTGTCATGTTTGTTCAGAGATTTTCAAAGATCCCGTGTCTCTGAGCTGCAACCACAGCTTCTGTTCAAGCTGTCTGCACAAATTCTGGAAACAGACCGAAAACAGAAACTGTCCCATCTGTAAAAGAAAATTCTCAAAAGATGTGGCGATAAATTTTACTCTAATGGAACTGGCTGACTCGTTTACTGGAAGAGAGAAGGTGGAACCATCTGAGAAAAAGACAGCCAAGGTGTGTAAACATGAAATGGAGCCTGAATTATTCTGTGAGAAGGAGCAGAGATCTGTGTGTCCTCGCTGTGATTTTCCTCATTATGTTGGTCATGCTGTGGTACCTGTAGAAAAAGCAGTCAGAGATCTGAAGGAGCAGCTAAAATCTGACTTAAAGTCTCTACAGGACAAGAGGAACAAACACAAACAAGTGGAGAAAACATACAATAAAGTGATTCAACACTCCAAGAAGCAGCTGCTGTTCACAGAGAGACAGATCAGAGCAGAGTTCAACAAGCTCCACCAGTTCCTGAAAGAGGAAGAGGAGTCCAGACTGGAGGCTCTGAGGGAGGAAGAGGAGCAGAAGGGGAAGACTATCAGCAGAGAGATGAAGAGGATTCAGGAGCAGATCTCTTCTCTGTCAGACAGTATCTGTGCTGTTGAAGAAGAGCTGCAGGAACACAACGTGGCCTTCCTCAGCAGTTATAAAGTCACTCAGAGCAGAGCCAGAGTCCTGAACTCAGAGTCAGATCCACAGCTGGTCTCAGGAGTGCTGATAGATGTGGCCAAACACCTGGGTAACCTGTCCTTCAGAGTCTGGGAGAAGATGAAGGAGCGGGTACACTTCAGTCCAGTCATTCTGGACCCAAACACTGCACACAGCTGTCTCTATCTGTCTGATGATCTGACCAGTGTGAGACGAGGAGAGAGAAAACAGCAGCTTCCTGATAATCCAGAGAGACACATCAATACTGCAGATGTTCTGGGGTCTGAGGGTTTCAGCTCAGGGAAACACAGCTGGGAGGTGGAGGTGGGAGACCATCCAGACTGGACTGTGGGTTTGACTAAAGGGTCAGCTGACAGGAAGGGAGAGTGTCCTCCTTCACCAGAATATGGATACTGGTGTTTAGTGTATCAAGGTGGAAAATACATTGATGAGGTCGGTGAGACCATTGAAGTTAATAAGAATCTTCAGAGGATCAGCGTCCAGCTGGATTATGACAGAGGGGATTTGTCCTTCTATGACCCTGAAGACATGACTCACATCTACACTCACAGAGACACTTTCACTGAGACTGTTTTCCCATACTTCAGGCTTGGAAAGCCTGGTGACGCCAAAACTACAGAAATCAAAATCAGCGACACAAGGGCGACGACACTTCACTTGACATAAAATTAAGTTAAGGCATTGATACAATTGAAATGTTTTAAATGCTACTTAAGGTAACTGAGTTGTTTAATAGTTTGAATGTCTTTTTCTTTTTTCCATATAGTAATGAGCATGTTTGAATTGGGAGAAATCTTGTTTTGTTTGATAAATCATCTCATTTATGTTTTAAAAAATACTAAAATAGTGCGTGTGGATGAAATATTTCAGCATCTTTTATGTCATTAAAGCAGATATGCCATATTTGTTTTATTGCAGTATTTCATGTCTGTTTGGAAGAAAAAGCGCAACTTTATTTATTTATTCTTTTTATTTGTGTATTTTTGTTTCTTTATCTCTGAAAAAATATGCAAAGCTATATTTTACAATGTTAATATCTATATCCTAGAGACTTAGGCTGTGAGGAAAGTTGCACCACATTATTTCATTTTTCTATCTATTTTCTAACCTCAGTAATTACGCTTAAACCTTCTCATTGACAATATAATCACAGTCCTTGCGGTGTTGTTTATTTGAAGTGATGCTGCTCTTATTGTGAAATGCTAACGGAAGTGTTTTAGCGCTCGCGGGACTGGACTGAAGCTCGAGGTAAACAAACGGCAGGTTTTTCCCGTGATGATTCAAAGGTACTTTACCCCTCATAGGAACATATTATCGACAAACAAGCTTTATTTCCTGTGGATATATGTTTATGCTCACTGTTCTGTTGTCTTTGTCAGCTTTACGCGTAATTCTGAAATTAAACAGTGAAGCATGCTAACAGCTCGACCATGCAGGTAGCTAGCTAGCTCAAGAGAGACACCAGACTTCTTTGTAGATAGATAGAAAATATACGCTTTTTTTTCTTGACTTGTACCCTGTTTATAATGAAAGTATTAAAACTGGGGTATTCTGGGGATAATATCCAAGTTGTTGAATTATCATGTACGACCTTTTGTGAACTGGCTTTATGTTGTTGTTGCTCACATACTTAGTCCAGCTGGATGCCGCACGTGTTGAGTAAAACTGGTCATGTGACATTAAGGTGTAAAAAGTCATTTTACATCCCAACCCTCAAACCCAGTATTTACGACTATTATTAATCAATTTGTAAAAACTAACCCTAGCTCTCACGGAAATGTAGTTTGTACTCCACCTGGATGCATTTACTTTTACAGGGCGAAATGGTGGATATATCCAGGGTTCAGTGCATGAAAGCTCTCCACATCAGGGTTATCAGGATACCAGAATGATAATTTGTTAATGTTAAGATCTGTTTCCACACTACAATATGAAGAAAACCCCCATGCAACCAAAATGCCTAATGTTTCATTTGCAAGTTGTGCAAGTGCAAAAAAAAGTTAATGAACACAGACCGACTGTTTATAAACTGTCAGTAGGAATAAAAAGCACAAGACTTTTCCACTAAACAGTGAGAACAGAAAGTAAATCTTTCCTCTGAATTAGGGATGTGCTGATATACGATGCAATCGCGATATGTGATATTAAACGGCCGCGATGATGAAATCGGAAGGTACCGTAAAAATCGTTCCACAATTATAGTTCAAAGTGGCAGCGTCAGTACCAACCTAACCTTCTTGTAGTCTTACCCACGGTGTCAAAGCCTTTGTAATAAAATGTACAAACAAAGCACCACAAAAATAGTCCCAAATCTAAAACAAATTCTCAAACTAAGTACATTAATGCCAGCCTAACAAAAACTGGAATTTTAAGAGAAAATGAAGAAATTTTACAACAATATGCGTGGCCACCCACAATGCATTGCGGCCACCCAAAGCACTGTTGGAGCGTGTCCACAATGCATTCCCATCCACTCATTAGCTTCTTAAAGTGGAGGAGATATGATCTGATATTTTAAAAAACATGAGTATTGGATCATGACATCATGTCAAATGGAGCAGCAAACTTTCGTTCTGTTTTTATGTGTCCCAAAAATGCACATATAGAGATGTACTTGGGTACATAAATTGTACAGTAAGCTGTCAAGGTAGAGAACATTATATTATCAGGACAGTAAATATTCTGAATCAGAGGGCCATTGTTTTCAGCTTATCTGAATAGTCTGAATCAAATCATTAAAGGCACACGCTTTTTTCCACCCAACGGTAAAGAAAACTTGCATTATTTCGCCTTGTTATGTACTTTCAACCGAACTCCCGTCAGGGGGATATTCTATGGAATAACACCGGACCAAGAACAGTCGGAGACTGAAAATGACGAAACACCTCGGCTGTATCTACCTATTAAAAAGGTTTTGTTGGCAGTATGGATGTTTTACGGCTTCACAAAACAGACGGAGCAGGTGAACCTGACACCAATCTCTAGGTTATGCCGTAAGAAGGTTGCAGCGACGTTGTCTAACACTTCAAACCTACGTGCCCACCTCCGTGAACACCATCCAGCATCGTTCGCCCAAATCAAGGTAAAAATAACATGACCGCAACAAGTTTGGTCTAGTCTACTGCTTATTATTGACAACGTTAGTGACGTTTCTGCTAACTTAAGCTCCAAAAAGCTAATGCTCCCAACGTCGCGTTAGCAGCCTCTTTCTCATATTGTTTGTGCGTGTCATGCTGTGCACAGAGAAGTGATTTAGCAGTTTTTTGCCATTTTTAATAACGTTAAAAGCAATGCGCTAATATCGTCATAATATCGTGAATCGTGATATTTTGGGCCACCAATATCGTGATATCTGATTTTTCATATCGGCACATGCCTACTCTGAATTATCATTTATAATCTAGAGTATACTAAAGAGGTTCATTTGGCCTGTTGAGGAAAAATTTATAAATCGGTTCATTTGTTGTGACGTGGTGTGAACCCGCAGTGAGTGTGATCCCTGTGTTTTCTAATTTTCCTGCTGTGGCTGAACTGGTGGTCATTTATTGGCTGTAGATCATTGGTTAGGTAAGGCTGCAGCACAGGAATTAAAAAAAATCTTGAGGGGCCAAGTGATAATACCTTTTCTCTCCACAACAGACATAAATTGTGTGTTGTTCCTAAATGCTGAGAGCACCTAAAACAGTATGCTGCTGACCTGTGATCACCTCTCTATATTCATCTTTTAAATCTTGAATATCTTTTTCCAGCTGAGTCCTATTCAGTCTCATTTCCCATCCACGATGCTCAGTACTAGTTACTTATCTGAACTTTTACCTCTTTATTTTGCACAGGGATGAAAATTAAAGGTGGGGAAGGCAGGATCTGAGGAAGTGCCAGTTTTTGGGGAGAAATCTTGAATGTAAACACAACCCCTCTCAACCAGTTTTCCCCTCAGCTCTTCCTCTCCCCTCTCTGCTCCAGCAAGCCCCGCCCACAAACATGCTCCTGCTCGCTCGTATCGTTCCAGTTAAATTCAGATATAATGCAGAAAAATACTTCAGATAATTACAAATGGAGCCCAGTCAACGTGAAAGTAAAAAGCATTGTTGCTACTGTAGATGCCAACAGACTACCAGCAAACACAATGTTTGCAGGACTTCTACAACTAGGATAAAGTGACATAGTCCAGTACCCGAGGTAAACAGTTTAGTGGCGCTACAAAACGCAGCAAGTCCAGTTTGACAAGAAACACTTCTGTTACAGACACTTGACTTACTTTGTTAAAGCGGTTTACCTGTCCAGCAGAAAGGTTACAGGGTCTAGAAGACCCGGAAGCCTCCCCCATCACTGTTGACCCGGCTTTTTAGCTCTTGTCCGGGTGGTCTACCTCCTTTTTAAGCGCCCGTTATTCCGCCAGAGTCTCCAGTATTTATATCGTTTTTGTACTTGGGTTGGTGGTTGTGCCTAAAGGAGGATTCAAACAATTTTCTGTACTTTATTGTAGCACGGCACGCTAACTTTGTTTGGGCTCGTGAACGACACAAGGAGCAGCGTCTGCCTCACAACCAATCAGGTTGGGGGAGGCGGGGAATGGCTTTGTTTACAGTCAGAAAGAGTGGAGCATTCCAAAAATTTCAAATGTTGACTACACAGACATAACAGAACACAGCGATATCGTTTTATTACCAAATGTCATCAATAACTAATAGTTATTGACTGATATTAAAAGCTGTTTTGTATATACACCACAAAAAAAGATGCTTCTTTAATCGATTCTTGCCTACACCACCTTTAACCTTTAATACACAAAAGATTTTTTTCAGGTGCAATGTAATCCTTTGACGAGAAGAAAACTTCAAGTTGTATTATGAGCATCAAAATCAGCTGTCTCTCTTTCTCTGTTTTGCTCTACCCTGAAGGAAATAACCGACTGAGTAACAGGCTGATGGAGATAAAGAATGATGGATGACCTGACAGCAAACAAGAGCCACATACCCTGTCAGTCTTGGGTTGGCCAGAATGGCTGGTCTGTGGCTTCAACCCAAGGACCCCCCCTTAACCCTCTGTCCAGCTCTCAGCATCTCAGCCTGGGCTCATCTAACCAGAGGTCATCCTACAACCACCTGCAGGTGTCCAATCAGAGCTGCATGAGAGACCTCAGTACCCTATCAACTAGAGGCAACCCTCATCAGCCTGACCTGTACAAAGCCCCTCAAGCTGGCAGCAATCCATCATCAGGCACGCTGTTTGCCAGCACCACTATCCCCAGTGTATCTCAGATGAATCCGTTTGCCCAAGAAATCCCTCACACTTCACCAACGCTACTCTCAGTAAACCAAGGAAAGAATATCCCCTCACTGTCTCTTGCTGAAAGAAACCAAGTACAACAACATTTATCACTCCTCCCACCACAAGATCCCTTCAAGGTGTCATTTCAACCTCAAACTAACAGCCAGGGATTACCAAATGGACTTCAAAACCTGCCCATCAGCCTCCCATCATGTGGCCAGCGTGTAAGTACACTTCAGGCTTCTTTTGAGGAAGAGAATGTGGAGTTTGCTGGTGTTGCTGGATGCACTCACAGCTATTCCTCATCCACCTCTCAGGAGCAGTGCCAGTGGACTCCTCCATCACTGGGCAGGGGTAAGCTGTGCTTTAATATCTTTACAGCACAATGCCATGTTAGTCTTTAACAGGGAGATGACAAAGCTGTCGATTTTGATTGGGATTTGATTGATTTTGTCTTAACACCTGAATGTGAAGCACTTTGAGCTCGTTTGCTGTATCAGTCTGGTGTTTAAGGCTGAATTTGACTCATCAAATTCAACATCCTGATTTTAGAACTTAGTCTCACTTTTTAGATCTTAACCAAGCTTAATAAATTTGGGAAGTTTACTTACACCTTTCAGAACTTCTTTAAAGTTTAGCACATGTAGTCAGATGGATAACTTTCATAGTAAATACTACTATTCAGTATTTAGACCCCCCTCAGGGCAGGAAAAAGAAATCTGCCAAAAAAATTAAGAAAATCACAAATACACTGCATTAGTCAATGCAGTGCATTGCTGTGTGTGTGTGTATTCAACACTTAAAAGCTTTTAGGACAGGTTGCAAATATCACCCAAGCAAAAAAGAAAAAGCACTCTATAGGTTCACCAGTGGTTGAAACAGGTAGAGCAATCTAAACTGAATAATAGATAGATTTTCCCAAAACTTTTCTCCTTCTTTTTCAACTTTTCCTCAGGAGTTGTGAACAGGTCTGTCCCTGGTGCAGCTGCTCATCCGAACAGAGCGCAATTGCAAGAGGGAAACAACAATCCAGCGGTGAGGAGTTCAGCTGCATCTGACTTGATTGGATGAAAGTTTGATTCTTTGTTGGTCTGTTTCTGCACATATCCCTGCAAACCCCTGCGTGACTTACAGCTGCTTATTCCTTTGCTCTTTGTTTTACCTTTTTAATGACTGATTTGTATCTCCTTTCAGTTCAACAATGAGAGTCAGCGTTTGACTCTTTTAAATCAGCGTGCTCAGCTCCTTCAGCAGCTGGCAGAGCTGGATAAAACTGTAAGTTTATCAAAGCAATTTATTATCTGAAGGTCCTTGTAATTTTTCAACGGAAAAGCTTTCTAGTAAAATAATGATAATCCTCGAATAAAAGTTCGATACACGTGAAAAGTGAGTTCAACAACCTTTTAAAATTCCCTTTGTGTCCCTGTTCAGCTGGAATCAATGCCTCCAGAGGACAGCAGTGATGGTCAGTCTCCTCACGCAGCTAGTCAGGTAGGTGAAGGTTTCCAGATGCTGCTCTTGAATTTGGGACTGATGCAAAATTTGTTATTGTTAGTAAATGTTACCCCCTAACGGAATACGATTGTCTTTTTAAGCCTCCTCCAGCAATGGAAGAATCATCCCAGTGTGAACAAACTAAGACCAGTAATGCTCAGCAGGATCAGCGTCTTACAGCAAAGTCAGAGGTAGACATCGGCTTCTTCCATTTATCAGGTTTTCCTTTACAAAGATTTTTCTGACTTCAAGTGGGTTTCGATTGGGGGAAAAAAAAAGTTGCAAAAAAAAAGTTTTTCTGCCACTTCTACTAAAATTACAATCACATAAATAATGAAAAGAATCATTTGAATTGTTTTAATAAGAAACATTTGTTGATACTTTTGTTTTAAAAAACTTTGTATTTACCAGTTTAATTAATATTCTGGGTTTTATACTTTCAAAAAATTGCTAGTGGAGAGAACAAATGTTAATTCTGTGTCGCTGAATAAATCCAGATTGCTTTTTAGGAGGGGAGAATAAACAGGAAGAAAATGGAGCATTTTTGTTCGAGCACATAAAAAATAAGAGTAATAAATGACTTCTGCTGCAGTCTGATGGCGTATCCTAACAGCACTTTGTTGTCTTTTCAGAAAAAAGAACACGTCTCTGCAGAGTCAGAGGATGAAGGTAATCCTGACGATCCTGCGAGTGATGATGACTTCTCTGCATTTATACCTGACCCTGCAGGGTTCTCTTCGGATGACTCCGGTCACAGCCGTCCCTCTACCCCAGTTGAGGAAAAACCTGTTCTCAAAGAGGAAGAGCCCAACAAACTGGGGAGTTCTTTGTTTAAGGACATGGATGTTGGTACTCCAGTCAAGTCGAGTGCATTTTCTTGGAAGAAGTCCTCTAAAGTTGCAGTGGCAGCAATTCAGAACCCTAAAGAGAAAAAAGTTTATAGAAAAAAGAATTATTGCCCTTTTTGCACCAAGTCAGTTAGTAAAATGGCACGACACTTCGAGGCTATCCACAGTGATCAACCAGAGGTTGCAGTTGCATTTCAGTATCCTAAACTGTCCAAAGAACGACAGAAGATTTGGAATAGACTGGTAAATCAAGGGAACTTTGCTCACAACAAAACTGTCTTGAAGACAGGAAAGGGTCAACTCACTGCCAAGAAACGGCCAGTTTTGACGGGTCAAGCGCAAGACTTTCTTCACTGTCTCTACTGCAGGGGTCTTTTTGCAAAGAAATGTTTGCGCAGGCATGTGAGGTCTTGCTCAGAGAGAGTGAAGAATGAAGATGAGTCTGAGGTGGGAAGAAGACGTTATGCGTCTCTATGTGCGATGGAAGCCTCAGAAGACCTCGGCATAACTGAGGGCTTGAAAAGTATTCTGAGTGTAATGACATACGATGAAGTGACACGAGCGGTTATGGATGATCCCATTATCCTGCAGTTAGGTGAGCTCTTTTTTAAGCAGCATGGATCTGATGAAAGAAGGCATGAGTACATCAGGCAAAACCTCCGTCAGGTGGCGAGACTGGTACTTGAAGCTCAAAAAACAAGCCCTCTAAAAAAACTGGAGGACTTCTTTGTGCCCTCAAACTTCCCGTGCATAGTGGCCTCAGTGAAAGTCCTAGCTGGCTACGATCCAGAAAGTAAAACATACAAAGCACCCTCTCTTGCCGTCAAGCTTGGCTACAGCATACAGAAAGCATGTGCAATCGTCGAGGGAAACGCAGCAAAACATGGTGATGAACGCGTGGCAGAATCTGCACGTGAATTCCTGACGGTGTACCAGGAAAAGTGGACAGAGCTCATCTCTTCGGGTGCGTTGAAAATGCTCAGAAAAAAAAAACTTCAGAGAGACCAGAGGGTGCCGTCTGCCAGAGATGTGAAGCTCCTACACGCCCATTTGGAAAAAGTTCATGATGTTGCAGAGAAAAAACTCAGAACGAGCCCTTCTACAGAAAACTACAGCACTCTGACGAAAATAATGCTTGCACGAACAATACTCTTCAACAGGAGATGTGCTAGAGAGGTTTCATTCGTGGAACTTAAAGATTTTATGTCTCGGAAAAAGTCAAGCCTGCAATCTGGCATGGATGTGTCTGTCTCAGATTTGGAAAGACTCATGTGTGGGTACTTCACCAGAATTGACATTCGAGGGAAGTGTGGGAGAACAGTCCCAATATTTCTAAAGCCGTCATTTGTGTCAGCTTTGGAGCTCATTGTGGAAGTCCGCGAGGCGTGTGGAGTCCCCAAGAAAAATCCCTACCTGTTTGGCCGACCTCACGGACTGTCAGCACAGCATGGGACAGACTGCATCCAGAGATACGCAAAAGCCTGTGGAGCTGAAGACCCTGAAGCACTGAGATCCAAAACGATCAGGAAGCATTATGCAGAAATGCTACAGATAATGAACATGGATGAAAATGAGGCCAGAGAAATTTTAGGCCCGGATGGTCACGAACGAACCCTGCAACAGGACACTGACATGCATGTTGATGTCCAAATGCAGTCCAATGGTAAGAATTTTTTCTTTTGGTGATTCGCCAGAGTAAATGCATGAACACCAGAAGGGAATTGCATGACTTTGCCATAGTACCCTTTTACAGCCCCCTTTAACCGATCAAACAACCAGGTCTTTGATATGGACGTCCCTCAGCAAGTACTTTTCCAGTGCTTTAAATAGGAATTCAAACTCAATTTATTTGATAACAGACAAACACTGGGTCACAGAGTTTGCAGGTGAACAATGTCGAGTTGCCAACCAAGTGTACTAAGTGTTAGTAGAGTTGGCATCACAAGCCAACAAATTTTCTTAACCAAACTATTACCAAAACTTGCCTTGCAACGAGATGCCATGTGTGTTTATTGACATCCAAGTAGACCAATATAGCATCCAGCTAGTGGCAGGTGGCTTTGCAGGAGCTTAGGCACATATGATCTGCTTCTCAGGCCTACAATACTAAAAGTATTGATAACTTCCGTAACTTACAAGTAACTAGGCTGATTACGATTAATCATTTGGTCAACTAAACAAGTGGCCATCCCTGGTTATAAACCTCACTTTCACTTGTATTGTAATCAACATGGCGTGGTTAGCAGATATTTTTCACATGTTTTGCTGCAATGTGATTCAGAGAAATGTGTGCAAAGTTAAAATCTTCATTTTTATTTATTTTTTATACAGAGAGATCACATCAAGCTGCATCATGGCATCAGAACGAGTGTTCCAGTGGACCCTCAACTGCCACTCATCAACCAGCTCATGGAGAAGTGAGGGGCAATAACCAGAAACCCAAACGATCTGTCCACTCAGACAAAAAAGGTACCTAATGTTGTTATTAAAGTTACCTCATTGTCTAAGTTAAAGTTAAATGCCCAAGAATGACAAAAAGAAAACAGTTGATCGTGTTTTGTGGTTTGCAGTTTTTGAGAAAAATGTGAGCAGCCTGAAGAACATGATTGTGTTGTCGAAAACATTCATTTGAATTTAAGGACAAAGACATGTTGACGTTTTATGCTACTAAACCTAACTCAGATGGAGGAGCTGCTTCACTGTTGTCTCTTCTTCCTCAGGCTCCAAAAGTAAGTGCATCCACAGGACATGGGAGGAAGCTGAAGTTCAGGCTGTTGAAAGACACTTGATGCGCTTCATTAAAAAGCACAAGGTGCCTCAGAAAGATGACTGCGTTGAGTGTCTTGAGGCTGAGCCTGAAGCGCTGAGTACCCGCTCATGGAAAGGTGTAAAGGACTATGTGAGAAACAGGATCACCGCTCTAAAAAGAACAAGCAAAACCTGATGACAAACACTGGTTGGGGCAAGTGGAGCTACTGAGTAATGGACAATTAAAGAGGTGTTTAATGTTTAAGTAAAAAAGTGCAACTTTTATTTTTGTCACTCAGTCTTCTGTCGCTCTCTCTTTAGCTGTTCTGCCTCTATATCTGTATTTTGTTCAACATTGGGAGAATTTCCATCTGCTAATTTGACCAAGATTGATAATTGGACCTCTGTTGGGGTTAGACTTGTTTGTGGTTAAAAGCCATCACTGTCATTTTCTATGATTCCAGTATTTCCAAAACCCCTTTTGTAGTTTTATGCAAAAACATAGGAAAGAAACAGGATATTGTAATTTGATCTACAGGTTTAGTTCTAGGCTCACTTTGTTTTTGAGCTGTGAGATATATTCTCAGACCAAGTTACCAGGGCTGCTGTAAGTTACTGTACTTAATTATGTTATCAGCTATATTTGCGATGTCATTGGCTTTCAATAAAGTGCCAAGAGTTTTGTTCTACTTTATTTTCTGTCGATAAACATGGATTACCTGTCTTCTGCTCCTAAAACAATTAGCATCACATTTCAGTTAAATGTTGTGAGGAAGAGCTATTTGATGTGTGGGGATGTTTTGAACTCAAACAAGTTCAAAACTTAGACTTTGTTACAACCTGGGTAACTCAAATAATTTTCATTACTGGCAACATCTGGCACCCCCTTATTACAGACTCTTATTTTGAAAGGACATGCGAAATGCGTTGCCCTGTTCCTTGCTAACATGACGCTAATGTTGCAGCAAAGGCTCAGGTACGTTGGTAAAAGCTGCTGAGTGGGTGTGAATCTTTGATAGTGGTGGTTTTATTTTTCATTTATTAAAACGTACAAACGAAAGCAAAAGGAATAACGCCTCTGAGGTGTCTCGCTGTTGCTGCTGAGGAGAAAATGAGGACGTTAACAACAAACGGTACGGATCCGCTGGACGCCACCAGTTCGCATGAACTCGCGTCCGCTGTAACGTCTGGTCATTTCCAGCGCAAATTCATAAGTCTTTTCTATCCCAGAAGCGTCCAACGTGGGCCTTTTATTGAGCGTTTGCCACATTTTCTTCTAAGTGGATGGTTATGACAGTGAGGAAGAAAGATGCTGAAAAGTAGCGCTACCGGTTGGGTTCGCGACGCTGGAAAACACATCATACCTTGAGCGGCGAAACGGCCACATGCAATACACAATGTATGGGAGCGAACTTTTTCGCTCGCCTGTTCGCTTCACTTGGTCCCATGTTTCCGTTGATGCTCAAGGGTACATAACCTTATTTTTAAAGGCATAAAACGGGTTGTGTCTGTCTAACAGGGGTTCTAAATTCGCTCTTTCTCTGTTGAGTCACTGACTGTCAAGTCTCGGTCAAATCTGTCCAGGAAGCTCTTCTCCTCTAATGTGGGCTAATGTCATAGCTAGCTGACTGAAGAACTACCGTTATCATTAAATTGTAGAGCCAGTTGTTCATTCACATTGTGGCTCGTATAAATGGACACTGGGTTTATGTTTCTCTTGTTTGTTTTTGCAGAATGTTGAGGGAACGACTACAGGTTGGCTACTACTATACTATCAAACGGTTTAGTTATGTACTGATTAAAGGAAACCTTGTGACACCTGTCTGGAGAGGCCTGTAACTACTAACATGACCATGATCAATTTCATTTGTTCTGTGTTACCTCTGTTTTGTGTTACCTTTCAAGATCCCGACCTCGAGAAGACATACACCAATCAGTGATGGTTATGGATAATGATGGACAACCCTGCTGCCAATCAGAGTCAGACACCCAGTCAACCATGGGCAGGGCAGAATGGCTGGTCCCCAGCTTCACCTCAAGCAGCTCTTTACAACCCTCTGCCAAGCTTTCAGCATTTGAATCTGGGCTCTCCTTCTGACCAGAGACTTTGTTCGGAGCACCTGCACCAAAACAGTCAGGGCTGTCAGAGAGACATCTCTCCATCCAGAAACATCACCTGTCACAGTACAGTACAGCCGTACAGCGCTGACCAGAATGTGCAGCAGAGCAATCCTAATGCTTATGTTTCATCCATGGTCACAGCTGCAAGTCATGGAAAGATTATACCTCCATGTTCGCTTCCTCTTACTCATGAAGGGACTCAACCTAGGAAGCCATTTCAGATGCCATTTTATTCCCCTTACAGCCCTTACCAAGCATCACCCTCTTGTCAGCCTCCGTACTCACACCAGGGATCACTAAATGGACCTCAGTCACCTCATCAAAAGCATCTGCCCATCATCTCTCCATCATTTGGACACTGTGTAGGCCAGATCCCACAGTCTCCAACACAGCCTTTACTTTTGGAGGACGGGTCTATCAGATACACCCATAATCATGCCTCACCCACCTCTCCAGTCCAACAGCAACCTCAGTGGGCACTTCAACAACACTCTGCAGGTAGGTCCAGCTGCCGTATGCAAATGACATGCTTGTTGCAGAGGATCTCACAAAGCACGAATCATTAAAAGGTCTTTCAGTGAGGACAGGCCAAATTGTCTGTTAAATTCAGAAAATAACTTCGGCTCTGTCTTGTATCACTGTAAGAAGAAATAAGTGTTGCAGCCAACACTTTCGTTTTACTGCTTTTCTCCTTAGAAACCACAAAACAAGTCATTCCCAGTGCAGCTATACAGGACGGGAGCTTCACGCCACAGGTGAGAAAAACATTCGTACACATGTGCAATGGTTTTTGAGATATCTGCAGATTGTGGTATCATTTTATAAGTCAGATGGTTGATTGAAAATGGTGCAAAGACAAAAACTATCAACTGTTAAAACTGAAAAATGATGTGTTATTTTCTGTATTTGCTCATTTTTTATTTGAGACAGAGTGAGCAAACAGTTTGTGGGTATTGTACCTTAGTGTAAAATTGGTTAAAAAAAATTTTCATCACCTCAAAAGATCCAAGTAATCTTTAAAAACCTGTTCAAAAAGATGCAGAGCTAAAACGAAAACTGGATGCCTATAATTTATAGGCCCATAGATGGCACTACATTGGTAACACACATGACTCTGTAGTGGAAGTCACCACATTGGCTAAAAATCACCACGAAAAATCGTTGTATATGCACACAGTTTTTCACCCCATCCACAAAAGTACACCTGAGATGGCACTATTAATGCCCAGACAAAGCCCTCAAAGTCTCAGTATTGTTGGGACCACATTATATTTGAGGTCTTGAGCAGCAGAGCCCTACAAAGTTAGTCCTCATGTGTTAAAGAGTTAAGTTTGAAGTATAAGCTGTTGTACTTTTCTCGCTGCAGTCTCCTAACTCTGAATCTCGTTATGGTTTGGACCCTGAGCTCCTTCCAAGTGCTGTAAGTTCATTCTTCCAAATTCACTGACCTGGCATGACAAATACAATTTTCTGCCTACATAAGGGACATCAGGAAGGATCTGATATGCACCAATATGTGCTGTCTTTGAAGTACATGTTTCAGTGCATATTCCTGGTATGCTAAGGCTTTAAATTTTGCTTTATTTCAATGTAGTGTATTGTATCAGCAGTCCTGCCAGTTGACACCTGTGCGCCTCTGTTTCTCTGTCTGTCACAGGTGAAAGTGCTTGCAGAGGACACGGCAGAGTGGGAGGGCAAGGTCTTCGTTTCTGAGCCTTTTTCCAGTCTTCCTCCTCTGCCAACCACCTCTTGTATCGTAGAGGACAGGGGTAAAACTCACTACACTGTCTGCACTTGTGTAACACAGTTCTGCTCCTTAAACATTAGTTTTATCCAGCTCCATGTAAGAAAACCAAACAGCACACAGTTTTGTCTTTGTTTCATGCATGTACAAACTAGTTCTGATTCTTGTGTTTATAAACCTCTGAACCCAAAAGGTGCAGAAGAAATACCGGGATGGTGTACATAGATATAGATATGATCCCACACAGATCGATCGGTAGAGCAGAGGGTTAAACAGCATTCTTTTCATATTGCTAACTTTGATCGTACAGCGTCATACTCACACCTTTCTGTCATTTCTCTCACTTTTATTGCACTGCAGGTAGCGCTAGTCCTCGTGCCATCCGATCTACATCGTACTGTGTGCCCTGTGAAGGTCAGACTGCCCTGCTGAGCCGCCTGCCGCTGGGAGCTCTGGTCACACCTCTGGCAGAACAAAATCCTGAAGAGGTCAGTTCCCAACAAAGTCATGCAAACTTCTCAAAAACAGAGAAGGGGAGATATTCTTTTTATTGAAGTAACCTATGAGCTGTAAATAAACACTTAATATGAAGATATCAGCATGACGTCTTTTGTATTTGTGTGTCTCTAGAAGCCCCTGCCTGAGGTGAAAGAGTCAGAGTGTGTTAGGGGATGCGGCTGGTGTGGCGCCTCCATGTGCCCGGCGATGAGCTGGCAGGACTGTGGTCAGAGATTTTACTGCCCCTTCTGTGGTAAACTCAGTGAAGGTGAGATTTAACATTCAGTATCCAAACAAAAACTAAATGCTTGAAGCTAAACTGAACAGCGGTGTTTGTCTCACGCTCACTGTACAGCTATTAATAGAGCACATCTGAGACAAATTCAGTGCAGCAAGAAACATGAAAAAGACAGGTGCTGAAAAGAGGAACATAAAAACAAAACAAAAAAAAACCTTTTAAGAGAAAAAACAGGAATTTGATTTAAACGTTTACCACTGAGTACTCACATGAGCTGTTAAAGCCGTGGTTCTCCGAGAGAATATTGAACTTTTCAGAGTGTTAAAATTGTGTCATCATTCTCTAACACCATACACTAATCTGTCCATTTTCTTCCTGTTATCTTCTAGTAAACCTCTGCATTGACACAACCCCTTTTGTCTTTGACACTGATGCTTAAATTAAACTGTTGTTATTCCTCTTTTATGTCCCAGTGCCATGGCAGCACTATCAGCCCACCAAAGGTGTGGAGGGGGTTCGGGTGGACAAAGACAAGAGATCTGAGCTCAGTATGGGGTCTTATGAGATTCTCAACTCTGAGAAGGTTAGTCTCCTTTTCGATTATTGTCAATATTTGCTAGCAGTACCTAAAATGAATTAAAACTCAGTCAAAACTGAGACTTAAGATGCAGGTCTTGAGTTTCTTGTTGAAATATCAACTCTCCGTGCTGCCCTCAGGTCTTCAGCTCAGCTTTTTCACAGATGAGGGCTGTGATAGTGAAAAAATGCATCACCATGATTGAGCTTTAGAAACCAGTATGAAGGCTCTCACAGCATCAGACTACTTAAAGCTTTATAAACCAATAAAAGCCCATTAAATCAACTCTAAAAGATGCTAACAGCCAGTGCAAAGGCTTTCAGATTAGTGTGATGTGAGCTCTTCTTTTGGTCTGTGTGAGCAGGTCTGAGTTTTACAGCAGCTGAAGCTTCTTTACCCTGTAGAAGATTCATGTTAATGACAAAACATGACTTTACTGTATTTTACATTGAATAAATCAAAAGTGTAACTGCACCTCTAAAGTGTTATTTAAGTACATAAACTTGTCACGATAGATATTGATGTTTGAGATCAATATTTGCTTTATGTCAGGGGGAACCTGCTGCTCTGCTCCTGGCCATCGATGTGTCTGCTTCAGCATTAAGAGGAGGACATTTAGAGTTTGCAACACAACAAATCCTCACTCTGCTCACCTCTTTGAATAGGTAAAACTCGCCCCCTCCTCACTTTGTACTTATGCTTCCTCAAGAACCAGCAACAGTTGTCCATGATTGAGTTTCCAGCCAGCAAAAGTTTGAAAAGGTTTCTCCCGTTTATGAAGGGAGGATGGGGAGGACTTGTCAGACATCCGTGTCGGTTTGATGACGTACGACAGCCACATCCACCTTTATGACCTCAGCCCTGCTTTGTCCCGCCCACACATGCTGGTCATCACAGAGACAGAGGACCTGCAGCTTCCTGTGAGGGAGGGGCTTCTGGTGTCCCTGAAGGACTGCATAGATGGAATCGACAGGTTTGAAAAGCTTACTGACCATTTTTCCCTCATGGGTTTTTCTGAGTCTGTATGCTGAGTGATGTGGAAATGTCTCCTCTGATGGTTTTGTGCACCTCTTTTATAAATGAAATCTCTTGTTCTTGCTTTAAGAAGCCAAAGTTCACAAAGTTCTTGGGGTGAAGGCAAAACCGTGAACTGTTGTTGTCGTGTGTTCAGTGTGTTGCAGCTGATTCCTCAGTTTGCTGCAGAGGGTGATAATCCTCAAGGAGTCCCTATGGAGCTGCCTGTCAAAGCAGGACTGGCTGTGCTGCAGGTCAGTACGATTTAACCCCATCTGACATGACTGGGGGCCCAAAACTAATTCTCCTGAGACTGTTAGTGGGCTGTGAGACAACACCGCTCCACTTGACGTCTGGGTCTCATCTCAACCTGTACGGATTATATTTTGCATACCTGGCTACCAACCACCTGGCTGTGTTGCTAACTTCTTTTGTGTTCACAGAAAATAAATTCAAACTTGTGTGGCACACAGACTTGATTGTTTTTGTGTTTCCAGGCTCTGAATTGTCCTGGAAAGCTGCTGATCTTCCACACTGCCCCTCTGGTAGAGATGGCCAACACAAACTCATCCTCAGGGTTTTTTGGATCCAACAAACCAAAGGTACTGACTGCACACACAAACACGAACTCGGCTAAACTCGTGAAACTATCAGTGTTGAAAGGTTAATTTAAGGGGGAGCATTTTTTCCAGACTTGCAGGACTGTGCGTCTGCCAGAGTTTTCAGTTTCTGTTTTTTTTACAGTCTATCTTTCAACCATCGGAGTCTGTCGTCACATTGGCCAAGCAGTGTGTCAGTCAGGGCTGCAGCATTCACCTGTTACTTCTCTCCAAGCAAGATGTGGGCGGGGCTTGGCCGGGGCACATTCCATATCTAACAGGTGGAGCTCTCTACACCTACAGCCACTTACAGGTAGGTCAACAGCTACTTAGAGCGCTTGCAGGGAGTGAAGATTGTCATGTCTTAAGTCTTAACCTCATGGCTTTTTTTTTTTTTCATCTTCACTGCAGGGAGAATTGGACAGGGAGCGTTTCAGCGCTGATCTGAAGAGGATCATCGAGTCGGATACAGGCTACAAGGCTGAGCTCAGGATTTTTGTCAGCAAAGGTGAGAGTTTTCTTAGAGTGAGTCTCTTTAAAAACGCCTGTGAGTCCCTTATTCATACCTATCCTATCAGATCTACGAGTGTCGGGCTGTTATGGACTTTTTCTCCCGGGGTCCAGCCCCAGCCTGGTCAACATGGCAACTGTTGATGGGTTTACGACGCTGGCTGTGGAGCTGGCACACACCAGGACTGTGGATGAGACGAGGGGTGTAGCCATACAGGTGGGTCCATGTTGAGTTTTGCCAAAATTGGACCAGCAGTGGGTTTGATTTATGAACTTTAGAGACTCAAAGCTATAAGTTGAGCATCTTTCCTCTCTCTTGTGTTTCAGGCTGTTTTGTCTTACTGCACTCAGTCGGGAGACAAAAGGACCAGGGTTCACACTCTGACCCTCAGATGTTCACGCCAACTACAGGACACTTTCAGGCAGTACCAGGCCCAAACGCTGCTCACCTTCTACTGCAAAAAAAGTTAGTTTCTTACACTTTTGATCATCATCGTGATAAAAAAAACAAACCTAGCTCTATAGCAACACCAGTCGATTCAATTCAGACTGTGATTATCTTGAAAGTTTACACTTCAATACCTTTTTGTCACCCCTGTAAGGGGACTGAAATATCAGTATAAACTGCAGAGTGAGGTATTTCATTGTGCTAAAGTACCGGTGTACTATTAAATGAATGAACCTATTGGAGTTGCTTTGATCGACGTCTAAATTTAGGATCAGCGGAGGAGCAAGGGCACAAGTTTACCAGCAATTACTCATGTTTAGTGGATCTGCCTGAACCCCTCAATATTTGATGCTACTGAAGGCTGAGTTCAACCTTTGCACTGGACATTAGCTGGATGGATGTTCCAGATGTTGTAGATTAAGAAACAGATACACATCTGCATAAAAACTGCACATTGCTGAGCACAGTGGTAGTCTTTGCAGGATGACAGTTCAACCTTTATCTCTCAGGGAAGCCTCCAAGATCAGACTGTTGATACACGCACACCAGTATGAGTCATAGTCCAGATTTTATGATACTGATTTAAAAATTCTCAAAACTGAAAAAAAGGAAAATATCAGTGTTTGCTGAGGAATGAATAAAGTTTGAGGTGTGTTTGGTGTGTTTTTCCAGTTTATTGCGCTGTGTTGGAGCGCCCTCTACAGGAGCTGAGGGAGGAACTGCAGACGGAGGTGACGGAAGCTTTGGCGTCTTATCGCAGACACTGCTGCTCTGCATCAGTGTCTGCTGGACAGGTGAGAACACCAACTCTCTCTGAAATCCAACTGTGCAATATCCTCTATTTTTCACCGATTTGAGTACCGTTCTGTGTGTGTGTGTGTGTGTGTGTGTGTGTCCTGTAGCTGGTCCTCCCTCAGTACCTGCGAGCTCTTCCCGTCTACATCAACAGTCTGAGAAAGAGCGAGGTGCTGCTGCCGGGCCTGAGGAGCTCCATCCACCAGCGGCTGCAGCAGCGCTGTCAGGTGCTCAGCATGGACACCTGCAACACCTGCACACACTTCTACCCTCTGCTGCTGCCTCTGGTCAGTACGATCAGAACTCACTCAGACAATCAAATACACATGCTTGCTCTGACAGACTTTGGGGGTCTTTTGGTCATAATAGTGTCGTTTGCAGATCATGTGAGGGCTGACATTAGAAAACCAGCTCTTCTTTTACACCAATTGCATCCTGGGCCTTATTTTTGATTTTATTGTGAGCACATTTGTTGTTTTGCACTCTCACATCAACCAAGGGGTGTCCCAATTCTCTGTAAGGTTAAAGGGAAGGGCTAAGGGTTAGGGGTACACAGCCCTTGAAACAAAGACAAACTGGGTCCTCACTTGAAAGCAAGGGGCAAGATTTTGATATGATTTTCATTGTAATGAAACTCATGCTTTTTACCAGATATTTAACCCTTTGCTACTCCATGTAAATATTAGCGATGTTTTCAATTGTTGGCATTTTAAAATCACGCTATTACAAGCTAGCTAACGAAGCTATAGCTATAGAGGGAAGGGGAAAGAGTGACAGTTGGGATTGGCCCTTAATCTGAAGGTCTCCCTTGTTTGTCTCTGCAGCCGCTCTCAGCCGACACCTCCAACCCTCCAGACTCAGAGGAGGTGCTGCGCTGCTCTGCGGCCAGCCTGGAGCCCAGACAGCTGTACCTGCTTCATGCACCCCTCACGCTGCTGCTCTGGGTGGGCACACAAGTCCCAGCGAGCACCTTGGTAGAGCTGTTCAACACCAGCTGCTTTTCATCTCTGCCCTCCGGAGAGGTGAGAGATCACACTCTTTTCATTTGTATGTTGATCTGTGCAGTTCTGAATGCTCATGTACACTTATGTTTTCAGACGAAGCTGCCTTTTCTGGAGAACCCTCTGTCAGTCAGCGTCCGATCCCTCATCTCCAAACTGAACTCTCAGTCCCCTCGTGCTCGCAAAGTAAGCTTCTACCAATAGCTGCTGTCCTGTCCATGGTTTGATACAGCCTGTGGTCTTGACTCATGGTGCTTCTGCTGTGTGTGTGTGTGTGTTTGTGTGTGTGTGTGTGTGTGTGTGTGTTTTCTGTCTCAGCTGTGGGTGGTGAAGCAGGGCGACACCTGCGAGGAGGCTCTCCAGCGCCACCTGGTTGAGGACAAGAGCCCCAATGGAGGAGCCTCCTATGCAGACTTCCTTTACCATCTCCACGTCAACTCAGTCCGGCTTCTGCAGTGACTTTACACACACACACACACACACACACACACACACACACACACACACACACACACACACACACACACACACACACACACACACTTAAACACACTTCTACACACATGCGTAAATCCTCTGACCTCTCAGGCTGTGGAATGACTTTAAAACAGAACTGCAGTGTAGAGTATCTAACCAGAAAAAAACAAATGTATGATGATTACAAAATCACCGCATGAGAGACATTTCCAGATGTCAAAGATTTTATTTATTTATTTATTTAACGGCTGCTGTGATTTGTTTGGTGTGATGAATGTGATCCTTTCTGTTCTGAAAATGTGTGTTTGGTGTTAATTTATCCCTGTGAGTGTGTGTGGGAAGCCCACAGTACTTACTCTGTGTGTGCATCATCTCCATAAATAATAAATAAAGGTTTTAACTCAACCTCTGCTGAAGTTTGTTCCAGTACTTTTTTTAGCTTTTAATCTCTTCCAGTGTCTTCAAAGAAGGTGGGCAGCAGGGCGGGGATGGAATCTGAACCTGAATACTTTAACGTTTTAGTTCTTAATTCTGTCTACTTTCTAAAACCTCGATCAGACCGCTTTATTTTTATTATTCAGTCACATTCTCATTATTTTAATCTGCTGCTGTTCTCACTGAAACATCTGAACAGAAACAACACTCCTGGAAGGCTAATTACCACTCAGAGAAGACAAACCAACTCCAGCAGGTTATCCAGAATTATCCCAGGTTGTATTTACTTCTTAACAAAAAAGAGATACACTCACCTCTTGCTCTGTGTCTGTTTAGTTGTTATTTGCCAAGGTGTGTGGGCTGGGCTGCTCTGGCTGAATTTGTATCCTGAAGCATTTTGGATGCAGCACAGTGAGACTGTGATGGGAGCACACTGACTCAGAGGATGTGAACCTTTGGAGCAAAAGTTAAACAGCAGGGGCGAGTGCTCCATTCTGCACTTTGGCTCAAAGTATGAAGAAAACCTCTTACCTCTTATCTTCTATCGAAAGAACAGGTAGGCAATGATATTTAGTAAAAAGTTCAGCAATACGATGTTCAGTAAAGAATTTGGATTCGAAGTTAATTATTCCAGGAATTTTCTGCAGAGGAATTTTACAGTTATTTTGGAAATTCAATGAGAAATGAAAGACAAATTATCAGAATGAAGTTATCCTCATCAAAATTGATGTCTTTCTGAAGTTAAAAGCAAATAAATCCCTGATGTGTGATGTAGATAAACATTTATCACGATAATAAGAACACGTTCTGAAGACTCAAACCAGCTCACTCGTATTTGTCCCTATTTGGAAATACGCTCTGAGAAGGCGGGAGGTGTGCTTCATTACGTTATCGCGTTTACCAGCGCGCTCTGCCCGCCAGAGGGCGACAGAGAGCCTCTGTATTACCGACGCTCAGCAGTGAGGCTGTGACCAAAATAAGCGGGAAGGTGTCGAGGTAGATAAAGTTATCAGCGCACAACCGGAAATGAGTAGTTGTTTGCCTTCAAAGTAAATGGCGTACAAGTGTGACTGGGTTTGAAAACGTTCAGCTTACTTGTCAGAGATCATTTTTGACTACATAGATAAATTTAATTAGACTACTAAAATTTAGATGTGTTTAGCCATTTACATTATTTCATCTGAATATGAGGAAAGTTATTCCAAAACTAGATTTTTAAGATTAAACCGAATAACTGAAAAAAAAAAAAACTAAAGATGTCCAAAATCACAGTTCAACATGCCAACAACAGAATTTCCCAATCAAGTCCTTATTCTGTGAGCCAAATTATCAATTAGAGATCAGGATTTGAAGGCAGCCTCAGTTCACCTGTTTGCTTTCACACATGCAACTCACCCTGAAAAAGTCTGAAAACATTTCAGGAGTGCAGTTCATGTGTTGATAGTGAAAAGATTACTATGGCCATGGTTATTGTAAATAAAAGCTTAGTCAGGGTTTTTCCTGGCTCAAATTGAGGCAGAGGTGGCACCATCCTGACCATGCGCCACGACGTGCATGTATTTGTAAATTCAACCGATTCACTTACTTTTACAGGCAACATACTTTAAGTTAAGAGTTCAAAAAAGAGTGTGACCATTATTATGTTAAAGCATTCATTTATTAAAACTATATACATACACAAATCAGCTGGCAACTTTAAATTGAAAGTACACTTCATCCACACATCTCGCAACCAGACAGAACATTTCAGCCTCCTCTTTTTCATTCTGTAGAACCTCCTCATGCACTCCTTGTAGTCCAAGGCCTCCTGGTCTGGTCCATCAACGGCCACCTTATAACAGACATCCAAGTGCCTCTCCTTCAGTCTGTTCCACAGAGGTGTCTTCACCTTAAACAAAACAATTCATCATGTATTAAGTATTTTTGTTTTTATTCTGATACAGACATGAAGAGTGATAGTGTTTTCAATCATATATATGTATACGCTGCAGTGTCCTCCCTAAAAAAAAACGACAACCAATTATTTCTTAAACTATCTAAACTATGTTATTTTAGTTTTTGTAACTTTATTAGTTGAGTTTTTTTAGGTACTACCATCTTTAATATACTTCTCCTTCTCTTCTGCTGCTTTGTGAATGGCTGTCACCTCATGTCTCTTTAATGTGTCCAGCCTATAGTTGGTTGATGGCTGTCTCACTAAGGAGGCAGCAATTGCCTGCTGTGTTGGGGCACAGTGCTTTTGGCATAAATAGCAGTGCATGCCTTCCTCAGTATGCCTGAGCCAGGTAAATTGATTGAGCCACTGCTTGTCAAAGCCACTGGCTCTGTGTTTTTGAGAAGATCTGGAAAGAGGAATAAAAACCACGTACACGTCGGCTTTGCGTTGTTATACTCCTAATTGGAAACTAATTAATTAATTACCCTCGCCTCGCCGACTCGTCCTGTCCTGCATTCTGACCCTCGCGATCACCAGTCCCTTGTGAAGTACTTTCAGACCTGACACAAATTTCCACGTTGTCACCAACATGAATTATAGCATTTTAACTGCCTGTTACGTTTTTTCTCTGCTGTGTTTCACTTGGACTCTTGACTTTCCTCCTCGCGAGGTCGCTTTTTAAAGTACTGTCTGATTTTGCCTGTCATAACTGCAACGCTAAAAAACGGAGTAAACTTTTTTTTTTTAAATAAACACGACATGCTTGGATGCAAAAAAAGAGAAGCAGTATTTACCTGTTTGTACCATCCGCCAGGGAAAATCAGGACGCTGATAGCACCAACTAGCGGGAAAAAAACTTGAAAAAACATGATTCGATCCGTTTCTTCTTCGGTAGATGCTTCAGGTCTCTCCGGTGCACTGCTGTTGATATAGCGCCTCTATAGTGGCGCAACCCTGCAACTGCAGTTAAAATACGTTGCTGCTGCATCGGGACATCAATCGCTCAATCAACACAGCTGGAGCTTTACGCTGTGTTGAGCGAAATCAATCGCTCTGGCTGGGGGCGGCACAAAATTAGGTGGAGGCGGCCGCCACGCAATTTTGAACGCAGGAAAAACCCTGAGCTTAGTTATCTTGTATACCTAAGTTATTATCCTGCAGTAACTAGCTGTCATTTGATTGTGAGTTAGTTATTATTTTGTGCGCAAAGAAAGTTATAATCTCAAGTGCACAAGGTATGTCCTTATGTGTACAGTTATGTTGTGCAAAAAAAAATAATTATTTGATGTAAGAAATGGAAAAAGTCAGTGTTATGTGCATGCAATACAGGTATCTTGTGTGCAAAGAGGATAATTACCATGAGCCAAAAAAAAAAAAAAAAAAAAGGAACAATGTAGGTTTTTGTTAAAAATAAAGTCAACAGTATTAAAGTTGATTATTCGTAAATAAGTTAATTATTTATTCCTGTTAAACAACTTTAAATGTAATGATCAATTACACTACTATTTTGTATCGTTTTCCGAAGTATAACATAGTTTTAACAGTCATTATTAAATTTGTATTTTACTCTGAAATTCCCCACCGGAAGTTTCTCCCCTCAGTGAGGCGTTCTTGACTCCATGTCCGTTGAGCGCGGTTAGCTGTCAGATAGTGGAGAGAGACAGTGTGTATGAAAGAGAGACAGAGTGAACACCCACTCCGGTTGCTCCGTCTGTCCGTATCAAACGCTGCTTCACTCGGCGCCTCCTTACAGGCTTTCCACCGCTCCAACGGCCGTCTAGCTGCTGGGCGGACCTCGACTTTGACCCGCAAAAAAAAAAGAAAATAAATAAACAAGCGCCAAATTCTCCCCCCCACCCCACCCCACCCCCCTCCGGAGCTGTCAAAGTAGAAGAGCCGAGAGAGAGGAGAGCGACATGGCCACGACAACCTGTACGCGATTTACGGACGAATATCAGCTGTACGAGGAGCTGGGGAAGTGAGTATCCGCGGATTTTAACGTGTTTGTGAGCTTGTGTGTTAGAGAGTGAAACGTGGATGAAATATGGTGGAAGATAAGTGCAGAACTGAGCGACTCTGCAGGCCAGCAATGTTGTGTGTGTGTTTGTGTGTTTGCGTGTGTGCGTGCGTGCGTGTGTGTGCTTTTTTAGGGATGTCAGCTCTCAAAATACGCGGCTCCCCTTCTCTGTGTGTGTGTGTGTGTGTGTGTGTGTGTGTGTGTGTGTCTCTCTCTCTCTCTCTCTGTTTCTGTAAGTCAACATCTCCCTCCAACACACGCCTGCTCCTCTGTGACAATTTTGCGCCGATAAATTACCAAACATCTGCAACAATTCTCGCAAATTTTGCAGTTAACATCACGTGCATGCGTTTACCGCTGAAATACAGTAACGTCAGGGGTCTTGAGGTGCAACCACTGAGGGTACAAACACCAAAAACACCCGCGTTTTAATCAAAAAGTGCAAGGATTGAGTCGAAATGCATGAATATTGAGTCCTTGACAGCCGCACACGTATCAGTTTTACACCAGAAAAGTATGAGAAACAGCAGTTAATATGTACAAAGCAAAAGGAATAATGTAATTTAATGCATTTTCTTTTGTCATCAAAACGCACTTTTTCAGACTTTTTTGGGCTGTTTTTCAGTACTTCATTTGCATTGACCTATTTCTCCAAGTTCTGATTTAATGCCCTCTAGATGTCCACATATTTCGCACAAAGCAAGTAGTTTTCATGGTTTCACTGCACAAGATGCAGAAGTGTCTGCATGTCTTAGACAGGGAGATGAGTGTTGCAGTATTTAAACAGCTGATAACAGAGGATAAGTTATTCTATGCTGACACCAGGCACATTTGCACAGACAACTCTCACATATCTCTTTTAGTTCATCTTAATTTAGCTGCCCATGTAAACTCGTATCAGACGTTAATAAAAGCATGTCATTAAAAATGTCTAGAATTTGTGCAAAACTTGATATCATCACTTTAATTTGGAGGTAAATTGAATATTTAAGTAAAATTTTCATTGCTATTATGTAAAATAAGCTGAAGTTATACTACAGGGTCTGCTTGAATAGAGCAAAAGTGATTTTAAAAGCCTTAAACATCAAAAATTGAATGTCCCCCAGTCCCTCACTCTCCTAATATTTAGCAAAAATAATCCCTTTACCTGCACTCCACCTACCACCAAAGTCATAAACAGACAAAACAAGTTCAGCTCAGGTTGCTTCAGTCATCCAACTCCCCCCTGAGTGCTGCTCACGCACTTTGAGTCTCTTTATGTCAGCATTATAGTAATCATATTATCAGGAACCAGCGGAGGAGTGAGGGCAACAATGGAATAATCACTCTTCATCAGGCTGGCATGTTTACATCGCTGCTTTACAATGTCGAGCATCTCTGTAATGCTGTTTTAATTACATGACTGATAGAGAGAGATCCTTCAGCTGTTTGACTACAAGTCTGCACCCACTTCTACCATAAAAACCCCAAACTCAGAGCGGAAATGTTTTACACATTGATGAGGAAATATGTAGTGTTCGCTGCAGCCTGTTAAAACTTGAACTACTCCTTTAATTTCAACATTATTAAACAGAACATGTTAATAATGGTCCCTCATAAACCACTAGACACAGTCTGACCTGTATGGGATTCTGGAGACTGATAGCATGACCCATTTGAGAGCAGAGAAATGGACCAGTTACCTTGTGCGGCCTCAGATAAAGGAACTTTTTTCAGCTGGGATACATGGGAACTTTTTTCAGCGCTGACTGTGAATAGACTCATTCATATCATTCTTTATTTATAGGGCGCTAAATCACATCAAATGTGCGATGCTTAAAAGAAAGAGAAGACACAGATCATACTCTTTGTTTAATTGATAATGACGCAACATCAAGATATAATAAGACTGAGTCTCACCTTGTTAGATCCGACCCTTTTTTTCTGGTCTTAATCTACCATGAGTGAAACACTTTGCAGCATTTAGCAGGTTATAGTGGAGAGGAAAAAAACTTCCTTTAATCAAGCAGAATCCTTGACTCATGTCAGACAGTCATTTACAGCTTCTGTGATTGGTGTGAGAATAGAGAAGTGGTCATTGTGGCAGCTGGTCCTTGGTTTAAGACGTTATTGCCCGTTTTAGACATGTTTTCCCCTCATGGTTTTAGTCTAGTTTAGTCGAGAAAATATAAAAAATGGAACCCTCTATAGTCTGAAATCGATCACAGAGCCCAATGTACTTTTTTATTTCATGAGCTAGTTCATAAAACTGCTGATTGTCTGTTTTGGCAAATTATCGGCCCGATGTTCGGTGTTTTGTTCATTATCTGTATTGGCCTTTTAATGTACCAATGAACTGGCTCTTCCAAGGGCATGACCCCCTTTGGGTCTGCTTATTTGCACATATTTGTCTCTCCTAATGTCCCATCCACATGTTTTAATTTTAATTAAATATTGTATTTAATATTAATACCATTTATTTAATATTAATTAATATTAATATTCTAAGTCTAAATTTTGACAAAAAGTTTACTGTAAATGAACATTGGTTCCAAATATCAGTAATATTTTGACGTGTGTGTATAAATAAATATACATAAAAAAATCCATCTATCCATCATGCAGACTGGATGCACAGCGGTCAGTCCCCTGTGTGTTCGATTGAGGGGCTGCAGTGATGTCGTATCAGACAGAATCTTATTGATCCTGCAAAATGAGAAACTGGTGACAGCATGATGTGTTTTCACACATATGACTGATGTTGCATATCTTCTCATGGCTTTTGCAGTGGTCAAACAATATACAGGTGGGATATAATGGCTAGTTTTCCAGGATGTTAACACTAAAGGAGTGTTTTTGACACAAAACTGGGTCACCTTCTGAATCCGGTGTTCTGTTATAATTCATACCTTCGGCTGCTCCCCTCGCTGGCTTCCCAAAACTACCCCTCAGTTCTGCTGGAGAGTTTTGTTGGTATATCTACACACACGTTTGGATGAAGGTTCTAGCTTGATGGATTGGGCAGACACAGGGATGAGTCTGATTCATGACGTTATATCTCAGCTTTGCTCATCTCTTCCCATAAGTAATAAATATTCTTCGTAGTGGAAATTTATCTTAAACCAGGTGAGACTTCCAGCTCTCTATTAAAAACATACATTTGTAAGGAATTCAAGAGATCAAATGCAACAGCCTTGTCCTGCTCTGATGAATTCAAGCTCTTCCACAATACGCTCCAGTCAAAAGCAACACCTTTGAAGCTCCCTGTGTGAGAGAGACTTATCTGCACACCCTGCAAAGTATCTCTCAAAGACCAATCTTCTTATTCACGCGGGCGCATAAAGCTCAGAGGAAAGAGCGCAGGTATGAATGGTTGGCACCCACATGATAACGCTCCCTGTAACTCTGTAATACTAATCTGGCGTCTGAGGCGAGCTAATTGTTGCGCACTCACTCTCTAATGGTGTCACTTTCTCAGCGTGGTTTATGACATTTAAGCGGTAGGCTTTGCTTTAGTCTGTTTGGAGTATGCATAAAAAGTCTGTCAGGCTTTACAACAAAAAGAAGGAGTGCATTCTGGGATATTTGTACCATTTAATGTCAGATGTATGGATTTGGATAGGAGTCAGAAAAGCAGCAGGTTTCAAAGCCGACACAATCTGTTATTATCAACACTGTGCATATAGGGCTGGGTGATAAAACAATAACGATATATATTGAAAATTAACTTCCTTCAATATCAATATAAAACATGGTCAATATTCTTTTCGATAGTCACGGCCTTATGACAAAAAGTCAAAGAGACACAAAGACCTCACAGATGCAGTCGCTTCTTGTATTGTAAAAGACTTGCTACTAATAAGCACAGTTAAATTTCATTTTTTATGTTACAGATATATCAATATCGACTGATGTGAAAAAACAAAAATAGCGTGATTAACTTTTTCCCATATCGCCCAGCCCTATGTGCACATTACACAAAAATGGACGTTATTTATTTCTAGCCCAACACAAGCTCAGAGTTATCTGGTTACAGAAGTCTGGACCACTGAAGGTGTCAATTTTTTCAAAAATAAACCGAGATCCATTTTTATCTAACCATGTCCACTCTCTTGGACATGAAACCAGACTATGAGGAGGAATGACTCATGATCACTCACCTTACTTGACTGCTTCTCCTAGTGTGTGTGTGTGTGGGTGTCTTAAACACAACCATGTGTCTGCTGGATTCTTCCTTTGGGTCTAAATATGAAGGTACAGCACCAGTCCAGACCTTCAGTGAGGCACTTCAGACCCTCCTCAACTTTACGCTGTTGAGTTTCAGTCTCCCTTCTCTGAGTTTCAGGTCAGCTGGTCTCACCACTTTCACCTTTGACCCTGACCTTGTCGGCTGTCTGTTTCTGCCTCAGTGTGGAGGCAGCCCAGTGGCACCAGTCAGCCTTTAAGACTGAAGCAGATCTGGATGAGAAAGCCAGGGTTGACCCGCGTTGTGAGGAAACCAGGGCTGAGACGGTTCCTTGAACAAACTGAGTAACACAGAAACGCAGCTTCATTTTCAGCACTCTTACTGCATTTATTGCCACACAAAAAGCCAGGACAAGCAGCAGAGCGGTTTTTATCGCAGATCTGCAATAAAAACCTCTCCCTGACCAACTTGTTGGGGACTAAAGCCGTTAATCCTCCACCTGCCAACACAGGGGTCACATTTTTACAGCCTTTCTCAGGTGAAAGTTAAAGTTCAGCTCAGTTTCCTTTCATTATTTAAAAATTAGCAGAGACGTTTTTCCTGTGAAATCTACAGCCTGAAACCCGGTCCTACTTCTCTGTCTGCTCTGCTGTGCAGGGGCACGTCCAGACCTTCCCACTGGATGGGTGGGGGTGGTGAGGGGGCGATGGCACAATTAGGGGTGGTTGGGGAATATCTTTAAAATGTCACACAGGTATTTTATTCCTGTGAATACTTTATTAGTATATATAAGTATATTTTTCCAGGTCTGTTTCCCGTACAAGATAAGATAACTATTTATTGTTACCACAAAAGGCAAAATACTGTTAGAACAAGCTTTGATTACTTGATTACTAAAATATTTGATCATTGCAGCTCTAGAGGAAACTCCTCTGCAGACTGAGGAAATATTTGCTGCTCAAAGTTTATCAGCTTTCTGTTTTTTTTTTTTTTTAAGGAACGTGGTGATATTTTTGTGGCTTCTATTTTGTTCCTTGTGGGAAGAATGAATCCTCAGCCTAAATAATTACGTATAAACATTAGGGATGGGCGATAAACTATTGTTTCCGATAAATCATCAGAAAAATCCTCCATGATAAATATTTGCCATCTCACAATAAATACGATAAATGCAACGATACGATGGACTCGCAGCCGTAGCCCACACAGAGTAGCATAACAAACAAACATGGCCGAGGGTAATGAAGAAGAGGTTTCTGTGCAGCTCGTTACTGAACGAGGCTCTACATGAGGGATTTCCTTCAAGATTGGAGCTTAGATGAGTGCAATGAGGTATGCCTGACATCAGACAGTGGATCTGCTCACTCTGTGCAATAAGAGTTTTCAACAAATGTCAGAAATGTTTTCACACTTGAGACTTGTTTGATGTCATTAGTTTCCTCCATAACCTACCACTCAAACTTGTGGTTAAGTATCTTATTTGACTACTCCAACTGGTGTTCTCAAGACAAAATGAGTCAAAAATATAGATTGGAATTATAATACTTTTTATTGTTATCGCCTGATTGGCAAATCTTATCGTGATAAACTTTTTAGCCCATATCGCCCATCCCTATAAAGATTTAAAATTGTGTGATATAAAGCCAAAACGAAGCACACTGCAGTTACAGCAGAAGTTACAGAAACATTGTGTGTATCCCATCACAGCAGCAGAGCCTCTGTCGTTGGTTCAAGTATGCATGTGTAGAGCATAATGTATATGTTCATTTATTCATATTCATATTATATGATAGTTCAGGATAAAGGAAAGGGTATTTTTGGCATGACGTGTTTTCAAATATAAAACAAAGTGAGAGAGTTAGAAGGTGTTTGTCTCATCAGCTGTTTTAGCTGTTCCCTCACACCCCACACGTGTGCATGTGATTGAGAATGTGCTGACTCGGCTCCCAAGACCTCATGGGGACCCATTAAGGAGACACGTCCTAGCAGCGTGGTCTTTTTTGCAGCTAGCTGGAGGTAACGTTGGCAGGTGGCGTTAAGTCTGCACTGCAATGGGCTTTAAATGTGCTGTCATAGCAGGAAAGGTTCTCCACTAAACCTGAACCATGGTTATCTGGGTCTCCTCTCTTTAACTGTGTGCAAAGAGTAGTTTCATGAAAAGATGATTTATAACGCAACTCTAAGGTTCTGTCATGAGACGACATTGTCCACTGTTTGCTGATGGGATGTTTTATTGTATGTGTGTTTTTCAGGGGAGCCTTTTCAGTGGTGCGCAGATGTGTGAAGCTGTGCACAGGACAGGAGTATGCCGCCAAAATAATCAACACCAAAAAGTTATCTGCAAGAGGTAAGTGCGGCTGTGCATCAGAGTTTGAGCACCACGTGTTCTGACTTCAAGACGAGATTAGTTATTGCATTTAAACACACACACACAAAAACACACACACACACAAACGCACACAGTGCTGTTCCACCCTGCTGGCTCCACCAGCTCCACCCCACTATCACGCCTCTGCCACATATCGCAGATGAGGCGAATCCGGATCAAGGACATGAGAGCCAATTGTACCTCTAAGTCGAACAATAGTGAACAGTTTTCTTTCAGTATGCATGTGATTGTGACAGCCTCTCTCCTCCTGTTCATTCCGTCCTACGGCTTTTCAGACCTGCACCGACACACACCTGCCTCCTCCTGCTCCACCTCTCCACCCTGCAGTGTAAATTTTAAACTTTATCTCTGGCGTTTCTATGGACGTGCAAACTGGCAAAACGGCCCCTGTGGTGAGGTCTTACTGGCTACCAATCAGACCTAAATTAATAGCAATGCTTCGTACCGAGCCACAAAAGCAAAGTAGACCATCAGAGAGGAGAGCGGACAAGAGGCTGTTTCAGGAAAAGTTATCTTCAATGCTAATGAGCGTACCAGCCTGATCTGAGTGTTGAGTCCATTTAAAGCAACAAAAACCATAAGAAAGACTCGATAAAGATCCACCAAGACCAGTTTCAAGATAAGAGAGGATAAGGGATCATGCAGAGGGAGCAAAAGTGTGTTTTGAGGTTTGATCAAAAGCCTTAAAAAGTTCCACCTCACTTACTTCCTCAACAATAAAACCGTCAAACTTCATCAATTAAAAAGTTCTGGACCTATAGTGGTGTCACACGCTGTGCCGACAGTACCAGTTTAGGCCAAAGCCAAGGCTAAATGCCACGGCCATGAGGGGTGATCCGGCTGCCCAGAGCTCGCTGTGGCTCTCAGCACCAACACTTGCCTCGTGTAAATCTCTCCAACCCTGTAACCAGAGCCCCCCGCTGCCGAGGCCCTGCCAGGTGGCACCACGCTGTCACTTGACTGTTACTCTGTCCTTAAACACACACACACACACACGCACACACACACACACACACACACACACACACACACTCTTGTGGTGGAGCAGGCATTTTAACAGGCATTAGCAGAGGGCAGCAGCCTTGAACGTCCGGTCGTATCTGTTTGTCTCAATCAGCAGCATGAGATCTGTCTGAACCAAGTGCAGAGCTGAAGTGGAATTACAGCAGAATAAATCATGATCTCAATATTAATCAAAATAATTGAGCCGCCCCGAGGTGGACGTGTTTTAGGTTCATTTGAAAAATTGTTTTCTGCTTCGTCATTTTGCTGCGGAAACAATCTCAATCTTAAAAACTGAGCGATTGACTCCTTACTCCCCTTTTTGGTGTTGCTGTTGGGAATAATTTTAGTTAAGTAATCAAACATTCATCATTTTTTTGCTATAGAATATCAAACTACCAACAATCTTTTTACTTGTTTGAAGCCGTGATGTCACATTTGAACTGTCTGTCGGCGCAGTCAGGAGCTTTTAATGAGATTAAACCCATCCTAGATTATCCTGATGCTATTACCATGAGGCAAACGGTTAATCCCAGCGATTGGCTTGATGAGACCTAAACCCGCACACACACACACACACTAACAGATTAAATAATTCACCTAAAGGTTGTGCTATCATTAGCTCTATGTATTTCTCTCTGGCAGCTTTATCACAGAGTGCAGCTGCCTGCAGTTTCTCCACCATCTTCCTGAGCCACATTATAATCTCCCTGCTTGTACATTTGATAGGAGGACTGATCTGACCTGACTGGGTGGTGCGCGAGGCTTGCGCTGCGCTCTTACTAATGGATGAGCCGTGTTCTGTGAAACAGCAGAGCAACGTTTGGGCTGCTGCATACTACTTCTACTCCAGGTCCTATTTTTAGCTCCATGACCTATCCGACATGGGCTGCCACTGCCAGGTTTTATGGCACTCATGATGACTCGCTGCTCTTATTTAGAGGGGGGGGATTTGTTGAAGTTTTGTTGATGTTATCTGAGAGGTAGCAGGTAAGGTCGGTGAGCTTGGGGTCCCAGTTGCAGCTACTTAAAGAGGAGTGTTTGTTTAGGGCTGGCAGATGGAGACGGGAGCCGAGGGGAGGGAGGGGTCATGCGAGAGAAGGCACCCCAGGCACTTGGCAGCTGAGGGCCATGCGCCTGTACGCCTACATGCCTTTAGCACGGGACTCTCATCTGACTCTCTTTCTCTCTTCCTCTGACACACACACACACACACACACACACAAATTCAGACAGACATAGCAAGAGGAGCTGAGACTGTGATGCACTCAGTTAACTGCATGCTGAACTCAATCTTAAATCTAAGAGAGCGACAACAGGAGAGGGTTCTTGCTCATTTTGGTTTAAATATTTGAAAAAAGGTGCTACAGTTTATTCAGCAACATCTTTAACATGTTAAAAAACTGAATTGTTGAGTCGGTCTGACAGAATCTGGACTTGCTCTTCAACATGTTAGTCCAGCTCAAATTGAACTTCTGGGGATCAGTTTTCTCTTCTGCTTCAATCAGACCTAAACTATGTCCACATGCTCCATACATGGAAGGTGGAGCTTTGACCCAGAAATTTTATTGCATAAATGCACTTCCAGAAAGCCAGGTAGTAAACAAAACTTTGGCAAAATAAGAAGGTAAACTAAAAAACTAAACGTTGAACAGAGTAGTTGGATGGCCCTGCTTTTAATCTTTTGGCTTTTTTCACATCATATTGTCAGGATTTTGTGATACATACTGAATGACGCGCCAAGATATCAACTTTTTACTTATTAAAGCATGATAGGACAAAGTTACAGAGCCCTTAAAGGGACATGAAGAAAAACATTTTAGTCTTAGATAAAAAGAAATTAAATCACTTCTGCGACACAGGCACTGTTTTCTTATAAAACATGAGTCATGGAGGACAAGTTGAAAGAATTCGTTCAGTCAAGGGACGTGCGGAAGACATTATGAGCATGCAAAGGGACAAGGTGGACAGAAAATGAGTTCAAAATAAGATTCAATGAACCTTTCCCACGGCTGCTCCAATATTTTTGTTGAATTGACACGGAAGTAATACACTGACCAAGTTTTTGCAATAGTTTTGCAAGGGCACAAAAAACGATTGCAAACGCTCGCAGTAGTTTTGTGAGATCTCGCAAAAAATCTCAAGAATTTTTTATTTTTTTTATTCATCCATGTCCCTTCAGGGGCTCCGTAGAAAGTCAGTGTTTGGAGATCAACCAAAGCGCAGCAGTGTTTCCCACGCATACATAGATGATACCTGGATGAGTCACCTGAGTATATGTGCTCCCATTTTTTTGTCCATGTGACACATGCTCTGCAGGTGGTCAGAGAGAGAGTCCCTCCTGTTAACGCTCTGAAGTGTGATATCTCATATTTTAATATCGACCCTCTCATGCTGCCATTTTGAAAGTAACCTCCCTATCAGTGTCGTTCTGCGCTATCTGACAGGTGGATCCTTTTGAAATGCCATGTCATGTCATATGCAATGCTGCATATCGCTTCGGCATAGCTTTAAGATGGCCCGTTCGGTCGAATTCTTCTTTTTGGTAACATGCAGCATGCTTCAAGAATGTTAACGAAGCTCGGGATGCCAGCGTCTTCAACTCTTGTACATGTTGGTAACTTAAATGCCTTCTCCTGTGGGATTTGTCTCGAGATTGCAGGTTTTTGCAGGTTGTATGTGTTACAGTGTTTCCTCACAGCATTTCACCTCCTGCATACAGCCTTGCTTTTGCATGCAGACTGTAAGTACTGACTTCCCACCCAGGAGGATCTTAAGAGATGAGGGACCACAGGAAGGGGAATATACTCAAATACTGACCCCTGTATGAATGTCAATTTGAGTGGGCGAATCTGTTTCTGTGAAATCTTTGAAGGTCTCATTCACACGTGGATCGCCTCATGTGTTACCAGATGAAACATCTTAATATGCAGGTTGGGTTTTAGGTGGGATGTTTGTAGGTTTAGGTGTTGCAGAACTTTGACTGCAAATATACCCCAAAACTCTCTCCTGTCCTGAGTGCAATAACCAAATATGTGTCAAACTGTTTTGGTCATGATTTTCCAGCATCAGTGAAATGCAAATGTAGGACAGGTCTGCCGGGTAAGGCCTGCAGCCAATCACAGAGCTTGTTGCACTAGCTGTGATCTCTGGACAGGGTTTTGCTGTATTACATTGTACTTTTCAAGAAAGAGAGTGCCTGTGCTTGTGTGTGTGTGTGTGTGTGTGTGTGTATGCACGCAGGTGAGTGTCTGTGGAAGTGCTCAGTGGTCAGACTTTCACCTGCAATGCAGTCTCACTGATCTGACCCAGTTTGTCTGTCCAGCTTTGTGTCAAAGTCACATAACCGGGACAGACGCAGCCACACCAGGCGAGTCTGTGATAAACCTGAGTGTCAGTTGTGTTCACACACACGAGGAGAAACTTAAAAATGATCTCAAATGTGCACAGACTTCAAAGACGCATCAAGAGCCAGAGGTGAGATTTTACCTGTTGGTTTGAGGTCAGCAGATGTTTGCTGACTGATCTGTACTGTGGGGCGACTGTGTTTATCATCACCCAGAAACACCCTCAGTGCCTCCATCTCCTTGTAGGTACATCTCTCTAAATTCACATACAGATGACTGTAAACACTGCTGTAGACTGACCTTAATTCTGTTTGTAAACTACACATCGGCATAAAAGCTGCAAATTGCTGAAGTTTTCATGAAGGAGCAATGCAAACTGATTTTCTCCTAAAACAGACAGCTTTTGGAGCCAGCCTCAAGTGGACAGTTAGGGTACTGCAGTCTTTTGCACTTAAAACCTGGCTTCATTTTCAGTACTGGAGGCTGCTGCATGATTTTAGGTTAAATTGAAGGACGTGAGGTATTTTTAGGGAACTGTCTCATGGCCCACTTCCCCACTAACTCCATTATATTCTCCTGACATTGAATTCCAGTATCCTTGAAAGAGTTCAGCTTTATCTTTAATTTGAGGGCTCCAGCACAGGACTACATCCTCCTATTCTCCAGTTACTATAAAATTAATGGAAGATCCAACATCCTGACTCAAACATGGCTGCTTCCTGACCTTGCTGACATATCCCGACTGGCGTGATTCTGTTGGGAGTCAAACGTTCTGAACAGACGGGTTATATCTGGCTGTCTTTGTGGCTCTCTTGTTACATCTCCTCCTCTCTTGAGGCTTCCCCGTCCTCACTGGCGATGATTAACCCAGTTGTGTTCCTCTCCTCTCTGCTCCTCCAACATATAGAATCCCTCAGACTCCTCTTAAAGCTGCCAAGGATTATCTCACTCACTGAACACTCGGTCCTTATGTTATTCTCTGTAACCTATATCCTCCTCCCTGACCTCTTTTCTCTGTTCTCTCTACCTCCCTGTAGGACTGATCCTCAGCCTCCTTTCTATCCCTGCCTTCTTCTCTCTTTTCTTATTTAACCTGCTACACCAGAAGCGCCCTAACTCAACGGCTGTTTACCACGCAGACTTCATGAGCCCACCTATGGGCAGTTTTAGTCTAAACAGTTCTAGTGACTTTTTAAGAGGAGCTTCTTTGACCAAGAATGCATTTATGTTTGAGGGCTTTAACTTGAATATCCTTGTCCCTAACTAACGTCACATGATAAATCTGTAATTTTAAAGACGCAACAACTGAAGAAAATACAGTTTATGTTGCTTATTGGCTGTATCTAATGAACCGATGCTGAACTAGCACCAATATATGACTGATTATCTTGTTTTTATGTATGCGTCGAGTCAACTTCAAGTCTTGAGAAGTGAGTGTTAAAACTGCAGTTCCCTGAGTGTCCACTTGAGGCTGGCTCCAAAAGCACCAGAAACCACACACACACTCATTCAAAAAAGCTCAGTTTCAAAGCGCAAATAGACAAGTGAACAGCCTGGTTCAAAAAATGGTTTTGGTGTAACAAGCTCAGTTTTTTCACTACAGGAGGAGTGAATTTGTTTTTAAAAGGGTTAGTTTTGAAGATATTTAGGTTACGCGTTTGGTGAATCAGAAGCATGGCAGGCCTGACTGACAGGTGGGCTTATTATAGGTCAACCAAAAGTTAGGTTGAGTCAGCACTTGCAACATGACAACCGCTGCCAAAACGCTTCAAAAGTCCGTGATGAGACAAGCGGGCAACCTCAGCACAGACTGTTAAATAGTCTGTGGTAAAAAAAAATGCATTTATCTCAGAGAAGCACACTTCAAATTTAACAGTGAGTCCCTTCAAAAGTCTCCCGTTTCCTCTGAATTGACACACAGGGAATCTTTGGATATGTTGGGCCAGATAGAAAGAGAAGGATTCTTTAAACTGGGACAGCCTTCGAATCACTGCTGTTACCCCATCAGTCTTGATTTGCATCCTTCAAAGGATGTAGCCGCCCTGAAATGGGACACAGCTGATCTGTATTCAGAGATAGAGTTGTAAGAAGATCCAATGAGACAGTGATATCCTAAAACACCCTCATTCATCCATGACTATCACTGCCCACACCCCCACACTCCCCCTCACCTCCACCTTATCTCACCCAGGTCAGACTGTATGTCCAGTCGCTCCTTTATGAGGAGAGCTGGGAAGTACAAAGCCTTGTAAGAGTGGACCGCAGTGGGTGGATCATCCGTCATTCACTGAGTTGGATGAAGGTTTAACGCCCATTGATCCAGCAGGCCTGATAAAGCCGGGATAAAGGACTTGAATTGCGACCTTCCTTGTAAAAGAAGAGGTTTGACGTCTGACTTGAGGTCAATCTCTGGCTGCAAATCCAAAGACATATTCTCTGTGACCCACTGGGTTTTTCAATCCAAGGCAGGGAGACTCCCGACACATATTCTCAAACTAGTGTGATTAATTCCCGGGCTCTGACAGTTTTGTATCAGTTTATTTGTCAATATAATTCCCTTCAGCTTTCCCTCATGCTGTCCTCCAACAACATGCAGAAAACTCAGGCTCAGTCCGGCCATCTGGTGGGAGAAGCGAAGATGAATGGTTGTGCTTATTTGGAGCCAATTCTCTGCTTGTGGAGTAACGTCGGCAGATGCTACGTACAAACTGAAATGTGATTCATGTGCTTATTACAGGAAGTATGATGTCTAGGATTGTACAGTGTAAGCTGGCGGTGGGTCAGTTTTCAGTTGAGGGATAACCTCAATGTTAGAAAGTAGAATAGAGTCTTAAAAGGATATTTCAGCGTAAAATTAATTCAGGGTCAAAAACACCATAACACCGACTTAGACACCCCCCCTGAGAGATGAATGTTGACGACCGCTTGCTTCTCTAGTTATACCAACTTTAGTAACAACGGCAAGATAGCAATACACAGTGGTCTGAGGAGCCAAAACAAACCTCAACCAAAAAGCCACTCTATAGCCACAGATAATACTTAGACCAGCACCTAACTTCATCAACAGTACATATAGGGTCCCAGACATAGTACTAGCCTCCATACATCTTTTTAGCTTTGCCTGGTTTCTTCAGCAAAGAGACTGAATACAACTCACCTATTCTCCTCCAGCAGCCACTTGTTTGTAGCGAGACCTCGACCAGTCCATCATAGACTGAGGCGGAGTGATGCAGCTCAAGGAAGAACATTTATGATCATTTCTTCATGGAAATGCAATCAGACCGAGACACTAAGGCAGAGGAACTGCCGCGTCTGCAGTGCAAAATGATTAATATGATGATTATTACTTCAAGGAAATGATAAAATAATGATCATAAATGTCCGTCCTTGAGCTGCGCAAAGCAAATATACAAAAATATTGTAGATTAGAAGAATGAACGGTAAAGATTGTGCATGGAGGAAACTGTATCGCTCAGGTAAAAATGAATGCATCATGAATGAATGAAAAATATAATGTAAAAACAGAACAATTTCATGAAACTATGATCTGAATAAATATAACATCAAAATAACAAAATATGTTGCAAAAGAACAAAATACTATATATTGCACAAAAATAAAAATCAGCAGAAATTTATTCAGCTAAATTTAGATGATTGTATCACAGGAGAACTTGTACTTTCCTGCGATAGATATGCAGACTTACTCTGGATGCAACTGAAATATACACCTGACAGAAGGATTAACAATTTCATTTTTCTTCACCTGTTTCTGAATAAGCTGCTGTGCTGTCTTTCAAAATAAGACTGACATTTTTAGATGAATCCTGTTTTCATTCACCACCCAGAAGAAAACACTGGAGCCCCGATCAAAAGGCAGCTGTGGTAGTGTTGGGTAAAACCGCAGCACCGTCATTAATATCTTGGTCTTTAAACAAGAAGACAGCTCACAGGCTTTGTGCTTCATAATTGCCATCACATCTTTCTCCTCTCTCCCCCTTTCAACACTCCTCCACTGCTCTCTCCACTTCCCTCCTCTCATCTTCTGGACTATAATCACTGGGCTTACACTTCACTGTCACTCCTCGGTGCCAGTGTGAATGTGTGAGCTTGTGTTTTTGCTTGTCTACTTGTATTTGTCTTCATGTGTACAGTACATGCTCATTTGTGTGTGTGTGTGTGTGTGTGTGTGTGTGTGTTTTGACACTGGTGAACACATTTCCATGTTTGTGCTCTCAGCTGAGCTCTGCATGCCTGCACATACGAGGCGGTCCACCCCCCAGTGTGTGTTTGTGTGTTAAGATTGCTGCTTGCTTGATAACTATTGAATCCAGGTTGGTTGGCATCATTACGCTGTTATACAAGTAACACACAAGTATGAATAAACAATCTAAATACACAGCATAAATATGTGCAATTATAATGTTTTTATTAAACTGGTAGCTTGACGTCTTACAGTTTTTTTGGTTCAAATTTTAAAGTTCATACTGTATTTTGAAGTTATTTTTGCCTTGTAGTTAAAGCTCCTGTGAGGAACTTTTGGTTTGTGTAAGATTCAGCGCCCTGTATGGACAACGCAGTCTTTGCTTGTCTTGTCAAATTTGCTTTTGTGTGTCAAATGAAGGCATTAATTTGAATTTCAGTCTATTTATAAATGTTAAAAACTCCTCACAGGAGCTTTAAATAAGATGTTATAATTTTAAAAGTTAAACTGATTGGGTTACTGTCTATCTCTTCACTGGTTTCTGTAGCATGGACATAAAGCTTCTGTTTTTATTATTTTTCTGCATTTAAAAGTAACGTGACTTTGACAACCCTATAACACATTTGTCTGCAATTACGAATCAACACTTGTGCTTTAATGTGTGGTGAGAACTTTTCTTGCCTATAAAGACAAGAAAAAAGTGCACTTTTGGCCAGTAAAAATGTATGCAAACAATGGGATCTTACATTCACAAACTCAGTTAAAAAAATGTAAATGTGTAGATCTGTCGAGCTGCCGTCTGTTTACGTAGGATGTTCTGCAACAACTACTTTCCTCATAAATTGTAGTTTGATTTGCAACAACAGGGAAATTCAAAAATAACATACCGAAAGGGAATGTTTATAAATCTTTAAAAAACTGACTCTAAAAATCAGAAAAACAAGCCATAAACAGATTAAGGGGTAGTGAATCAGCTTTAAAATAGAAATGTAAAAGTTACAGCACAGAATTGTGTAATTAAAAGTGAGTATTTGGTATGTCTAAAGGGAAGACAAATTCAGAAAAAAGGTCAAAATTAAGAAAAATGTACTAAACACATTAAATTTCCTTTTTGAGGATCAATAAAATTCCTTTTATCTTGATAAAGTTCTTCTTAAACACGGCTGAACATAGAATCTGTGGCTAACATCTGCAAAGCTAGCACACCTGCAGTCAGTCACCAGCCTCTGCTTGGGAGAAATTACTCTAATAAAGGGGTGATACGCCACTTTTTTCAGACTCAGTCTTCATAATTCATTTTCTGGATTAAGATTCTGCACAATGTTACAAGATGCCATCTGTAGTCTGTGCCTGTTTACATCGGGGTAGTTAAGTGTTAAAGCCTTATGTCAGTCCGCTTTAGCTCTGGCTTTGTGCTGCAGCTTAGATACAACATTTCATAATTTATTCAACTAAACATGCACATTCTGAAAATTCAACTTCCCTGATACTGTTGGATCGTTTTGTTAAGGTTGGTTAAGGAGAGTAGAAACATGTTCAGGTGAAACTGAGGTAATAAATCATACCTGTACGTCAGTTTGTGGATTTCTGTCAAGATGGTTGAACTGACTGTCACACCTTCGATCAAAATTTTGTTTTTCTGTGAATTCAAGAGAAAAGATACCACCATGATGATCTTATTAAAGAGAAAACACAAATTATTCTCACACCTAAGTGTCTGACTTTTTGAAATACAACCTAATTGTCTCTGACGTCAAGACTAACTCTTCGTGTTTTCCTCTCTGTGTTTTTTTTTTCTCTTTTCAGATCATCAGAAGCTGGAGCGAGAGGCCCGGATTTGTCGCCTTTTAAAACACCCCAACATCGGTGAGGACGTGTCTGTTTCTATTTTCATCTGCCTGACGACAAAGTACACCTTCTTATCTAAATAAAAACCACACTATCATTGCCAAGTCAGGTGCTATTTTAAAGTAAACCACACGTGGGTTTCTTCTACTTTAATAAAATCTTCCATTAGCTGCAGAGGTCATACCTCACTGTATGTTAAAACAAAAACATTGACAGTATTTGCGACTGAGAGCATAAAGACAGAGGTAACAGCCTACAGGAGTGTCAATAAGCATCCATAAATCTCTGTTAGGAGACACGCCTTTATTAGCAGAACCTCCTACTGCTCTGTAAACATGTATAATGTAAGACTCAATTATTAGGACCCCCTGTGGTTTCTGGAAAGAGGATGGTTATATGTGCCACATGAAGGTGAAGGAAAAAGGGCGACAAGCCTGGACCCTTGCTCATATGTTTGCGAGAGGGAGACACAAAAGGTTTTCCAACGTAATTGACGCACACCTTCATTTAAACATATAATAGCCATCTAAGACATATACTATACTGTGGTTATCAGTTGGCGCCAGACAGCGCCCTGCAGAAACACAATAAATATTAACACATTTCACTGAAAAGATAACCAGTGCAAATGTCAGACAGATAATATAGTAGTTTGAATGTGTGAAAGGTTACTATGGTAACAGGGTAAGAGTTTGCCGCTGTATTAGAGAAGGGAGAAAGATGAAGTGAACTAGGGGAAAGGTGTGTAAACTCACACTGTGTGGCTCCAACTTAAGCTGAACAGTTAAATGTCAGAGTTGGTGTTTCCCACGCAATCCTGTGTTGCGCATGTGCGTGTCTCTTCGCACAGATCTTAGCGGGGGTTCTTTTCTTTGCATTGTTGAGGGTAATATGAGTCGATGGCGTTGCTATATTTTGTTGACCTGTTGCTTCCTGGTTGCTTATTTGCATTTGATACTCCTAGCAAAGATAGTGAGGATGCAAGATGTCTCACTCTGCAGTAACTCTGGAAAATGTTATGTTCCCACACGGCTTCAAAACATGCATAAAATAAGGAAACTAAAATACAGAAAGACAGAAAAACAGCTTGTTTTTATAGGTGTCGCAAAAAAACGTTCTCAATAGATAGATAGGTAGATGAAAATAGGTAGATGAAAAAAGACTATTTTACCCACAAGGGGTGCCAAAAATGACTCAAACGGAAAGTTCCTTATAGGAGCTTTAAATGTAAGTAAAAAATTATCATGTGTTTCAATGAAGCATCCAGGTATTGGTGCACAGAAGAAAAAAATAGCTCAGATCTACTGATCCCTCACTTCTAACTCGACTGTTACAGGTCAGCTGATGACAAATACTGCCCCTGACTGTCTTATATGCGGGTTAAAATAGCAGAAATTGAGCACTGCCATCGGTGTCTGTCAAATTATTTGCCAATACCTGTCAACCTGGCTGATATATCTGTGCATCCTTAGTTCCTACTTTATTCCCCCTTTTTAACATTTCTACTCATATCATGATGAACAAACGTGAATATACTGAGGAGCTGACTTTTACCTTTCTCTTGCAGTTCGTCTCCATGACAGTATATCAGAGGAGGGCTTCCACTACCTCCTGTTTGACTTGTAAGTCCTCTCCCTGCCTGCACATACAATTACATAACTCTCTCTCTCTCCTATATTACCCCACCCCCCGACCACCAACACCACAACCACCACCCACGCTCTCCACATCCATCTCTTGGCAATTCCCTCCAGTTTCCATGGTAACAGTATGGGAAGTTGGTGGGGCGAGGGGGGAAGGAGGATGCTGTTGGAAACAAGAAATAAAGTTCAAATCCTTGTCTTTAATGCCCCCCACTCCTGAACCATCACAGTTTAATAAGTGTGTGTGTGTGTGTGTGTGTGTGTGTGTGTGTGTGTGTGTGTGTGTGTGTGTGTGTGTGTGTGTGTGTGTGTGTGCAGGGTGACCGGAGGTGAACTGTTTGAGGACATCGTAGCCAGAGAGTATTACAGCGAGGCTGACGCCAGGTAGGAGCGCAGCCGTCACTCCTGTATGTGTGAAAAAGGGCTTCTCCTCCTTGTCCTTATATGGTCTGTGTTGTCTGTTTACTGTCTGTTTACTTCCTCTTGTTTGTTGTTTTTTTATGTCGACATGTTTTCCTCGTTCTTTGACGACTCTGCTTCACTCTCTTCGATGCTCTTCTCTTTCCCTCTATCTGCTCTGCCTGGTCTTTTCTTTCTCTGCTCGCTTCTTTACTGATATTTTTCTCTCATATTTTCTCTCAGCTACGTTTTTTTTTTGTTCGTCTTTCTTTTATCCTCCTCTTTTTCTGCTGCTAGCTGTCTCCCTTTGTCTCTTTCTATTGAATTCCCAATTTTTAGATAAACCACTTTTCTTATATCCTCCTTCTTTTCCACTTTTACTCCTCTGTCCTTTCCTCTTTACGTTACTATTAAGACACACGACTACACCTCTCGAACCATCACAGAAGAGATGCAAGGTTTGACCAATTTAATGCGGTATCGCGTAAGTGAATGGGGCCTCTAAGAGCTTTTAATGTTTGTAAAACTTTTTTACGGCAGGTTTGAACTGCCAGCCTAGTCTAATGCCAAAATTAAAGCTCCAGTCAGGAATTTTAAGCAAGTGGCGAAACTTTCTGAAATTCACAGAGGCATTTATTTGTGACCTTCTAAAGCAAAAAAAAAAAAAAAAAAACTAACAGCAATCAGATTGATTATTTATTGAATGAATTAGCTGTGTGATTGCAGACCATAACTCGCGAATAAATAAATCAGCTATGTGATTGATGACAATAACTGGTTATTGCTAATACACGACGCATGTGCGCTCTGCTGCACATATTGATACACATGAATCCGAGTTAGCACCATGTAAGAAAAAAAATAGTTTTTAAGCCGTGGTGGTACGCAATGATCAATTGCATTAAGGGGAAACCCTAAATCAGAACACAGCTAGCTAAGGGGGCACACAGAAAGTCATCATTTGGTTCAGGAAGGGAAACATCATCTAGACAATGTCTGTCCGTCTGTCTGTCTGTTGTCAGAGCTATAGCAGAAGCCTCTGTCAAGTTGTACACAACAGCAGTCTGTGTTTGCTCATAAAGGGTTGGTATGACTCAGGCAGAAACCTTGAACAGAACCAGACTCATGTGAGACAGTCATCTGCTGAGACTGCATTGGGTTTAAAGAGGGGATAGAGGGAGATGCAGAGAGCGAGAGATGGACAGATGTGAGACTGATGCATTTTCTAACAGCAGCTTGTCAGCAGGCACGTCCGCGTCTGCAGCAGCGAACCAGAGGAACCTGCGGCATGATGGAGCTCAGGGACTCCCAGAAAAGACTGTATCAGTGACTGTAATAGGACAAGATGATTAAGAGTTAATGACAGATACAGAAAGAGGAAAGAGGGAGGAAAGGGGCTCAAGGTGCCAGCACCCTCCCAGTTTAAACCTGTAGCAGCATAACTGAGAATACAGTGTGTCCTTTGCATCATGATTTGCACTGATCGCAGGTCCTTACCCAAATACAACCTGTATAAATTTATCCTTAAACAGCAGCAGAATTATCTCTACAACGGTAATTAGTCCATGACCCAGGAGGAAACTGAACCCCAGGACATAACAATTATCCTGCTAATAATGACAGAAAACAGTTGCCTCTGTCGCACTCTGATATCTTTAATAACACTAACAAACTCTGAATTGGTCAAACCTTTAGTATCTGTCTTTGAAATGATCCAATTAGCTGGGCTAGTTCAGGTGATCCAGTACAGACCCCTTTATTTTCATGTTACCATCTCCATTTCCTGTCTGTGTTTTCTCTTCATCACACAGTAGGAGACATAAAAACAAGTGTATTAGGAGAAGTAACACTGATCACCCTACCCTCCTGTAGTGTGTGTATGACACTCAGACCTTTACTTGTTCTTTTCCGCTCTTAATTTCCTCTCAGTCCACTTTCTTTTCCAACCTCCACCCACCCGCCCACCCACCTACTTTTGAATCTTACTCCCACCACTTGCCTGGACTCATGGACACATGGAGCTCACTTTAACTATCAGCAGAAGAGGAAATGGAGTAGATGGGGGTGGACAGACAATAGGCTGAGAGAAGAGTGAGAGAGATACTTGATAATGACAGTTGTGGCGTGGGTGTTAGTCCATTCAACAACTTTTAAAGTGAAGCTGAATACAATCTGATGTTTTAGAAATTCAGGCACACACATGGCGGAGTAACTGTTTGCCCTGAAGCCTCAGTCTGGTGCTGAAAAGCAGTTTGACTTTACGCTTGAGAAACTGAACTTTGACCTGTTTTTGTCAGAGTGTTATTCAGGCGACAGGCTTTCTAAAGAGAAACAGAATAAAAAAGCTCTCACTTTGTGACATTCGGTCAATGATAGTATCAGTTTACTGCACTGACTGATGTTCCATTTTTTCTCTCTGACCTTTGATAGTTATTAAAAAATCTGTTTTTATGGTTGAAAATTATCTGTCGTGTAACATATTTTTGTTGAGTGAAAGATCTCAAAGCGGTGGGCTGTAGTACATCACTTACAGATATCACAGTGTTTAATTGGTGGGTAAGGATGTCCTCTAAATCCAGTTTGCCTGATTATCATTGATCCATTGAATATGAACTAGGGCTGGATGACATGGCCCAATATGTAATGGTAATAGTTTTACTATTTTCTTCTGTTATTTCATTCTATCTTTTTCAAAAGGCACAGTTTAAGAAAATGTCAGTTTGCACACTAACTTGCCCAGTGCTTGAAGAGAGGGTCCACTAATGCTGGTTTAGGATAGTAATTTATTGTTTTCGTAGTGCTCTGATGGGTGATACTGTTTCAAATAAAGAGAACATTTTACTGTCTTTGGTAGCATGTCTTGGGCACACTTTGCAGTACTGCTCTGTTGTCAGAATGTAAATGCCCCCCATATTTCTACACTACTTAAATTGAGTTGCCCTTATTGCTGTGCCCCCTAGGGCTGAGTGATGTATCTGAATATTTACACAAAAAAATTTAATTTATGATTGGATTTTCCTTTTGACCTAAAAGTAGAATTCAGACAAAGACATGACTCTCAACATTGTGATTTGTTTCAACTCTGGAACCTCAAAACTGCAAATATCTGTCAGCCTATCTGCCTTTATTCTTGCCACATGATTGGCTGTTCTCCGTCTATCATGGTAGTTATTGTTTTGTTTTACCAAACAGCCTGAGTATAGAGGACCCCTCATCTGGGGACCTCTTGGATATATTTAATTAATATAATTTAATCTACATATGATTTAACTGACCCTTTTCTCATTCACAGCCTTTCTGAGTCATGGAAAAACAGGACAAAGTCTGAAATTTTGCTTAACATTAATTTTCAGGAAAAGTATCCTGAAATATACTTTTTATTTACGAGCATCAGCTTAAAAACTCAGACTGAGCACGTGAGTCAATGTGAGGATAGATATCTGTTAAAAATATGTTCTAAGAACATCAGCAAACCTGTAAAAATCTATTTTCTTCCCTCTGAAAGAAAGTTTTTCATGAATTTAAAGGGAACCATAAAAAATCAGTCAAAAAAGCTAACCCAACAATGACACTGTGAAATTGAGATCCTTTCCCACTCTCATTGATACTGATAAAGTCGCGCCTGAGGATGCCTTTATTGCAAAGTTCCCACTGCTGCCTGGTTGTTAATATGTTGTGTTTCCATCATTACCCTACAGCAGGTCAAGAACTGTTGTGTTTTCAGTAAAATGTCAGTTTGATTCACTGACAGCTGCAGTTTCATGCCATGCCTTGCAGCGGCGACAGCGGGTGGCAAAGAGGCCCACATGCCACTCACTGTGAAAAGGTCACATCTAACAAGACACTTGAATTTTTCATACAAATATACAAATGGTAGTTTCAGATAATCTGGGGTGAGTTTTGAACCAGAAAACACTGTTTTTTGGAGTGTTTTTAATATTTCAACTGCAGTCATAGCCCTCCTGTCAATTATCCCCTTTTTTTTTTTTTTACAATGTTCTTACTGGCACTTGTTTTGTTTTGTTAGGGGTCTTTGCTGCTGCTCTCCCTCCCTTGGCTTTAAATGTAAGTTAATGAAACAAGAGGAGGTGTGCTTCCCCCACTTTATGCCAAACATATGTGGAAGGGCAGGAAGCCATACTGCCAAGTATATAACATACGAGTTATATACTTCTCCAGAGAGATGTCCAGCATATTAAAAATCTGTCTTTTTAGATATTAGATACCCCCTCAGGTGGAAACCGACTGACAGCTCTCGTCCTTTAACAACAGGCTAATCAATAACACAATAACAGCAGAAGCTCTGTCGTCCTGTTTACTTGTGACCTTTGCATCTTTGATACGCTTCTTCGTATGATACTGACCTTTGACGAATCAATACGTGAATTTCTCATTAGCATGTTCATTCATCCTGTTTTTTCATTATTTGTCAAGGGACGTCTTTCTCCAACTTTGGTGCTAGTTTTTCAAATATAAAATTTGTCCTCACTGCAGATTTGTTAGCCGAAAGCTGGATTTTTCATTCTTTTCTTTCCTTTTACTCGGTTTTCGAGCTGACGAGGACGTTGTTTTGACAGAACTGCGTATTCAGCAGGCTTCAACGACTGCCAGTAAATCTCTCTTGATGCCAGATGATGAGGAATCTTTATTTTGGCTGTGGACCAGTCATGTATGCCAGCTGACATGATTCACATGACGTTTGTTTGACGGGGTTCCTTTTGATTAAGCTTTTTTCTCTTGTTTTCTACTTTCTGCCATTCAGCCACAATATTTCACTATTTGGATCTTAGCGTGAGTGTGTGCGATCCTGTGTGGCTACTATCAGGGGATTGCTGTCTTTGCCACTCACCTTGTAACCCTTTCAGTGCTAATCTGAAGCTGAAGTGCGCTCACACTCTCACACTATCAGTCTCCTTTTCGCTTCCCTCTGAATGTCAGTCATCCAGGCCAGCCCCCCCCCACCCTTGGAGACCAGCAAGAATTGGGACTTCAATTAGCTTCAGTAATTAGTCTCTCTTGCTCTCTCTCTCTCACACACACACACACACACACACACACACAAATCACACCTTGTAGCCTCCTGTCAGTATCTACCAGTTTCTCCTCAGTTGTGTTTGATTGGATTGAGGCAATTAGGAGTACAAATTGGGAGTAAATTACACTTAACGCTTAATCAAGGTTTTTTTTCTTCACAGGGGAGCAGACAGACAAAAATGTTTCATTAGAGTAAAACTCCAGAATCGGCATAGTTGATTCATTAGCATGTAGAGAATACGAGCCCTTTACGCTGATAGGTGGGGGAAACCTTTGCATGGTTCTTCCTCCATCAGAGGAGGGTTTCTACCACACTCAAGCAGAGCTACTGTCTGTTTTTGTTGTATTTATCTGTATTTTTGGTTACATGTCGACTTAAGCCCGACTTTGGTGGAGAACTGGTGGTTTTAAATTTCATACTAACCTGAGAAGGAACCTGTTACACTCAGAGTGTCCACCTCAAGTGAAGTGACGGCGGTTCTTGTCAACTATGACATGTCCGTGTGCAGAGGCTTCTTGTGTAATCAAACCCACTCTGATCCCATTGTCATCCATGAGTACAGTAGCGAAAGAGTGAAGAGAAAGGAGCTGTACACTCCTGTTTTTTTTTTTTTTTAAACAGGATGTTGAGTCTGTATCCTAGCGATTGTTTCACAAAGAACGTCACATGGAACTTCAGCTGTTGCCTTAGGTGGGATGTATACAAGTAGTGTTATGATATGACTGAACTCCCTTGGAACATAATATGGCTGAAGAGCAACTGCCAACAGTTTAATATTTGGACAACATAACTTCTCCTTGACAGTTATGTGTGAAGAGTTACACCATCTCTGGTTGACAAATAAAGCCAGACCTCCTCCTGTCTTCTTGCCGCTAGCTTTAGCATCTCTGCCAGACCTTATGAGAGTGAAGCCAGTTAGATCCACACTGGAGTCCGAGTTGTTTTGATTCAACCAGGTTTCAGTAAAACACAGGATATTGACACTTTGTAGCATTTAGCAAGTTACAGAAGCAGGAGAACTTCCTTTACCAGGCAGAACCTTTGAGCAGAACGAGACTCATGTTAGACAGTCATCTGCTCAGGCTGCGTTGGGTTTAGAGAGGAGATAGAGATTCAGAAAGAGTTGTATTATGGGAGAACAATGTGAGAGTATGTGACATGATCTCCTCAGACAGTAGTTTAACCGGCCTTTGCAGGGCAGTGAAAAGAGCATCCAGCCAGTCTGATGTCTGTCAATCATGCATCTGGGCCAGTGGGCTTGTCACAGTGCCAAAGTTCACCTTGCTCGTCCTGCTGTCATCTAACTTGCTGTATATCTTTACTGTTTTTGTCAGATACCTACCTTGTGGCAGTGATCACCTGAGTAAAATAAACTTTACAGAAATATCTTCTGATAGTTTTCTTTGCTTTTGTTGCTTCTCTTGAGGTGTCGGTATAAATTCAAGTGTGTCTGGAAGCTGGTGTTTCATTACTGGCTGAAAGCTTTGAGTTCAATGGGCTGCCCTGCGACAAGGCTGCAAACAGCTTCTGTGGCATTCCATTTCAGCAAATTATCTCCTGCTTTTCTTCTTTTTGAATTGACTTTTGGAGAAACATCAGTTTGTAGAGCTCTTGAAGAACAAATTAAAGAAACTCAGATGTACCAGACACTTGGCAAAAGAAGAATCTCCTTTACATATATAACGCTACAATGTGTGTGGTACTCTTCATCATCTTCTACCTTTTTTCAACCTCTACCTCTTGTTCTTTTTTTTTCTTCTGTTCAAGCTACTAAAAAAAACGGACATCCTTACAATTACTCACATCCCTACTCTCCAGCTGGCTTCCTTGTTTCCACAGATGTTTGCAGGTCTTTTACCAAAGCCAGAAACAATTTTCTTCTAAATGAAAGTTAAATCGCTTTAAAAGATTCACACCTTTCTTGCTCTGTCCAAAAAGGCGTGAAAGTGTAAAACTACTCTTTACCTTTACCATGATTTTGTCCTTTAAACCCTTCCATCATCAAAGTTAAACCTTTTCTCTGTGTTTGTTGTATTTTCATTTGTTAAATTACTCCTGTTGCAAACACAGAAGTGAAAACACGCAATCAATTGTTTCTGATTGATTATGCATACACAAGCTTGAACCTGGTTTATTGAAAAAACAGTGTGCATGTTAGTCTACTTTCGAATTAGCACACTCAAAGAGAGAGAAGCTGCTCTCTCCTGACAGGCACACCCGCTCTGTGTTTGATTATCGTCCCTCCACTCTTCAGCATCCCTGCAGAGAACAGTTGGACGTTGTTGTTGAAAGTGCTGAGCAAGATGCATTTTTGGCATTTGTGTCGAGGATTGCATTTTTGTTTGTTTTTTTTTACTTCTCTGCCCCACCAGGAGGTCATAAATAGATGAGTCCTGTGAAATGACATTATGGTTCTGGACAAGGTTGTTTAGGAGGCAGATGGACTTTAAAAGGAGTATGCTTTCTGTTTATGGATGCATACAGTGTATGCATTTTTACATTCGTATTAGATTTCTATCATTGATCATTTCCTCTTCTCTGCCTCTCCTGTCTGATGACCTGCAGCACCTGACACATGCTCTGCTGTAGGGCTGTAATCAACCAAAGAAATTCTTGGTGGACTAAAACCCTGAAAATTTCAACTAAAAATTGACTAATGCGGGTGGGTATTTTTCCCACTCTGACGGCAAACCCTTCTGCAGTGGGGGACAACGCGGCTCAGCAGGGCAAAAATATACAGATATCAGCGCAAAAAGGCAATTAAACACAACTAAATTTAGCAAACCACCGGACATCGATTGATGTGGACACTCTTCAATCTTCCTGTCTCCGGTAGGTTGGGCGAATCCAAAATAGTGAAAACAGGAGGGGTGTTCTGAGATAGACTTTTACCTGTGAAACAGGGGTGTTCTGAAAACACCCTCTCTAACACTCGGTACATTCCCTCTCATGAAATTGACTGTAAACTGTAAATTGACGTGGAAAGAATTGAGTCGACCAATCAGAATTTTGGTCGACTCAGCACGTATCGACCAATAAGTCGACCAGTCAACTAGGACTTCACAGACCTACTCTGCAGGTGATCGGAAGAAGCCCTACTACTCATCCTGCCTGTTAATGCACTGACAGAGGTGCAATATCTGATGCCAAACTGCCTAGCAGCGTTGTTTGAAGAGTTACGTATGTGCTGCTGGGTGCTGCAGATGTCATCCCACATTATCTTAGTTTTGGGTTGTTTTTAAAAAATTCACTAACAAGTTTCATCTGTGTGCAAATCACCTTTTGTGGAAATGCAGCTTTTGTGGATTTTTGATGGATATTGTTAAAAGGTGGGACACCTACAGTAAAGAGAAACAGTACAAGTAGGCTGTAACATGCTTTGGTGCAAATAAAGAGAGGAAAGCTGTCGATGCAGTGAGCGTCAGCCAAACTCTGGTATATCTACTGTCACAGTCTTTGAGATTTGTGGTCGGCCGGAATGAGGGAGAAAGGGGGAGACATGCAGTAAGTGTTTAGAGCTGGGAGTCACACCAGCAACTGCTGCGACAGGTGCTATAGCCATTATACGTGGGACATGATTAGATTACTGAATGCAAATTCCGAATATTCTACAAAAGTCTGCAGTCTGCAGGAGCTGTTTGTGTATATCAGCCCAAAATAAAGCCATTAGAGGGACAAAGTGCTTGGCTGGAGTCGTCTGCAGGATGCAACACCTTTAGCTGTAGTGTTTGCAGTGAAACATACTTCAGATGTTAAACACAACCTGGATAGCTAAATGAAATAGGGGATCAGACATGATTTACTTGATAGGAAGCTAAAAATTGCAGGTTCAAGTACAATAATAACTTGATGAGGGGTTGACACACCTGCAGCAGAGTCAAAGTAGCGCACTCTAGGGCCATCTGTAAATACTGATACAGATAATCAGCGTAAAGCCAATTATCAGCCCTGATTATCAGCCTAATCCAATAATTGGTTTACCCCTGTACTTGAGACATGATTAGTTGTTAATCTTTATGTTGTTTACCTGCCACTTAATGCCCTTGTGCAGTTATTGCACATGGCCAGAGTAGATGAGAAAGTTGCAGAGGAACAGCAGAGACTGATTGTAAATGTGCCGCCTTCCTCTCCTTGATGCCCTCTCATGGACTCAGATTTCACCATCACTTGGTGAAGATTTCTGCATTTCTGGGGTGTGACTTTGACATATTTTTGGTTTAATACCTTCAAAATCCTGCTCACTCTCGCTGGGTTTCACTAAAGATGCTAAACCGAGCTTTAAGGTTTAAGATCAGGATGTGAGTGCAGTCAGAGAGGAGTCATGTTTTTTCTTTTTAGACATGTGTGAGTTCAAGTGTGAGCGTACGCGAGTGTGTGTTTATGAGCCAGTGAGCACATTTATCTCTCTCATTCTCTCACTCTCGGTCCTCCCACTCACTAGACACTGTGTGGGTGTGGATCCTGCAGGCTGCCTGTTATTACTCACATATTCTGCACATTACACTTTCTCTCAGGAAGGTAGGTGAATCTTTCGCACTGCTCAGATAGTGACGTTTCTCTCTTTAAGGATGGGAAAAATAGCTCAGCGTCAGCCCACCAGTCTTGTATGATTCAAGATTTTACACATAAGTGTACTGTTTCCTCTATCGTCATCTCCCTTTTCTTTCCAAACGCTTAACATCATCTTTTTCCTCTCCTCTCCTCTCCTCTCCTCTCCTCTCCTCTCCTCTCCTCTCCTCTCCTCTCCTCTCCTCTCCTCTTCTCTCCTCTCCTCTCCTCTCCTCTTCTCTCCTCTCCTCTCTCGTCAGTCTTCCTGTGATTTCCGTCTGTCAGGTTGTTCTGCTGTGGCTTCTCTTGTCTCTCATCATGTTTAAAAAAGCAAAACGAAACCTTTTTTGTCTCCTCCACCTACCCACTTCTCCCTTTCCATCATTTCATCCCTCCCTCTCTCTCCTCCACTTTACTTTCTTTATCTTTCAACACACAACACACTCTATTTTCTCTAAATTTGTCATCTTGTATTGACCCTGCATGCCTTTCTTTTCACCTAGCATCCTTACTCATTTCCTTCAACCTCCTCTTCCTTCATTTATCTCTGCACACCCCCCTTTCGCCCCCTCACCCTCCCTCCTTTTTCTGTTTTGTCTTCACAGTCACTGTATCCATCAGATTCTAGAAAGTGTCCATCACATTCACCAACATGACATAGTGCACAGGGACCTGAAGGTTAGTATATATAGAGGAGCATCTGCATCCCTCACCCACCCCTTCCCTTTAACCTTTGCATGCTTCCTTTCCTCACTCCTTCCCTTTTCCGTCCTTCCTGTCTTTCCTCCGTCTCGTCTGTTCGTGTCCTTCTTGTCAGCTGTCCATCTAATGTCCGCCTTGTTTGATTTGTCTTTTGGTATGCTCTTATGTTTCTTGTAGTTTTGTTTGTTTGTTTGTTTGTTTGATCTGGAGGACCCAGGCCTGCCTCACCCATCACCCTCCCCTCCTCATTTCCCCTCCTACGCGATCTCCTATCAATCATTTAACAAACAAGTACAAATCAAAGGCTCCTGTTGCACTGACTGACAACCAGATCGATAGATGAATTAGCCTCTCACACAAAGACAGGTTCCCCCTCAGTCACACAGATCACCCTGCAGGTGTAGCAAACATTCAGTGTTTACACACGCCCAAACAACTATCAATTTCTCCCAAGCAGATACAAAAGCTGAAGAAATATTTATTGCCATCTTTATTGATTTTTACCCTCCTCCTCACTTTTTCTTTGGCTTTGACTCAATTGTATTGATCCCTGTGTCTTCAAAACAGCCTCATTCAACAACACATGCATCTTTGTAAGATGAGAGAACACAATAACAGCAGCAGGAGGAGGAGGAGGAGGGGGCTTTTACAACAAAAAAGAAAATCTATTGAGCATCCACACTGTTGGTCTTGTGGCTTTGGTGAGAAGCCTTTGCCTCTGATCCTGAATTACACTCAGGAAACAGCAGACCTGGACCAGGAGTGTCCTTGTAAACCCTAAAAAGTTTTCAGGATGCTGCTTTAATTTTGTGAGGTTAGCCGACATTGATTTTTTTTTACCGATTATTAGTAGTTCATAGGACTGATAACTAAGAACGGAACTGATATGCACTGATATTAAAATCAAGTCTTACGCCATATATAGGAGTTAACCTGTTACACTAAGCCAATCAGATAGTGTCGTGGGCGGGACATGAGCTGCTGCCACACAGTTACAAAACATTCAAGTAAACTCAACAGAAGCATACCAAACATAGCAGCGTAAAAAAACTGAGGTCGCTTTCACACCAGAGCTGTTTGGTCCGCTTTAAACGGACCAGAGTTCGTTTCCACGGATACTCTGCTTCGTTTGGGCAGGTGTGAAAGCTCATCCGAACTCTGATGCAGACCAAACAAGCGAACTCTGGTCTGCCTGAAAACGTGGGTCTCGGTTCGCTTGCAAGTGAACCCTGGTTCGGTTCGTATGCAGTGTGAAAGCTCACCGGACCAAACACAGGACCAAATGTATGTAATGACGTTGTACGCAGTGCATACGCAGTGCATCTTGGGTAGAGGAAGCACAGCGTCACTTGTTGCTATGGCAACAAGTGAACGCTGACATTAGCAGTTGCTAGCTAGCTTAGCTCAACTGTCTGAACAACAATGACCCATAAATTCACAATTTGGCATATTTAAACAAAATCAAATCACAACTACCAACAGTCACAGTCCTTAAACTCTGAGCTCATATGTTGTCACGTTAGATCGTCAAAGTTAGAAAAATAACAGGATCAATTCCTGACAAGCTACGAAAGCGTTATAGGAACAGTCGCGTTCACTAATGTTGTAGCATTCCATAAAATAATGTGATGAAGCACAATACATAACAGCTAGTCCACCCCTGTTTGTAATCCGTGAGGTTAGATACCCCTCCTACTTTGTCCAATCGACGAGCGCCCCTTTCAACCATGTGATGCTGCCCGGAAAGTTTGGTGTGCTTTAGAAATCACAGTGTGAAAGCAGAACCGAAACAAGTGATAAATGCAGCAGCGTTGCGACTTTCAGCTCCACAATTGAACCGAGTCCGCTTGGTCAGGTGTGAAAGCGACCTTAGAGTACTGTCTTATACAGAATGTGTCAAATTATAGACAATGGGAGAAAATTCCAGTCGCTTTTAGATCAAACTATAGTAGTGTGAATGTTCAACCAAAAGCTTGTTGCCAAACCAGGCAGTCTAACTTTTTCTTTTTATGTTCTAATGTTGTCCCCAGAAACACAAATAGAGACAAGAATTAATATGATTCTATTAATACCGATGACACTGACAGTTCTGCTTATCAATTTATCTCCACACGGACTCATGTGGACTTTCTGTTTTGAAAGAAGTCAGCTGTTTCAGTTTTCATGTATCGTTTTTCAACAGCTAGTTTTTTTTTTTTTTTAGATTTATTACCTTCACTGCTCTGCTTCTGATTGGGCCTTTAAAGGTCAGCTGATCGCAGATACAGCCTCTGATTTATCGATAGACCTCAACCAAATTGGGGCCTTCTGTCATTTTTTTTGCTTAATTTGATACATAAATCAGCACAGATAATCTCCTCTTTCTCTCTAACCTACTCAGTGAGATAGAAAAGTGAGCTCTGTAACCTCAGCTGCAAGCCCACAGAGTCACCGTTTATAAGCAAAGTTGACCCTGTCCTTGTCTTTTATTCCAGCGTTTATGGCATAGAACCTAAAATACTTCCCCAAGGCAATTCTCTGCTCTTGTTGGTGTTTTGATGGTCTGCTCAAATCGACTTCAATTGTATACATCCTCTACTTTTCTTTAAAAGTATCAATGTATTAAAAACTGAGGTCATGTGTGCCATTCAATGGTCAGGTTACGATGAGAATACCCTCTGCTTGCTCAAACAGTAAATTACTCCAGAAGGCCTGATGTATAAGAAGAGATGAGAAAATGCTTTTTGTCATTGTTCATTCTGAAACAGGATGTTTGCGATAGAGTAGCTGGAAGTAAAAAAAGGGAGCACTAAAAGAAAGGTCTCCGAAACAAAAACATTGGATGCAGTAGACGGCTCGACCCGTCCTTTACTGATGACTATCACAGGGGAGTTTGTGATGAGCTCCTTTAGTTGAGTACAGACACAAACACACAAGATTCACACCCTGCAGGTTACAGAGCTCAACAGCTGACCAAGCAGGGGGAGGAGGAACATGGACACACTAATCACACAGATACGCTGAAGCACATGCATACCAAAACACACAGATCCATGCTCGTGTGTGCATGACAGGACACAGTTCACGGACACAGCTTTACTCGATCACTCGAACCTGTTAGTTACACACACATCACTCGTAGCATTGTGGTTGTAAATGTGACCTGCCCAGTATTTATTCAGCGGGAGACCTTTAGGAATAAGACACGTGATTCTGATTTATAGCTCTGAACTTTACAGACGTGCCGGCCCATCTTCCTGCCTCACGTTCTTTCTTATGTTGTAGCATTTGGCAGACTGGGCCAGACTTGTGTTTAATTTCAGCCCATCACGACAACAAAGCCCAGAGGTCCTGTGAGTAGTTTGGTTCAGCTTTAGCTAGGCTGTTGTTTGTCTTCAGACAGGCTCAAAGTACTGAGATTTCAGGCTGGTTTGTAACTTATCGCCTTGCACTGTACCTCACTTAGAGTCTGGAGGAATCTCTTGGTATGTGTTCTACTTTATCCTATCGTATCATTTCAACCTTGTTCATCGTATCTTATTGTATCATGCCAGTTCATGGTACCATATCAACAGTAACATTTGAGCTAATGAACTCTGCTATCAAGTCTCATGGGTCCTGTTAGATGAGGTTTTGTCTCCTGTGAAGTCATGTTATTCAAACCAAATCTCTGGGTCACGTGGCTTTATATTGACTTCATCTCTTTTTCTTTGATGGGCGTCAGTGCTTTCAAAGTTTATATTATCAATAATATTATTATTATTATTATTATTATTATTATTATTATTATTATTATTTTAATATCAGCGTTAACTAGGGCGTGGGAATACGGTCACAGTTAAATTTACCATAATCCTTCAGCACTTTTCCTGAACTAGTCCAAATTCTGAAAAAAGTGATTAGTCGCAAGTAATGACAAGTCAAAGTCCATACTCATAAATATTCAAAATTTTAATATTTTATCTTTTAAACATTTTGATACTAACAAACATGGATTCTTCTTATTTGTAGTCATCAATTGCAGGTTACTTGTCAGTGCACAGGAGGTAGACATGCATGGTGCAGCTATGATCCACATGCAACACCACAACCTCATCAGCAGGTGCTTGTGCGTGTGAGAGAGAATAACAGTGTGTGCTCATAGATCTATGCATCACTCCTCCCACAACTGGACCCTGAAACCACGTCCGTGTTGTCTGCCTCGTCCCACTCACATATATACCCTCTCCCTTCGTGCAGACTTATCATCTCGTCACTGCATTTTCTCTCTGAGTTTAGGGTTTAGCTCACTGACATCAGACCGACAGCTCTTGTCAGCAGAGGCCAGCTTAGCTTGCAGCAGACATGGCATTGATCCCAGACACATCTTTTAAATGTTATAAATTGCACAATGACTCACTCCTTCCCTCACCTCCTTCATCAACACCCAATGGCCAGACAGATTCCCACACCCTCCCTCATCACCCAAGGTCTGCTGGCTTAAACATGGAGGACAGTGAGGTATCTAGAGTTCACCTGCAGACACCTGAACATTAACAGTGTCTTGAGAGATCATGTGTTAGGAGTCTGAAGGGTAGATCTTTTGAGGTTAGGTTAAATTGTTTAAGGAAAGCAGAGAAGTAAAGGAATTTTCTGTTGCAGAGTCGACTGAGTCCAGCTGAGCGTCAGCCAGCTCGCTAAAATAAAAGTCATCAAAGACAAGTGCAAGGCTATAAAGAGAGAGTTAAAGAAACTCAAGCCAGGCAGGAGTCATTTTAATGTAACACACTGTAGAAGATACGGATGGCATGGTAGGTCCCTAAAAGTGACACCAAAACCAACAGGATGCAGTCAGATAATAAAACCTTATAAACCTAATAAAGATATAATCAACAGTAGCACAAGAGTCTTTCCAAACTGTGTCTGTCCCAAATTAGCCTCACTCTGTGCAATGACATGTCATCTAGACTTGTAAACAGTCTAACTTTAATTCCAATTTTCCTTATTACGGAGAGGCTCATCATGGCAGAGCGAACCAGCATACAATGTAAACTTGACTGTGATGGGACATACAGAAAACAACGTTTGGTTGTAAACCTACAGGCCATGCTGTGCAACAGAATATTCCTTTCACCACTCTGCTGAAACCCCTTAATCCCCGCCCCCCCCCCATTCCTTCCCTCCCTCCTCTTCCCCACACACCTCTGGCCTGTGCACGGGATTGTAGCGCTGCTCTCAGACTAACATGCGCCCCCCCCCTCCCTCCTTGGTGTTTGCATGCAGTCATTGCATCCAGCAGATCCTGGAGGCGGTGCTTCACTGCCATCAAATGGGTGTGGTGCACCGGGACCTTAAGGTGAGTGATGGGGATCACCTTGCTTTTCCTTTAAGAGTGTGTCTATATATTTATGTAACAGGGTTCCTGAGTGTGTTATTTGTGTACTCTGTGTAAATGAGAGACTGTGTTAAATGTTTGTGGACATAATGTCACTTGCAAAACTTGGGGACTTTTCAGGGGGTTTTAATATGCAGATATTTGCTGGAGTCCTTTTTACACATGAACTTCACTTTGAAATTTTTTCAACATTACCTGAGAGGGGTGCATGTTTGTACACAAGCAGCAAAGTTTGTTCACTCTTTCTCCTTGCACTTTTGTAAAAAAAAAGTTTGTAAAATCTAAATCAGCCAATGTGTGCACAAAGTAGGTAAAAATCTGTGATATTCACAGTGAGTGAGAGGGCAGGATGGTGACATCGTTGCTGCTTTAAACCCTTAACTGCTCATTTTAAGTACACTGGAATATTTTTGAGCTTATTCCTTTGTTTGGTTAAGGTGTATGAAAGAAAAAGACCAGATATTGTCAGGTCCTGATCAAGGTTTCCATCAAATTCATGCATGAAAATAGCTTTCGTGACTCAATCCAGGCAATCCAGACAGTCTGCTTAATTTTACTGTAATAAAGCCACGGCCCTTTCATCTCACATTTCTCAGACTTATTTTTTTTTTACCTTCAGGTCCTGACATTTTCTAAACCGGACTTTTCAGGGCTCACACATGACCTTAGCTGACTCTGCAAATAAAGTCATGTCATCTAAGTAGTCAATGTCTGGAAATTTTCAGGAGTGTTGTGCAAGTGTAAAAAGGACTTTTGCCTCAGACTAAAACTCTCCTGAGCTCGAATAGTCTGTGCAGCTCAAACACAATCACCATGAGACTAAAAAAGTACCACTTTCAACCTTCCTTTGCCTTTCCCCTGTTGTACACAGCCTCCAGCTCTGTACGGTCACCTTCTCTCCCCCTGCAGTGTTAACACCACTTCCCCCTTAAGTCTGTGGAGGTTTAAAGCATGCAGCGCTGGTCATGCGGGCTGAGCAATGCTGCCGCTCTGTAACCTTTATAGAACAGGATCTTGTCATTGCACAGTGGACAACATGACCCCTGAGGATACTTTATCTGACCCCTGGTCTATCTCTCAGTCAGAAGAAGATGTTCACTTTTGGTTATGAGACAGCTTGTGTGGTGTGTTTTGCTTTTATAGATCACTCTATGACTGCAGTGCTTTTAGTGTGACAGCTCATTTTCTGCCTCTTGCCGTGTTTTGTTGTGACATTTGTTTACGCTGGCTAACTGGCTGGTAGCAGAGGCTTTTTTAAAGGTTGGAAACTAAAAGCTGGTAGCTACCTTTGAATAACTGGTTACAGTTTTTTTAGCACTGTGGGATGTGGATGCTTAATGCTAATAGATGTAATTTGCAGGCTTTTAAGAAAGTGTGATTCATTTTAAGGGTGAGGTACTTTCGCTGAGCTTGAATTGTGTTTTCAGTAAGGCTGCACAGTGAGCGGTAGTCGCTGCTGACTGTGAACTTTTCTTAGGATCTTAAGAGTTTCTATTTGGCTTCAAGTTGTGGTTTCCTAAACAAAGCAGCACCTCAGATACAATGAGCTGTGTGTGTCGTGTCTGTGTTTTGTCTGTGCATGCTTAAATATCGCATCTTGTTGTGCATGTTGCGCCTCTGTCAAGCAGACCTTTCCTATGCAAATGACAGTCCCAGTGTTCTTGTAAAGGCGTGTTGTGTTTATCAGAACTGTTGTGGCTATTTCTTTATTTAGCCGACACGCCTATTGGGTTTCACACCCAGGCACTGGAGAGCATTTCATGCAATAGGTCATAGTGTGATGACTGAGGACAGCCTGGGTGACAAGATCCCTCAAATTAGGAATTGGGTTATGGCAAATAGGATGACAACACAGCAAACAGATTTATATGGGTGTCAGAATAAGGTGACACCAGTTCCCCTATATTTCTTTGACTACATTTCAAACTCAGAAGTTTCTCCACTACTCCCCTATACATTGTGATTGTAGCTTAGGGGTGTAAAGGTACATGGTTTCCTACCAAAGTGTTTTAGTACGACATTTTTTTAGTTCAATCATTCTGTTGAAGTTATTTTTTGTATTAATTTTGTTATCTTTATTTGTGTCATAATTTATATTCACCATCTTAAATGAAAAATCCAGTTTGATCTGTTGATGCTGCACTTCAGACAATTGTTTAAAGTTTTGTAAGTTATTTGTTTCCCATATGATAAAAAAAAGTTCGGCACCAGGATATTAAACTGAGAATTGTACTAAATCAAAATATAATAATGCTGTCTCATCTCTTGTAGGCAGAAATATCAAAACATTTGAATGATGCTGAACCTGAGCCTTTACTTAAATCTAGGAATTTTAAACAAAAGGACCAGTTTCTATTATAACAGTCTGCACAGACTTTACCTTTACCTATGAAGGTTCAGCCTGGACTGTTTCAGCAGCTCCAGATCTTTATGTAGACAGAGCAATGCCAGTAAAGAAGAACAGGAGGGAATCATCTCATTTATAACACCCACTCATGAAGTGCTCTCTAATGCACATGTACCCTCCCTTCTTACCTCCCCCTCTTTCTGTCATACAGCTGTGTGTGCATGCTCGATTGTACCTGTCTATGTGCTGAATATCTGGAGACAGAACAAAGTGCTGCTGATTGCTGCAGGAATGTCTTTCACATGTGGCCTGGATGGTTCTCAGCACATTTATGCACCTTTTTGACAAAAGCACATGCTTCATCAGAATTTCCACCCACACGGATTATCGTGCCGCTGCTGCAGTGTTGGCAAGTTCTGTCTCATTTACAAAAGAGGAAAGCCTAACTGAATGGTAGAGCTGGGAGGACGGGAAGGCACAGCGCCTTTGGATTACTGGTTCGCTCACTCACTGTCTCTCTTGGTTGCTCATTCCCTTTCTCTTATACTTACGGGCTCAGCGGCTATAAAGGCCAGCTTTTAAGTGTCTGCACTTTAAATACATGGTGTCCCTCTACCTCTCAATAAATTAGCTGAGGAGCGATAGGGCAGAGAAATGAAGGTAGAGGGTGCAAAGACACACACTGCTGCAGTGCAGGGAGGTGGTTTTTAAAAATGCAGCCTAAACATCATGTCCTCACTTTCTCTTTTCTCTTTGAGAGCTTCTGGTAGACCGTTTACAGTAATAAACATGGCAAGTTTTTCACTGTTAGAAAAACAGACTGAGACAGTCACTGATCCCTCTCCATTAGGGGTGGGAGAGAAACGCGATTCAGCATAGTATCGCGATACTTTGTCCGGTTATATATCGTATTGTCTCATTGACCAAGTATCGATTTTTTTCAAATTAATCGCTAATATAAACTCAGGTCTATGATGATGGAAAAATAAAATAAGTTGTTTGTCCAGTGAAGTTGGCAGAGGTGACATCATAGAGCAGGAGAAAGTTAGTGCAACAAACATATAAAAGGTTTGCAAGATGAAAATAAAATACAGTGTAAATAAGACAAACATAAAGGAAAGTCAAATGCTAAATTAGCTAAACAAAATGTAAAGATTACAATATATTGTATCCCGATACTCACTGTATTGCAAAATGTTAAAAATCATGACAATATCATATCGTGGCCCAAGTATCGTGATAATATCCAATCGTGACCCAAGCCACTAGTGATTCCCGCCCCTACTCTCCATGAGCGTTGAAAGCAAATAAGACCACCAGATGACTGACAGCAGGCACAGAGATTTTTTTCATTTCAGCCAAAACAAAGCACACCAAACTTTTAGTATGAAAAAGTTAAATCAGCATGACCCAGTAGGAGTTAATCGAGGGGTTGGGACAGTGAAGTCAAAGCTAGGTTCTGGTAAAGCTTATAAAAAGTTCTTGTTTGTTTAGGAAGCTCCTTTAAGCTGCAGGCTCCTCTGGCTGAAGTGTAACTTAACTCAAGGTTTCACTTGTGCTTTGTTAAGGTAAACCCGTTAGCCTTACAGGTGACATCAGGTAACGAAAAGTCTCAGCGTTTTAAATCATGTTTCTCACCAGAGTGCCCGTGTCTCTTAGAGAGGGAATGATTAAGTGAGATGAAGAGATTTAGAGAGACCGAGTAAGAAGGAGCAGAAGGCCAGTGGGGATAGCATCCCATTATTAGAGCCCTCTTCTGACTGAGAATAATGAGGCTGACTGCATTATCTGGGCCACAGAGACACAGCCTGCAGACCACAGCGAACTACGTGAAAGCGCCGAGGCTGCATGGACATCTAAGAAGCTGGTTTATGCTTCTTTTAAAGCTTTACGTGATCATGCAAGTTTATTCAAATGACATCTATGTCTGTGTAGCTGTGATGTGCGTGTGTGTGTGTGTTTTTGTGCCGATGAGTCTGTATCCTGTGAACCCTGTTACAAAGGTAGTGCATGTATAGCTCTCTACCTCCAGCTCTTCCTCTAAATGGGCAGTGTGCATTTACAGTGAACCCTGTGCATCATTGAATAAATGATTGACAACTCTACTTCTCTGCTCTTTTTCCTCTCTAGCCAGAGAACCTGCTCCTAGCAAGCAAATGTAAGAACGCCGCAGTGAAGCTGGCTGACTTTGGCCTCGCCATCGAGGTGCAGGGGGATCAGCAGGCCTGGTTTGGTACGTAGAGTATGAATCTGATACGCTGTGACTCACTGATCTGGAGCTGGTTGGTGCAACAGTGAAGGCGTACTGGGTTAACCTGCAGTTGATGTATATACCTGAGAAAGAAGTAGAATTGTAAATATGAATATAAACCTCTTTTGATTTTAAACAGAACAAAGTTGAAGTTTTGGAGTACCTGAGTTCACCTCTGCTTGTTGTGGTGTTTCACATTTATCTGCTGCACAGAGGGTGTGACTTTTTTTTTCGGGATATCAAACCTGAGTCTGGAGAGCTCAACTAAAAGTTTATAGATAAGTAAGGGAGAGCTGGTTGAGCCAGTCTTAGATCAGGATTTCTCAGGCACGAATCTCCCCTGGATCTCGAGCACAAATGTAATCACCATCAGCAGAGGTATCTTTGGTTTTCCTCTCTGAGAGATTAGCCTGTCCCTCTCAATCAGCTGTCTGTGAAGCCTCAGATCTGTCTGTTAGATCTCAGACCGCCGTGTGGATGAATAGGTTTTAGCTTACGGAAGATTATCCTGCTTCTTTACAAGCTGATCCAAAGAGAGGAGACACACAATCTGTTGCCCTGGGCATGTCAGTCAATCTTGTGTGAGTCTGTGTGGATATGTGTTTGTGCTACAGGATTTGCTGGCACACCGGGGTACCTGTCCCCTGAGGTACTGAGGAAGGAGGCATATGGCAAACCTGTGGACATCTGGGCCTGTGGTGAGTGGTGCAATGAGACACGTAACACACACACAGCGGCGCGCACACAAGAAAACAAACACACACTGAAGCACATTGTCTGACAACATTTCCCTGGTTTGTGTGTGTACGTGTGTGTGTGTCCATATGTGTTATTCTGTGTGTCTCAGGGGTGATCCTCTACATCCTGCTGGTGGGTTACCCTCCTTTCTGGGATGAGGACCAGCACAAGCTGTACCAGCAGATCAAAGCTGGGGCTTATGATGTGAGTGTCTCCTCTCCTCCTCTCCTCCTCCTCTCCTTTTACTCCCCCCTTTCTAAAACGCCCTCCCCTCTCATCCCGCTGCCCTCCTTCCTTTTTGGCAGCGGTTACGTAACTCTGTCACCTCATTCATATTTCAAGGGGTGCAAGTGAGGGAGCTTCACCTTAGATCACTTTTAAGCTCATGCCAAAATGGGGGTGGGGGGGGCTGCCTGACTCTTCCTGGCACAGATTCTGAGCTCATTGGACACACACTCTGACTTTAAGTCATCATCACAACAGGTTCTGATGGGTTTGAAGACCTCTCTGTAGATTACCTGATGTTGTGCTCGGCCTCCTGGTATTGTTGAGAAACTGACCAATGAGCTCAAAGCCTCAGTGTGGAGTTATTGACTGAATATAAACCAGATTGAAACTGATACTGTTGCCCCTTTTATTCAAAAAGGGATTTTTTAAAGGGATCACCAAATGCACTTTCCCCTAAATCAAATATTCTCCACAGTAACATTCTAGATATAATTGATGGTATGCATAACAACAGGATATAAAGAGGGGTAAAAACAGTTTGCACAAAAATGTTCTGCAAGGATTTATAATCATCGCCAGACTCAAATGACTAATCGTGGAATTTCTGACTGAAACAAGAGGACAAAACAGAAAGATATTTCAGACTTACAATGTCCAGTTTTCTGCACATTTGTTCTTTTTGGATAAACAAGCGTGTCCAGGATCACAGCCAGTCAATCACAATCAATCTAGCAGCCTAAAAACACAAACACAGAGGGAGGCCTGGTTGACGCTGGCGTGCAGATGCATGCCTAGACTTTGACTTTTCCCTATTTGTTCTGCTTTGTGTCCAGAAGTGAGAGGATGCCCTGGTTCTAACTCTCAAACTCCGTGGTCGCAGTGGCAGCTGTTGTGTTTAACTCCCTTAAACAAGCTCATGAAGATCTGGTGCAACATACTTAGCCCGCTGGTTCACACTGAAACATGGTTTTGACTTAAAACTCCATGGTGTCTGCTCAAAGTAACATGAGACCACATGCCGTAAACTTATTACCTGATAAAAATGGGAGAAAAGATGGCTGTACCTGACTGTTTTTAACCGTCAAATAGAAGATGCTGATCATAAACCTTGAGATGTTTGATTGACAGTGATACCCAAGAAAGAAAAGCAGTAATTTTCTAAAATTCAAGAGGCTGAAATTCACATTTATCAACTGATTTTATCATATTTTTTTGTTTGCTCCTTCAGTTCCCATCTCCAGAGTGGGACACAGTCACCCCAGAGGCCAAGAACTTGATCAACCAGATGCTGACCATCAACCCAGCCAAGAGGATCACGGCTCAGGAGGCCCTCAAGCACCCATGGGTCTGCGTAAGTGTCCCCTTCCTCAGGTTATTCATGGCAGCTAAGGACTCCAGACCTAACTCATTGACTGATGTCTTCTGTTTAACCTTCTCCTCCTCTTCTTCCTGCTTCAGCAACGGTCTACAGTGGCGTCTATGATGCACAGACAGGAGACCGTGGAGTGCCTGAAGAAATTCAATGCCAGGAGGAAACTCAAGGTCTGTTTGCATGCTCTCCCTCTTTCTCAGAAAGCTTAAATGGAGAATACAAAAAAGAAAAAAACCCTCTTCAATGTCTTTCACATCAGCACATTGACTCGCTCTCTTTTCCAAGTTCTTACTATCTTTTGGTCGTCTTCCTGATCCAAAAAATACGTAACGGGGCCCCTTCGCATTGCATAATAATAATGATGCAGCTCATTTCTGTGGCAGTGCAAAAGAAACAGCAGCAAAAACACATTTACAGGTAAAGACGAGCTGCAGAAATCTGCAAAGAACTTGATGTAAATATTTAAATGCAAAATAAATTTCCAGCTTCAAATCTCTTCAAAATAGGATTAAAACCAGGATGTGAACAAGCTTCTGAGAGGAAGACTGAAGAGATAATTGCAGCTTCACCATTCCTTCTTGGGTTATGATAGACTAGCTGCCAAATTTACCCCTTCAAACATCAAGTGCTTTATTTTTCACATCACTGTCTGTTTGCTGTTCTGAGCATTTCTGGGACACATAAAAACAGAACGAAGGTTTGCTGCTCCATTTGACATGTTGTCATGATCCAATACTCATGTTTTTTAAAATATCAGATCATATCTCCTCCACTTTAAGAAGCTAATGAGTGGAGGGGAATGCATTGTGGACACGCTCCAACAGTGTTTTGAGTGGCCGCAATGCATTGTGGGTGGCCACATATATTGTTGTAAAATTTCTTCATTTTCTCTTTAAATGTTCCAGTTTTTATTAGGCTGGCATTAATGTACTTAATTCGAGACTTAATTGGATTTGGGACTACTTTTGTGGTGGTTTGTACATTTTGTTACCGAGGCTTATCACGATTAAATAGTATATCGGCACATCCCTACTACAGACCTGGTTTCTTTGTTTTATTTGTGGTGAAATCCTCAGTGATGATGGGGCGGGTCTTTGTCAGCATCTAGATTTGCTGTCTGTTAAACTGTGATGGTGATATATTGTGCATTTTGTCCCGTGAATTTTTCATTAAAGTTCAGCCTTTGAAAAGCACAGTTAAATTCTTGAGTTGCTTCAGCTCTTGATTGGATCCTTACTGAAGGATGTACTTGACATTAAGTAGTGACAGAGGAAACTAGAAGTGTTTATATTCTTACGTTATTGGTTTAAATGATTCAAACTGGACTGTTTTCTTCTCAGGGGGCCATTCTCACTACCATGCTGGTTTCTCGAAACTTCTCTGGTAAGTGTTTTCCGGACTTTCTCCATCATTACTGTATGGCAAATACTCGTATTAGTTACTGGCATACCTAGATGTGGTTTGATTCTCCATTTACTAGTTTTTACAGCTGTTTAAAAACGCTTAAATAGGTGGCAAAGTCACCAGCCTGAGACACATGAAGAGTTTTTTTGAGCATTCCAGTGTACAGAGCTTTTTCCAAATGAGCATAATACCTCCTCTTTCATGTGTCTTCATGTGGAAAAGTTTGGTTCAGAGGAACATGCTGCTGTTTTGGAGAACTCTGCAGATCTTTAAAGGGATATTCCTCCTAAGATAGGACTCATCATGTCACTGCTGCCTTCAGTAGGAGGGTAGTATTATTTAAAGCAGATATTTTAACACCCAGATATTCCTCAGATATAAAGACACATTAATTTAAGACTTTATCTTTTTAGCTCCTGTTCTGCTAAAATAGCAGCATGTGCCTTGTAAACAGTTTGTCTCTTTGGGACTGAGGTATATTTATAAATGAACATATGTATTTAAGTTTTTAGAGCATGCCTCAATCGAGCAAAATCCCATTTTCATACCATCTCTTTGCAACTTCAGTGTTTCCCTTTGGTTTGGAGGTGAATTTCTTTTAAGCAGAAACATGTCACACTAAAACAGTGGTCATTTTAAACAGCTGTGTAAGGCATTCATGCTGCCTTATCACTGAAAATACAGTCAATATGTATATTTCTCTCCTGCTCTCATGATCTGATGGTTGAGCAGGGAAAAAAAACTCACACTGACTGTAGTGTCCTGCAGTGAGCTGAGAATCCGCACTTTTCATAATTCTGCAACCTGCTTTTTATTTTAGGTGAAATCTCAACAATGTGGCTCGATTTAAGCAAATGCAAGTTAAGGTCTCTTAACACTACTAATTATGTGTATTAATGAAATGGTAGAGGCCTGAAATCCTAGATTGATTTAAAGTTTGAGGACTTCTGAAGATGGAATGGAACATAAATACTGATTAAAACTAAAAACAAGGAAACACTGAATTTGACCAGCTAAAGCTGAAGATGCATTCCTGTCTGTGTTCTTGTCTTTATATCTCTGTATATCTCTGTAATTTGAAGACACCCTGTAATAGGGGTTTAACAAAGATTTGAGCTGGGTTTTAAATCTCTGCTATGAGCTTTGCTGATGAGTTATCAACTTTTTACACCCTTACTTTCCACAACTCGCCCTAAAGCTGCCTTAAAGACTCAAACATCTTCAGTTTGAGTTTTTGCCTTTTCTTAGTTTTGTACAACTGTATGATCAAAATTTTTAGCTCTTAGTTTGAAAATTTCCACTTATTGGTGAAAACATGAGCTCATTCCCAATTGAGGATTTTTTAACTAGGCCATAAAAGAAGAAGTTAGCATAACCAGAGGAGGGTATTGTTAATTAAAAATTTGAATCCATCACTAATTCGTTAACAAAGACAAACTCTGATAAAGGTGGAATTTAAAGCTCCTGTTAGGAGTTTTTGATTGGTTATGAAGCTGTCTGAGACCATCAACGGCAAGACTGACATTTTCTGTGCTGTAATTTTTATTCTCTGTTGTTGCTGTGAGGGGGGTAGGTTTGCTGAGGAGTAAAATTCTGCAGTAAAGGTCTCAGAGAAACAACAGGGAGATAGTTTTTGTCAATAAAAAACACTTAAGCAAGCATCAGACAAAATCAGCAACAATGAAGGGTAACCACTTTGTCCACAGGGGGCGCCAAATTCAACACAGACAGAAAGTTCCTCACAGGATCTTTAACAAACATGGCCAGGTTTTTTTTATTATTTTTGTTGGCGACAAACACGATGGAAAGGAGCCAGAACCCCGGGTTTTTAAGACCCTCCTGCGCAAAACTGGCGGGGTATGAGCGGCAAGCGCTCGTGACCAGAATAACAGAATAAGTGGTGCTGACATGCCGCGGCTCTGAACTACACAGCTCAGCATGTCAGCACACGTGTATGTTGTGAGATAGAGAGAGGAGCCACACGAGTCACAGAGGAGCAGAGAGATACATTTTTCTTGAAAGTAATGAAACAATTGCGCAAATTATATTCTATAGGCCGTTTTGATAAAAATAAAAATTCTAACCCAGAAATTGAAGTCGTAGATTAATATATATATATTAATCTACGACTTCAATTTCTGGGTTAGGATCTCGTTGGCAGGGCAGAGGTATCCGTGCCAAGTGCACTATAGGGGAAACACTGCCATGTGAAAAGTATAGAGGATAGAGGGACTGACTAACAGCTGTGAGCGTCAACCCTCTGAAATAATACACTATTCCAAAGTATTTATAATTATTTGTCATGAATAGCCTCAGATCTGTTCCTCCATCATTTTTGCCGTTGTTGGAAAGAAATCACAACCTCTGAGTCTGCATTCTTGTAAAGTGTGTGTGCTTGTTGTGTCTATAAATGTGTGTGCGTGTGTGTGTGTGTGTGTGTGTGTGTGTGTGTGTGTGTGTGTGCGTGTGCTCGCATGCTGCTCCAGTAAACATGACTCACAGCAGCCACTCTGACACAGAAAGCTTTGCAATGGGAAATGGCCTGAATACCAACGAAACAGCCACTCAGCTTTCTAACACCTCCACTCACACCCACGCACACTCATACTGACCCAGGTGTGTGTCCTGGCTGTGTCATCGCTCCTAATCTGCATTTCTTTGCTCGCTTTCCCCTTCTCAGAAAGCAGAACTCCTTTGTTAGAGTGCGGTCATGAGTCAGAGAGACTCTGAGAGAGGATTCAGAAAGAAAATAACACTGAGACCTTCAATAAAACATAGCCCGGGCATATTACATCCACACATAAGCTGTCACCAGTGGGTTATGTAACCGGTAACTATACTATCATCATATATTATGAATCATGCGTTGTGCATATCGCTGTCTCGGTGCTGACACAGAGGCGGTTCTTTTTCCATATAAAGTTTTTTGCCACATGAAGTCAAAAGGATAACATTTCAACAGTTTATATCACGGCTACTCTATTCAACCCAAATTTAATCAACATCACACTTAAGAGAAACAAAGCAACACGCCTCCTGAACCTCTGCAGTAATGAGGAATGATTGTAGTCAGATAAACCACCTATTGGAAAACTCAAATTCCCAGCAGCCTTAGCATGATCATTCTAGGTTATTTTCAGCAACATATTGCTGGAATTTGATAATGTCAGTAAGCACTGCAAAATCTAACATTCACTAATGTTGACTTCATCCTATGCCATTTTCATCCTCATCCTCATCATCGTAACAACTAATGCTATTTCCAGGAATATGTAGAGACATTTTCAAAGCATCAAAGTTTCTCAGATTAAGGTTGAGGTCTGTGTTTTATTCTGGTGTTTTTCTCTGCTGATCTCTCTGTCAGAACTTCTGTCAAAGTGAAGTTACATCAGCGGTCTGTGTAAACGGTTTAACCTCCTTTCTCTTTACTAATCAGCCCTGTATCTTTCTTCTTTCTTTCTTGTAACCCCTTCCACCTGCTCTTTCTCTGACTCAACTCTTCCTCTTACCTCTTCCTCTTCCTAAACGTCCTTCCACCTTCTGCTCTAATTTTCTTTCTCCCCTGTGTGACTGGGTGTTGGACTCTTAAACAGTGGGGAGCAGGCAGACCACCGCTCCAGCCTCTGTCACTGCGGCCGCAGCAGCAGTGGCTGCAGCCGCCGGCACCACGGCAGGGCTGGTGGAACAAGGTAGCGTGGTGGCTCACCCATGGCACGCTACACCACTCCCCTGTCTCTGCTCCTACTCCTCTTCTGTACCTCTTACTTCTTGTTCTTCTTATTTCTTTTTTACCCCTCTTTCATTTCTCTCTGCTCCCTCCCTCCTTCCTCAGCATGGGAGCTCAGAGCATGATGACTGAAAACATTGCTAACCATATTTACTCATCACCTACAGCATTAGCTATGTTTCCATCCAATTATTTTATCTGCTTTTGTAAGGGATAGAAGACTTTTGAATGTTGGAAACATCACAAAAAAACCACAACAACCCAAGTATGGAGAGTTGGAAGAGACTATCTTGGCCGCCATCAGCCTTATTTTTAAACTGAATTGAGGACAGTGTTGATTGATACAAACAGTCAAACCATATTAGATGCAATGTGAGCTACAATATTGATGGTTTCTCAAGAAAGTTGTTAAAAACCAACTCACAAAGCTAATATTGTAGAGGTTTAATCAGTTCTTTTTAGTGGTTTTGGAAGCAAACTAACCACAGGGGGTTCCAGTCAACTGGAAGACCTGCACAGAAGCCGGGCTGACCCCTGCAGCAGCTTCAGTTCAGCTGTGTCCAACACACCAGTGCATCCATTATACCAGTATAAAATGCTAAGAGAGTGTTTTACCACAGAGATGGCATCCAAAAACGAAAGCAACCACCTTGTTTCCAAAGCGTGCTGGAAAAACAGTGATGAAGACTAGTCTGGCAGCGCCACTTAACAACTTTTCTCCTTGATAAGCTCATATTGATGCATTGAAAGAAAATTGTGGTATTCTGTCCAGTAATGAGTTTGTAGTGAAGTTTGATCATTTTGCATCTCAGTTTCACATAACTTTGAACAACAGCCGAACATTGTTTGGAGTACACAGTAATGGCTAGAGAGTTTGGTATTTCAGCTCAGTCCTCCTTTTCAAAGGCTAACAAAGGTTGTCTTATTTGACTATTAAAAACTGAAGAAAACAACAGCAGTCAGTGGAGCTGGGAACTCAACCCCACCTAAAAAAACAAACTGTTCCTTTAAAGTACAAAATATGTTTAAAGTGAGAAACTTTTCGGTAGTCATGATGTGGAAGTACCCCCATACTGCTTTAGAGGGAAGACTAATGAAATTAATCACTCTAGCCTCCAGCCCATGCATTAATTTGTTTACCAATTCCCCTTCCTCTACCCCATTGATATATTTTTGCTGTTTGTCCTTAATTGATAAAGCATCTGCAACTTAAATCAAGTTAAAAAAACAACATCCTTTAGATGATATGTAGTTTCTTTTTACCCTTCCTATACTCAGTCTTCAGTATGAGTTAAGGACTCGTTTGGAAGCCCAGCTACTGCTGACATTTCCCACCCTAACACATCTGTCACCTCCTGTGTGAGATCTGATTGGTTTGCTGCAATGCCCATCACTGCTCTGTCATCTCCACTGACCTGTATTCATTTAGTCATTGTCATCTTCAGACGTAGCCACAGAGCATGGCCTCAACTTGTAAAACCTTCTGTCCTGTCTCTATTTTTCTCTTTATTACTCCCCACTTTTCCCACCAACTCCCCAGCCACACCTCCACTTCAATTTGTCACTTTACTCTCTCCATTCCCACAGCACCAGCATCACTTCATCTTTCCCTCTCTTTCCATCATCATTTCACATCTTTATAACTTTCTCTCCCACTCCTCTTTCTCTCTTTCTTCTTTTCTCTGTCTGATAATGACACTGTAAAGTTTGCCCCTGTCACTCTAAGGATGGAACGGCCCAAAAGCTGCCGGTGAATGCTGCATGGGGCACTGGACTGGTGCATGCACTGCAACACAAGGGGTGGTGGGGAGTTTGGTGCATGATGGACACTGTGGAAGATGCAAGGCTAGGCTGGTTCTGTCATTTAATTTAACGCAATGAGAATATAACCCTTAATGGACTGTATCCGTTTGTTTATACAAAGAATAAAGGCTGACATCCCCTGAACACTCAAATTTAGATGAAGCTCTTTCATTTTGGCCAAATTCTGGAGATGGTGCGATTACATGCAGAAGAGAAACATCTTGTTAGACAAAAGTAGGCCCAAGGAGATTTGAACAAGTGTCTGGTCAAGCTGGAAAATGTTAAAACTAGAGCGAAGGAGTCACAATTATCCTCCTGGCTTTAGATGTCCTTTTGAAACACAGAGGAAAAAGGAGAGAGGCTAAAAAGAAAAGACTAAAAGAGCCAGAGTGTCCGATGAATCTTGATTTCAGTTCGGCAATGACATGAAAGTAGACACACATCCACAAACATAAACATGGTTAATACTTGCTTGCAGCTATTGTCTGTACATCTGGTACATTGGCTGTTAGGGCTAATCCTTGTTAGGACAAACTTGCTGGCTGGAGAGATGGCCAAAATTTGCCCTGCTGTTTGTCTGAAACAATGACATAGTATAGCAACTTTCAGGCTAGCTTTATGCATACATATTTCCTTTATCTGAATGTGAAAATCAATGGTGGCAAATATACAAGATATGAAACAATCAGCTAAAACAAGTACAAAGAGATGTATATTGCAAATCCCAAAGGGTGCCAAAGTCTTCACTTTTTAAGTCCTTCACAAAGAATCCCAAGGGGACGATGTATAAAGACAAAGGACTGATTGCCCAAAGCTCTTACAGTAAAAGACAGCTACTGGACCATGTCTGATAAGGTCCAGATGACTGAACCAAGAGAGATGTTACTAATCTTGTCAGTTTCCCTGTAGGGGCCTCATATTAATCTCATATTTGTATTCCAAAATAGAAATAAGAAGATCAAAATTCATTTTCTTGTAAAATGTTAGAAAGTTAGTTTGTGTCTATACATTTTTGAAAAATATTATTGGTTAGATAGTCTGTGTAATATTTGAACACCCAATTGACTAAAATATTGCTTCTCTTATAATCTTTTAATAGTCTTTCTTTGCATAGCAGAAAAACAAAAGTTTGGCTTGTTAATGTCCTTTGTTCAACATAAACTTAGTTTTATGAGCAGGTAGATTGTCAAATATTAAGAAAAAAACAAACTGCAGATTGTCAAGAGCTAGCTAAGCAGCATCTAGAATGCAGTACAAAGTTGCGTCATCTGCATATAAACGTGCATGGTACGTCATTACAGGATGAATATTATCATATATAAAGAAAGCCAAAAGAAGGGGACCAAGAAGGGATCCTTTTGGTACACTCTTAACCCTTTGTAATAGTTTTGTGAAATATTTTGCGAAATCTGTAAAAGCAAAGAGTGAGAGGTGTTAAAGAGGTCAACAAAGATGTCATCTGTTTTTGATGTACAGAGTAATAACCATATTTCCAGTTTATATACAGCTTACAGAGGAACACAACCATCACGATAAGACATTTCTGCTTGATTCAGTTTGATTTTCAATGCTAACTTGTCCCTTTGGCTATTATTCAGACAGCAAGCTCATGAGAAAAATATCAAGCTCTCTACATCCCTGGCTGTCTTAACCCATCAACTCAACTTCTCAGAGGCTTTTGCCGTTGAATAGTGTATTGTAGTATTTAGTATAGTATGTTGACGCCTATAAACCCAAGAACCCCCTAGTGTTTCTTAAACGCATTCTTTCAGACAGCAATATTCGGACCATGTCAAAGGAATTTTGTTGTATTGTTAGCAGCCTAGATTTATAAATACTAGAATAGAGGAGCAGTAATTTCAGGGGACACTGAAACAGATACGAAACAGAGCTTATGTGTTTGTCCTGTTGTGCAAAATGAACCCAAGAGCGACAAAGGGCTTCACATGACAGTTTAGCACCGAGTCAAGGAGACAGAAGTAGTGGCAGTGTCCTTGTTTTAGAGGACCACTGGGACTCCTCAGTCCTCTCTGTGTACCTCATGCCTCCACAAGGCTCAAATCAAATATTTATTGCGGGCTGTCTCCTTCAGTTAGCCTCACTCTGCCTCACTGTTTTTACCAGAAGCCTCACTTTATTGTGCATGTTTATACACATAAATACAATCATTATCCAGCAGATCTCACCCTGTCCTTATGAAAGTATTTATCCATACATGTCTACCAGCCTTAAGATAAGGAGGTCTTGCCTCAAAGTGGATCCACCCTGAAAGCTCATTGAAAATCTTCATATGAATCCATGCCCACTCTTGCATTTCTTCCACAGTGGTGCATCTTGTGTATTAAAGCTTAAATACATGATGGTGCTTTTGTGTTTAATATCTTCCTCCTCTCTTTTCTTGCTTCATGTGTAATTTGTGGCAAGGTAAGGAGCACTACTCGCTTCTCCGCCCCCGGTTTGAATTAAGACACTTTTAATTTTTCAGGTTCCCACAGAGATTTCCTCTTCGGAACTGGAAGTTCAGCCATTTTTAGCAACCTTCACTTCAGGTTTTGTAGAAGATCAGTTCTCTGCTCTGACAGAGTAAGGATGTTGGGAAAGAATGCAGAAAAATAGCCTCAACACTTCCATTCGTTCTCTTCGTTCTCTTCATCTCTGCTCCCATTTCATGTCCTCTACGTTATCGCCAAGCCATCAGAGAGTACAACAGAATGAACTTGACATAACTCTGACCCCGTTTCCTCTTCTCAGTAACATCCAGCCTTTGGAAGGAGGAGGAGGAATAGCACAACAATAAACCATGCACATTCATGCCACTTTCACGTCCCTCCAGATTATGTAGTGCTTCTTTATCAACATTACTGATTAACATGGAAACCTCACATGAAAGTAGAGTGTACGCCACTCAAACAGAAAAGTTCATTACAGAAAAAGTTGAAAGAGGGAGCGGTTCTCTGTCCTTTATTCACAGGAGTGACTGAGACTGAATCTCCTGAACTTTAACAGGCCTTCTGTACAAAAGGACGTCTGTTTCCCTGGAAAAAAAATTCACCCAATGAAATTTTGCATGGAAATCAGGACATCTTTGAAAAGTCAATGTGCGTGGAAAAAAAGTGAAACAGTCTGAGGAGAAAAAAGAGAGAGGAAAAAAAGGAAAAGGATAGAAATAAGAGTAAGGGTGAAAAAAGGGAAAGAATAAAGTAAGGATGACTCGGATAGAAACAGGAAAGGAAGAGGGAATATAGCTAGGAGGGGCTGGAAAGGAGGAAAGAAGGAAGAAATGTAAATAAAGAAAGGAAAGGTTGAAAGAATGATAAAAGGAAGAAATAAATAAGGAGACAAACGAAGACAATGGGAGAGGAGTGACAGAATAAAAGAATCGGTGCTGGAAGGAAAGAAGGAAGGAAGAAAAGAGAAGAGGTGGAGGAGGAAAGAAAGACGGCTATAACAGTCTAGGAAAGAGTAATGAAAGATGAAACAGGAGAAAAATAGGAACGAGAAAAGAAGCAGGAAAAATTAGAAGGGAAGGTAATAAAGTCTAAAAGAAAGAAGGAAGAGAGAGATGTGCAAGATGTAAAGAAAGAGAGAAAGGAAAATGGGAGGATAAAAACAGAAATAGATTAAAAAAGGGAAAGAAGAGATAGAGGTTAGAGAAATATGTAAGAGAAGAAGGGCTGGAGTGTGGGAGACCAGAAGAAGGAAGGAAACTCAGGGAGGACAGAAAGATAGGAAAAGAAAGATGGAAACAAAAGGCAGAAAGAAAGATAAAAAGGAAACAAAGGGAGGGGGAAGGTAAAAAAGAAACAAAGAGAGAAAGAAAAGATAAGAAGGAAGAGGGGAACTAACTGAGGAAAGAAAAAGAAGAAACTAGGAAACAAAGGGGGGGGTTAAAAGGAAGAAAGGAAACTAGAAAAATGGGAAGATAACGAAAAGGGAAACAAAAGGAAGAGGAAAAAAAAGACTGAAACAAAGGGGTAATGGGAGGATAAGATGAAAATAAAGGGATGGATAAAAGATGAGAGGGGGGTTTAAGTAAGAAAGTAGGAAGGAAAGGAGGAAAGAAAGAGAGGTCCTAGACAGCCATAAATAGTCTTTTATGTAACCTGGCTGGCTGTTGATGTGATTTCATCTGATGGGACTTGAATTTGCACTCAGCCTCTTCAAAAGTTTGACTCGGGATGACGTCCAGAGACAGGGGAAGGGTCTGGGACTTGGACTGGCAGGTGATAGGAACCGGCATATCCAAAATTAAATTTGCATCTGCATAATTTATGATGTGAGGCTTTCATTTTAGAGTCAACTGTCTGAGATTTAGACACAAAATATCTGCTGGATTTGAAAAGGAAGTGGTCGAAAGCTTTATTTCCTCAACCAACATGACTTATAAAACACTTTTTCTTATGTAATCTCATGAAATTGAACATCTTGTTAATGTTAATCCCCAATTACATGTTTGTGGACACACACACAAACCCCTACCTCTTAGCATCACAGGGAGCCTCGTTCATGTTTTGAGCACATCCCAGTCCCAGTTTCAAACCACCTTGCTCTCTGTCTCTGAGCGGGGCAGTCATGGTGAATGCCCCGAGGACCTTCTCCCATAGTCTGCACTCTTCTTCCACTGTTGTAAAGGATTATGGGTATTATACTCAGCTGAGAATAGCGTCTTCAGTATCATTCTTCCTCTCTTGCTCTCGTTCCTCATTACTCCTCATTAGAGAAAAGACTGAAAACTAATCCTCTTTAAGACCCCCCTGGAGTTCTTTAAGGCAGGGCTTATTGTTGAGTTTAGATGGCAGACATCTTTGTTATGACTTCCTCAAGGCCACTAAAATTTAGAGAACTAACAGATTATTGTGCATTTTTACGGTTCACACACCAACCTTCAACATTAAGCACTTTGTTTTGGCCTGCGGACCAGTACCTAGTTTATCTCAGCTAGCTTTGGCCTACAGCTTTAAACTACATCTGAATTAGGCTGTACCTAGGTCCATTATAAAACCTCCCACGTACATTACTTGGATGCAAGAATCTAGGTTGTGTAGTGATTTGCAATTACTCTACAGATCGTGTGATTGCATAATAACCTTAATACACACAAGATTCTGTATTCATTGCAGAGAGAGAGAAAAGGAGAGTTATTTTTAGAGAGTGCCTTGGCTGCACAGCATCACTGGAAGGAAAATTATGAAGGAAACAACACACACAAGCTCGTGTTTCTATTTTGATTCAGACTTTCGATCTGAGCCATAGTACCGGAATTTCAAACTATTAGTTTTTATGTGTGTGTATATATAATCAATAATATATATATATAACTATATAACTAAACTGGCACGTGTTTTAATACTACAGTGACAAAAAAAATAGCTTCTGAGTCCCCATATTTTTGATTGGGTTATTTTTTATTTCCATCCTGCCCCAGAAAAAGTCTCTGATCACAGACAAACACCTGACTTTATGTTAATATTTAAAAAAAAAAAGAAAGAAAATCCTTGTCCCTTTCCTCTGGTCTCTGTCCACAGGTTAACTCAAAAAAAAAGATCAGTATCATAGACCTTTGGTTAAGGAAAGTTAGCAGCTGATTCAGCTGGTTAATGACTGTGACAGAGGGCAGAGCAGGCACACACACACACACACACACACACACACAAACACACAAACACACACATAATGAGCAGGCAAAGACAAGAACAACACGTGTGAAGAAATGGAAATATTGAGGGAGATTTAGAAATCAGATTTTAGATTTTAACACGCCCTTGCTCACCCCCTACTTTCCTTAAAGTGACGGCGGCCTTTCAGGACAAGAAACTCCTGTGATGCATCAAAGAAATTAGAATATTTAGGGAGAATTAGATGTCAGGTCTTAGATTTAAATGCTCTCAAGCTCAACCCTCCCCATCAGTTGAGTGACAGTGGCCTTTTCAGGACAAGAAACTTCTGTAATGCATTGAGGAAAAGACAATATATGACAATATTAGGTGGTCACCTTCTAGATTTAAAGACTCCCATCTTACCTCCTACTTTCCTTAAAGTGATGAAGACCTTTTAGGACAAGAAACTCCTGTGATACATCAAAGACATTAATTTTTCGGGATCTAGCAGTCAGGTTCTAGATTTAAATGTTCCTTTGCTCAACTCTTCCCATCAGTGAAGCGACGGTGGCCTTTTAAGGACAAGAATCTCCTGATCTCGACAAGTTGCTACCATTAGAAAACATTTATCAATACTTATTCTTTTCTGAACCACAACAACCACATTCTTCTTTTTACCCTCATGGGCTCAGATTGATCCAGTTTTGCTCAACTGGGAGCGTTTAATTGCAGCCAAGTCATGAATTATTGCAGCTCTTATCAAGAACAGAAGATCAGGGTGGGTAGCACTTTGTAGTATTAAGACTATTAGTTGTGTGTACAGTATTACTATCATGGAGTAAGTGATAGAGGTAGCAGGGTTGTCTGTGGCTCAAAGAGTCACAGTACTGCATTTGTAAAACACAGTTTAAGCATTTTATTGTCACGGTGCTGAGGTGCCCTTGCTGTTCCAGCCTCAGGCTACTGTACTTAGGTGAGACATTACTTTTTAAAAGACAATTTCACCGCAGAGGTCAGCTGAGAACTTTTTAGTGCAAAGTCAAAAAGATGTTATCTCTTCAGTGTGGGTTAGAGATGTGGCAGGAGTTGTGAATAACTCATTTTTGCTTCCTCTGATTTGTTGCCTTCTCTCTTGTTTGTCATTGCAGCAGCTAAGACCTTGCTCAACAAAAAGGCAGATGTCAAGGTAAGTGACCTTACATCTCTACCTTCTCTCTCCCTTTCTCTCTTATTCACTCTATTATTTCCAGAGATAGAAAGCCCTCTTCCTCTTTCTCTTTGCTGTTTTATTTTTCTCTGCTCCACTATTCGTTTCCTCCCCAATCTGGCTAATCTCACCTTCGCCTACTGTTGCTCTCTTTTCTCTAGTGTTGAAAGTGTTTGTTTCTCACTTATTTTGCTTCTCACGTTGTGTTTGTCGTAACGTCATCGATGTGTAATGTCTTGTGATACATGTATGTGGTTTTATAATCAGATGAAAATATATACTTATTTGAAATCAAATTTTAGCATCCAATTGAAAATGAGCAGATGTTTTTTTTTTCTTCAACACTTTGAAACCACCAAATTCTGTTTTTATAACCATTTTATACAAAACCCTGAATCTGTTCGCAGACTTGTTCAATTTGTATCGTCTCTGTGTGTGTGTGTCTGTACTTGTCCATGTATCACTCTGTGTGTTGCTTTCCAGAGTACAAGTCTTAAGTAGCACATCTTTTAGTATGATGTAGCATTCTTCAGCTCATTGCCACCTCTCTATCTCCATCTAACCATCTGTCAGCCCTCGCCATTCTTTCTCCCATCACTCCCTATGTTGCTCGTTCCCCACTTCTGCCTCTTCCTCCTCTTTCAGTGCTTCCTCTTCCTGCTCACCCCATCTGGTCTTTAACCCCACATCCCTGTTCATTCTTTTTAATGAAGATCTCTCACCACCCCACGCTCGCACATGCACACCCCGCAGTACCACATCCCCCGCAAAGCGTCCATGAATGCGTCCTCATGTGCGGCGTACATGCACGGTAGTGTGCGACAAAGCTTGGAACATTCTGTACATGCTAACGAATGTGTTTGCACCCCGGCATTGTACATTATGTTTGGCAGAGCTTTGTGCACATTCACGTGGACGTACAAGTGTGTGTATGAATACGTCATATTTGTTTGTTATGAGAGAAAAAGAATGAAAGCTCATACGTGGGTGTGAGCGTGCCTCCACATCGAGAGTGTGTAAGCGTGGGCGTCCGCATGTGTAGTTTGCTTATGTACATGTGCAGCACTGTGTGTGTGCGTGTGTGTGTGTGTGCGTGTGCCCTCCTGCCTCTCCTTGCTCAGTCAGTTCAGTAGAGAATGTGACTCTGGTTCCAGGAATAGCTGCCAGTCTGGACCCTGGAAACTCAGACGACAGAAATAGACGCTTACTTCCACTGCGGCGCACTCATTGCCTAGCAACAGGCTCCCCACACACCGCTCCAAACCATTTCTAAAGGCGTCTTCATCGTGCGCTTCGGTCCCTGATTTCCTCATCTCTTCTCTGCTTCCTTTCCTACTTCCTCATGTCCTTTAAGTCCTCTTGTTGACTCTGATCTCCTCTCTCCGGCCTCTTCTCCTTCTTCTTCTTCTTCTTCTGGTTCATCATGGCACCTGATGCTCTTCAGCTGGAGCACCTGCTCAGCACCTGCTGGCTGCCTCTCTCTGGCAATAACTCCACATCACAATTACTCTTGTGATGTCAACTTCTTCCCACCAAAGCCATTTAGGATTTCCTGCAGGATTTCTGCATTGATGAAACCCACTGTGGCTGTGTTATTTAACCACTTCAAGTAACTACATGTTGGATTCATACACATCCATATTATAGTTGGATAAACTCTAAACTTCATCATAGAGCCTGAAGCAGCTTTCTAATGTTGTTTTTACTTTTTGGGTCTGCACCCTGAAATTGGATAATTTGAATCACACAGTTGAGGAAACTCTGAGTCAGTTTGAATTTTGTCAGACAAATCTCTGAACTTTCCTTTTTTAGCTGCTCCGTTGTACAATAAGAACAACTCCGCACCAGAATTTAAGTAAAACAAACTGAGTCTCAAACTACAGGGAATTATCCACACTTTAAACTCTAAAATTAAACCTGTTCATGTGAAAAAAACAGTGTTAGTCTTATTATGCTCTTCTGCAGGATTTGGTGTCAGGACAGGCTGTTAGATGAGGCGCTGCCACTTTGTTTGAAGGTGCCTCTCTTGTTTTGAGTTCCTTTATTTATTTATTTTTTAGCTGGGAGCCTGATTATCAATTTAGGTCTTTGTCCTCGCAAACAAATGAACGTAACTTAAACTGATAAAAATACTGAATATAGGCAGTTACAGGTTCAACATTTGTGTCCTTTAGACACTTCTGGATAAATGTTTGAAGGCTTCAACCTGAGCTGTCGTTGACTGTATCTCATCCAGTTTCTGTAACACCCCAAATCTCCAAATAGGCTGTATCAGGTGTCAATCATAGAAAACATGAAGCCCCTAATAACTTTTAAATACGGAGCTTCACAGAAAAAAGAGGACTTGAGCACAAACCAGTCTTACTGTAACTACATGTCAACATCGCAAGCAAGGGGGAGAAAAATTTATGTTCTGTGTGATAAATTTCTAAAGTTGGTCCACAACTCCATAAGCTTTGCTGGCGGAGGAGGGATTTATGACCTAAACTGCGGCCCATCAACAGAGGGTGCTGTTCTTGGAGTGGCTTCACCCAGCAAGGAGGCAGACTCTGTCCATTCTATATACAGTCTATGAACTAAACCTGTAAAATATAAAATACAGGAGAATATCAGCAAAAGCAGACAATACTCCACTTTGTCAACAGGAGGCACCAAAATCAACACAAGCTTAAAGTTCCTAACAGAAGCTTGAATGTATTTTTTTCAGCTGAAGAGATAGGAAATATGAAAATAGAAACTGACAACACCCTTAACCCCCAAATGTTCATGATTTATTGATGTTTTATGAATGCTATATGTGAGGACTTTAAAAATGCTGTTTTAAGGGATGACTTCAAAACCGAAAAAACAGTTTTTCTAAAACATTTTGAATCCATTTTGCATTTCCCTTTCCTGCTCAAGTCATATCTGCTGTCAGTGGAACAGTGGGCCACAGTTTTAGCATTCGAGCTATTCCTCTGTGATCTACTTTCTCATCTCATATTTATGCTCTTCTTGATGACTTCAGCTTCTGCAGCTAATTTCAAGCTCGATCTTCCTACTTTTGCAAATAACGCTTAAAACTCTCATTTCCATGAGGGAAGACGCTCGCCATCCTTTCTGCATTGACCAACGCTGTCTGGAGAAGTCTCATCCTGCTCTTGTTGAAGATTTAAAGCACCATCAATATGAACAAGCTTTTGGTTTGACTGACAAGATCTTTCTCCTGCTTTGTATCAGAATATCATTTTTTTGTCATTGGTTACTTTGTGTTTTTTCTTCCTTGCTTCTTTTGCTTACCATTCATCCGTCCATAAATCCATCCCACCATCAATCGCCTGGGGACAGAAACGCAAGTCCAGCTCGACTGTCCAGTACATGGTGAGCATGCTATGTCTGCATTTGTCTTTTTATTTCTTTTCCCCCCTCCATAGTCCTGTATTTGTTTGCTTTTCCCACCTTCTCACTCAGCCTTTACCTCTTTATATAATCAAACAGCACACAGGTGATCTGGGCAACATCGGGATCTTGTTAAAAAATAAGACGGAGTAATTAACAGGACCTCTGAGGACTAAAGAAGATAAAATATGCAATAAGTGGAACTTGCATGCCATGCTCATGTCCCTGCTCAGGTCCTTTTAAAGTACAGAGCCCTGACAGTAACCCTGAGATTATTCTGAAAGCATAATAGAAACAGGATGTTTCACTTCTGCTGTAGGTACTTCAGGAATGCTGTTCCAGATCTGTCAGGGACACACCGTGATAATAGAGGCAGGTCTTGTTCTTGTACATTTTTATTTGGTTTTACAAGACACTGTAGATATTTGAACAGAACTCAGCTCAAAGGGAAGGTAGTTGGGGGTTAAACTGTCAGAGCTGTATCTTACTCAGATTTTTGTCAGTTGAGTGGAACAGAAAGCTCAATCATCGAATTTATTTCACCAGAATCAAGGGTGGCTCTGAACAGGAGTCTCTTGTTTTACCTGTATGGTCGACACAAGCTCTCCGGGGAACATTTACACTCTTTATAGGGATGACTTTCTGGTTATATGTTTTAACTATAATATGGCACAGTTTTTTTAATGTTTTAGTAAGCTTAAATTAGGCTACTCATAGGGCTGATACTGATATAGATACCAATACTGACACACATAGACATACAGATACAGATACTGTTACTGATACTGATAAAAGCGATACTGATACCAGTACTGATAAAGATACCAATACTGACACCCATACAGATACCAGTCCTGATACTGATAGGGATACTGATACAGATAAAGACACCAATACAGAAATTGCTACCATCACTTATACAAGATACGTGAATGATTGTCAAAAGAAATTACCTAACCTTAAAACAAAACAACGGGTTCCTGCACACCGCTCAAGCACCCTGAGCAGAGATGTGACTGGCAAATTACAGATCCACTCAGGATTTTCTAAACTGTTAGGGATCCAAGCCCAGGAGAGCACTTCTGAGCTCTGTTAACAGCATTAGCTTTTATTCAACGTATCAAATGAATTACAAAACAAACCAAAAAACAAAACAGTTTTCGGATCCGGTAAGTGGATTGGAAAGGAAAATCAACAGCATCTAGTTTCCCTTTTTTTTTCCACAGGGCGCCTTCATGTTTTTTCCCCACAGACTCATCAACTCTCCTGCACTGTTCCCTCCTCTGTTCCCTATGAAATACCTTCCTTGCTGCCTCTTTGGGACCCATTTGTGAAGACTTTTACCCACTTTCTCCATCTTTGTTCCTGCTGGCATCAACCAATTAAAATGATTGTGAGGATATATGATCTTTTCTGGTCTGTGCTGCTGCCTTTATGCCAGTTTATGAAGGCTTTCTCCCCCCAGACATTTAAAATCAAATGCTGAGACCTGAGTTTTGAGTTATTGTCACTTTGGGAAGAAACATGTCCTGTTGGTCTGCAGAGGTAGCAGAGCGATGGTCGACTGCAGCTTTAGTTGGTTAAAGGTTTGTGTGAGTGTGTGTGTTTGAACACAGGTGCGCGTGCGTGCGTTTGTGTGTGAGTGAGTTTGCTCTACGTTTGCCTGTGTATTATGTCTATATGTCAGCTTAATGTCAGCTTACACCGGCTTTTGTTTTCATTTCTTTTCTCTTTGTGTTTGCATTTTGTTGTGTTTGCACTCTTTACTGATGTATAAGGTCTCTTCTATCCTCTCTCCTTCCCTTCTCCTCTCCTCTCTCCTCTCTTGAATAAGCCCAGTGGCTTACACAGTTTAAATTACATAAAGCACATACAGCACACCCATTTTCACACACACCAGAATACTTTGATTGAAGGATTCTCTGCAGAGATGATCATCAGATGTTGCATTACAGGGTAATAACTGTCTCTTCAGTATTCCCATAGCAACAAAATGCTGTTATACTAACATGAAGTTGGAGTCTGCTGGACAAAGTCTGCGTTTCTTGACCTCTTGCACTAAAGTGGTGAAAAATGTGTCTCCTTTAGGTGTATTTCTGACTAAGTGTAAGCCGATACCAATATATCGATACAAATACACTGGTCCAAACTTGACTCATAAGGCTGATTCATGCATTTATCCTTTCATTTGATCCAGCCGGTCAGTGTTTTAAGCCCTTTCAAATAGCACAATACCGACCAGGATTGCACGTTAGCAAGTCTATAATTATTCCCACACAATGAGAGTTGTTGAACACCAGATGATTTAATGTCATTCACACACTCTGCAACATAAAGCAGCAATATTCGCCTCTAACAATGGTGCATGAAAATAACTGTAGCTTGTTTTAAATGTCACCTGCTGTATATATGACAAGTTTAATCACAGCACTGGAGAATGGTGAAGCACACTGCAGTAAGTCTACCACAATGCAGCCTTCATGTCAATCAGTTTAGGGGCGTGAAACCAGCAATATGAGACCGTTTGCGTGTGATGTAACAATAACCACCCGCCCCCGCATATAGGACACGCTGCTTACTGGATGTTGGTGCTAAATCAAAACCTTTCCACTAATTCCCATTGTACTTTCTGTCAGTTTTAAATACCTCTTATCTGTCCTCTTAAATCTCATCCCGTTGTCTTTGCATTTGATGCTGTTCCTTTTCTTAAAGCCCCTCAGTTGTTCAATTCTTCTCGAAGTTCACATGATAGTTTGCACTTTTTTTCCACTTAGAGTTACATCTAAGTAACTCCCTTTCTGGAGATTTTCTTCTCCTCACCTCACTTAAAAAGCTTTCTGACAGCAAAGTAAAGCTCTTAAATCTTCCTGAAAAGGGCAAACAGTTACCTGGACATAAACGTCTAGGTTGGACTTGCTTCAAATTGGCCAAATTATGTAAAAAGATGGAAAGATGAAAACTTCTGTGTCAGTATCTCAAAAAAGTACCTCATACAACCCCACTTTAAAAAACTTGGAACTATCCCTTTAATATCCACTCAAAATAACGGTCCAAAAGGGCAGTGACGAGCGGAAAGCACTTAATGTAATGATAATAATGTGGTTATTTAGTTTTTATGCATTTACACGTGAGAGGACACATAATGTGATGTAGATTCAATGCAAATATCAACCAGGCTGAACTGAGCTAGAGAGCAGCCGGCGCTCTTTCATGTTTCTATCATCAAAAGGATCATGTGACGGTGGTTTGTAAAGGTGAGACATTGGAGCCAAAGAGCACAAAGGGAGCACACTGATGTGAAATCCTAATGAATTTAAGACACTAGTGACATCATGACGATGCCACACTGTGTCATCTGCCTCCCTCGCTCATAGATCGGTCCTGAGAAGGATCTGTTTTAGCCACCCTCTTTCCGCTGCTCACGTGCAGATGTACACCCACGCTTGTCTTACTACGCTGTCAAAGACCTCAAATCACAGCTTGTTTCCCTGCATCTGATTTGACATTTTCAGTCTGGACTGAAATCCTATAAAGAAAGTCCACTCTCTCAATCTGTGGACATTGAGGGGTTGGTTGATTGATTTGTTGGTTGTGATATCGAGTCATGTTGGTTATACAGCATGTCAGTTTTGATTTTGTTTGTATCGGTGCAGAAAACCATAACCTGGAGTTGTGTTTCCAAAACTAGCATACGCACTGAGTAGTCCCTTAAGTGGCCACAAACAGAGCAGTTTCACCTCCACATGTTGGGCACAGCTGTAGAAACCTGAAATATCCGGGGTGCACACCATTTCTTTTATAAAGGCTCCTTTAACTTCTTTTATTGAGGAGCATTGTGAGGAGGATCAAACAGAATATTACTCTTATGGTGATGCTTCTTCATGACCAGCTGAGCATAGTAAGATTGTAAGCAGGAAACTTTGTCATTTCCTTATTCTGAGTTTTGGCGCCTGAGTTCTGGCCAGGTTTTGATAAAAGCAGAGTCGATATTCAGAGTTGTCTTTGTTGAAAACTCTTCTGGTAAATGTGAGATGTACGGGGTGGTATTATGCTTTTACACATTCACAACAAAAAATGGAGTAACAATGTTTAGTGTCCGTCCTCGATGTGAAAAAAAAGGTACATTTTTGTTGACAAAATCTTTGAAAATAGATGTAAACTGCTGAAAACAATTCATTGGGAAATCACACGATATCTCAATAAGACACACTGACTAATGAAGTCATTGCAGTAGGCTCCCCTTACTGCTCCATCTGAGCAAAACGGCCTGCCAACAACAGTTTGTGAGGCAACACCAACAGCAGAACGGGATAACCGTAGACATAATATATAATATATATATATATATATATATATATATATATATATATATATATATATATATATATATATATATATATATATATATATGTTAAATATAGAGATTATATAAATAATGTCTATGGAGGTAATGCTCTGCTGCACAACTGATTATTGACCACAATAGAGGGAGCTTGGCCAAAACATCCAGCTCTGCCCTCGGCCTGCCTCTGGAAACCCTCCAGAGAGATGGCCAATCAGAAGAAAGTAGACTCATGGAGGGGGACCTTAAAGAGACAGCAGCTAAAAACAAAGTGTTTTTAACAAAGGCTGAAATAATGATATTTTAATACACCACTGTGAGAAATTTGTGGCTTTTTTTTTATATGGAAATCATGTAAAAATATTAAAGAGGTATCAAAGAGGGAGTATAGAGTCTGAAAAAAAAAACAGAACAACCCCCTTTTAAATAATCTTCTCATTATTCAAGGATATCGGAGCAGGATCAGCAAATAGACCTAGTTTTTCTATCAGAATATTTTACACAGAGAAACTCTACAACCAGTAAAAGAGCAGGGTTGCTCTGAACAGGATTGATGTTTATTCTGGGTGTGAACTGCTCTCCAGGGAAATAAAAGTTTAAGTCTGCGGATTTGTGATTTTCAGACTGGCGCTGTTGTAAAAAGGGAACTTCCCCCTGCACTGATTCAGGGGGGCTGCAGTCAGTAAGTTTACATGCACAGTTAAGTGGATTTACAGTCATGGCTTGATTGGGCATTTTAACTGGACTGCTTTGGTCCCAGTTTTCAGGCACAGAGGAAAAATCTCTCGATTAAAGTTGACTTGTGTGTGGATCCTTGTGGATATCATGTGTTAAGATTGAATCTTTAACTTGACTCGATTGGGATCTCCATGTTGCAGCAGAAGAAGGTGGACTGTACTGATTTCATCAAAAGCGGTCACCAGAATCAACATGATATGAACATTACCCATTGTACCTTTAAGGTAGCATCGGAAATGAAAAAGAAAAAGAAATCTGGGTCAAATACTCTGAACTAACCTCTTCTCACACTCCTGATCAGCGCTGACAAGGACAGTAGCAGCAAAGACACAAGCTTCCATTCAAGTGCACACACCCACATGCATGAACACACACTCACAGTCCCACAGTCTTGATGTTGTTAACACTCTTGTTGTGTCTCCTCCCTCCCCTCTCCTCTTCCTCTCCTTTCCCTCTCCTCTTCCTCTTCCTCTCCTCTCCTGCACAGCCCCAGACAAACAGCACCAAAAACAGCATAGTCACCAGCCCCAAAGGAAACATCCCTTCACCTGCTCTGGTATTTACCTCCTAACCCCCCTTTCACCTGTGTATATGTGTGTGTGTTTGTTTGTGTGAGTCTATCCTGGCCCTCTCTCTCCCCCTCCTTCCTCACCTTTGTCTGTTATTATCTGTCTGTCTGTGTCATCTTTGGTTGATCTTTACCACCACAGTCTGAAAGGTCTCAAACTAGCAGGTGATGTCAGGAAGCATCCCCCCGTGGAAGGGTGACGATGTTCTATGACTTGGACTCAGTTTGATATTGTGCCGTTTTCTCTGTCTGTGCGAGGAGCGGACAGCCAATGCCTGCTGGGGCTGTCAGTGCAATTTCCCTCCTCCTCTCTGTTTATGCCTCTGCAGAGAAGCAGTTCCCCACCGTGTTAGCAGTGCAAAGGTCTGCTGAGTGTCCTCCTCCCAGCCAAAAAGCACTCCAGTTTATTCCACTCTTCTTCTGTTGATGGTGTGAAATTCTACTGGATTAGCCAGAGGGACATCTAGTTAGTTCTTGGCCTTAAACTTTTTGGTCCGGAATATGAACTCCAGAGACAGCTCCCAAAATTTTCTTGAGAGAAGTTGAAGACACAATTTTCACATCACCTCATTTTCATTTATCACAAGCTTTTAAACTGTAAAAATCTGCTGGAGAAACTCACTGCATAGCAGGATAAGCCAAAAAAGTGTGTGTATCATGAGTAGATGTGCAGGTTTCAGTTAAAAAAAGCTTCTGATCATCATATTCAGAGCCACTAAAGGTGTTTGTAGGAGAACGCCCTAGTCACATTAAATCAGCCCATACTTTTATATACGTTTTTTGAGAACAGACTCAGCATCATATTAGTACTACTTCCAGTTCAGAAAGTACGGTATTGCATAAAACTCTAAATTTATGCTCTTCATCCAATATATTTATTTATCTCAGTCTTGACTTGCTATCTGTTGGAAACATTTTGGGTGTTATGAAAGAAAAACTAAGACAAAGGAGACCCCAAACTTTTCATTTTCAAAACTCCAGAAACTGCTCTCTTTGGCGTCCAAACATTAAAAGAAAGAGATGATGAAACACGGCAGTGAAAGTGCCACTCTCCAAAGTTTCTTCAAATGTGTTGCTGGCGTCAAACTCAATATGAGCTTGGAGAAGCTTTGAAGCAAAAAAGAAAGCAGCTTATTACCAATCACAAGAGTTAGATGGCGAACACACAAAACTTAAACTCCTTTTTAGAAAGTCTTTTGAAGTCATTAAATGATGTGATGTTGTTTTGAGGCCAAAGATGAAAAAGTCCAGACAAAGATCCTCACAGCAGACAGAGAGCACACTCAGACACAAACAAAGAAAAATGAAAATGGTAAAAAAATACACAGCTGGGCTTCAACAACCACATAAGATCCTTCTGATTGAGCTGATTTAACTACTGTGCCCTATTAGGCCTCCCCTTCCTCCCTGTAGGAACAGCTTTGTTTATGCTCGGTCAGAGCCGATGTGCAACGATTAAATCCTTCCCCCCATTTGATGCTGCGACGCCTCCAGCACCCGCCCCCCTCCCTTTGATCTGCAGACCCCAGGTACTTTGTTCTCACTTATCATCATCATCATCATCTCCCAAGTTACCACCAGTGTGAGTTGCCTTGGGTGATGGTTGCTATGACGACACTGCCATCATCACCACAAGGGGGAAAAAAGCTGATGATTGGCCATCACTGAAGTGTCACTTCCTGGGGGGGAGAGGAGGGATTTTAAACTATATCAAACAACCATTTTTAGAGGTTTTGAAAGAACTGGGTCCGTGCCTCATGGAGAGCCATAAGTGTGTACTTTACGGGGTGGCAACACTGTTAGATGTAAGGTGCCAGGCACTGAATGGAGGCTCTAATTGTGCTTAAATGAGGCTTTTTACTCCAGAATAAAGTGGTATGTGAAGAGTAAAACAGCTCTTTCTTGTAACTTTTTGTGTTCCAAGTGTGAGTAGTAGCTTTGTTTAAGAAATGCAACAAAAAGAAAAGTTGTTATGTGTGGCTAATCTTGTGAGGTGTCTGGATTTCTCTCAAAGTGGGATCCTGAAACGATGCCAGTATCTGCCTGTTCTACTGAGAGGAGTGTGAAGGAACAGAACAACCCGTTTTTATCCTGCGGGGAATCTTAGTTTTTGTCGCTAGGTGTGCCAAAACCCTGTTAGATGTGGAGGCTTTGGTGTTTACATACATAAGGGCGCATTTATTTAATATTACATGTGCTTGGCTTGCTGGTTTTCCCTGATTTGCCAGATGTAAACATCTTCTAGGGGATTGAAGGTAATTCAAAGGCACAGATGGACAGATACGCAGAGTATAGGATAAATGAAGGTTAAAAAAGTTGCATTTTGAAGTTAAACTTTGAGCTGTCCTCCTTCTCAATCTTTGTATCAGCTGGTTTGTGTGAGAGAAGAAGATTGGGCGGCTGTGAGTGCCCAGGGTGGACACTTTAACCCGGGTTTCAGAGCCCTCTCTCTGCTCTTAGTGTGTGTGTGTGTGTGTGTGTGTGTGTGTGTGTGTGTGTGTGTGTGTGTGTGTGTGTGTGTGTGTGTGTGTGTGTGTGTGTGTGTGTGTGTGTGTGTGTGTGTGCAGGGAACAGAACTGACTGTAAATTACGGTTTTCAGCTCATCCACCCACTCACTCGGCTTTGGAGGATTCTTCCCTCCCTTCTTTGTCAACCCTAACAAGCCCTTTTCTTTTCATCTAACACTCAAATCTCTCTCTCTTCCTTTCTCTTTTTCCTAGTTTCCATTTTTTCACTTTCAATCAACTTGTGAGTCAAAATCTTTTCTTTCTTTCTTTCCCCCCTCTTATTCCATGTCTGTCCATCTCTACTCTCCATCCTCTTCCTCCAGGAACCTCAAACAACTGTCATCCATAATCCAGTGGACGGGACGAAGGTACTAGTTATCCCCCCAGTCCTGACCTTTTCTTTTCCCTCTGTCATCCTCCTCCTCTTCCTCATCTTCTCCTTTTTCTTGATCCTTCTTTTCATCTTGCATCCGCGTGAGCTTTTGAAAAAATGTGTGTGTGTTTTATAGCCACAGATTAAACCCAGATAGATGACTCCTTTTATAAAATGGAACCAGGAAATTGCAAATGTTGCTTACCTCTTTAGCCGGTCCCCTGTTGTGCAGATTTGTGTGTGCCGCTCATTATGCCACCCAGGAGACTCTGGCACACACATTTACCCCTCTCAAATTGTGAAGAAGTATAGCTGTAAGCACCTCCACCTTTTGCTTCACAGAGCTACACTGTGCACTCCCATCCCGATGCCCCCCTCGACTCTGTCCACATGTAGATGGAGAGCTACAAGCAGTGCAGACATTTTTATTTTACTATTTTATTATGAAGTGTATTTACGACAGATGTGACAGAGCTATATCCAGCTCAATTACAGAAGCTAGTTCGCAAACACCAACTTGTTCATGAATAGAAATTTAAAACACGCCATCATGCATTATGGCACAGCCTGTACTTGTGGGCATTGAGACCCAGACTGGCTAAAATTTGAGCGTGAGCTCCAGATAGTAAAGATCTCATTCTGACTGCACACAATGATGTTTGTGGATGAAAGATTTTCATTCACATAGAAAGGGTCCAGTTTTTCCCCAAGTAAAGGCAAAATATCTCATTTAAATGTGACTTGCTCAGATTTAACAGGTGCAAAAATGGCATAAATACCGTATTTTACTATAAAAGGGTCGCGGTATGAATGTGTGTGTGTGTGCTCAGAGGTTGTGCATGAACCCGCATGACTTTGCAGTGAGATCCCTCCCTCTCAGGTATGACCAAGCTCTTCTTTTGCACTGGGAAGTTGCTTTTGCTGGCTTGTTAGATGCTCTCTTGAAGGGAAAAGCACAGTAAAACATCCTTTGCATTAGATTCCAGCTCACACTTTGGAAAGAGGTGTATGGCTCTGAATCACATACAGCAGCAGGTCTGAGAAATCCTGGACGATTTCTCCTTCACTGCAGCTTTAAATCATAGCAGGCAGGTTTTGGGGCGCTTTTATAATTGATTGCTAAGTTTAGTCCATGTGTGCATGTGAGAAGGATGAATTTTGACCTTTGCAGGCTAATAATGTTGACTGTGCAGGAAACATGAGACTGTAGCAATAAAAGGAAACTTAAATCAGTGCTCTATCAAAGCAAATGTTAAAGCAAGGTGCACAAACTTGCATATCTCATATACTGTGGGTATGGAGGTGTGTAAATCCAGGTGGGGTTACAGCTCGCCTGTAATTTAAAAAGAAATAAGATTCATAATGTCACAAAGAAAACTTCTCTATGATTCAGAGTACAGAAAAACCAAGTGTAGGTGGGATCACACTTTCAGTGCTATATCTAATATCTGATGTTTGCCCTTTTCTCCATCACACTCACTCAAACATTTTTCATCTTCACTCGATCTTCTTCTCCTCAGGTCACCAGCTGCTCTTTACAAGGCTTTGAAACCACTTTGGTGCTTTGTGTGCTCGTGATGCTTCTCCTGCACGTGCGTTCTCCTAATGAGGTCACAGAGTCTCCACACTCCCCTCCACATGCAGGGGGAATTTAGACCCATTTAATCTACTAATTGGAAATTACAAGCCAACTCCTCCTCTGGTGAAGCTTGAAAAAGTGAGGAAAAAAGCTGAGCAGATGCTAAGATAGATGAGTCCTGCTGCAGATGACGACAGATAGCCTCTCTTATCAGAACTAGTTGGTTGGAGCACTCGGCACACAGCCACTGTGATGACGGTTCTGGTCGGCATGGTTTGACTTTGATGACTGTTTCACCTTAACACTTTAACAGCTATGGTCATTGTTTTGTTTGGTGTCTATGAATGGAAGCAAAGTTCAATGATGTTGTCGGTTTTCTGGGATTTTGAAAGACCTGGAAGTCCAACATAGAGTCCTGATCATGGACTGTTTGTAAGAAGTGGATTTCGAACTTTTATGGTGTTAAAAACGAAGCACCATGAACTTGTATTCTTCCAAAAGGCTCTACTAGAGAAACACCCCTCTTCTCATCTGATTGGATAACTTTGTAAACATTGAAGTTGAAAGTTTATGGACTTAGATTCTAGTTTCAAATCCTCTGCAAAAAATCCTGTTTTGTTAGTGTATAAAGATCCCCTTAGGGTAAAATCTAAGGTGAAGGAGTTTCCTCTGGCTGTAACTGGTTAGAAACTTTGTCCAGATAAGGTCACTCCTGGCCTTCAAATCTCAGTCTTCAAATCTCTGGGTTAAATCCCATTTCCCACTTCCGTACGGTCCACAGTTTGGACTTTGCTTGAACAAGTCTCCCAATAACTCTGAGTGTGTTTGTCCTCCTAAGTGTTCAGCATAAAAATGTGTATTTTGGCCTTTAAATCCAAACTGACTGTCTCATGTCTGATCTCCAGGAATCTTCGGACAGCAGCAACACCACCGTGGAGGATGAGGATGTGAAAGGTAAGACCGCACAGATACCAAACCTGACAGAACACTCAAAAAGGGTCAAGGACTGGGCTGTGTGCTGCTCCAGATGGTTAAATTCTCTATGCAACTTAGATATCTGGGATCATCACAAGACACTTGTACCGCTTGAATATAGTTGTTGTTGTTTAATGTAGTTGTTACCTTTTTTTTTAGGCAGCTAGTCTGGGAGCAAACTGTGATTCAATGAGTGAAGTGAGATCCACATACCGTATAGATATGCTATTCTTTATGCTAAAACTAGCTTGCTGGGTATGTTCTGCCAGTTGCTGGTCTGTTTTAGTCCTCTGAAATCAGCATCCACACCAGTGATGCCTTTTTTTAGAGACTGTGTCCACAAGGGTCAGTTTTTGCTCTTGCAGTTCTTATTTTCTATCAAAACCAGTGCAGTCGTGTTTTTTCGGTGCTCATCATCCTCTCCCCCTGCTGATTTTAGTTGTTGCGTTCTCAGTTAAAAAAATAGTTCAGTTTTTTTATCACAGCCACATTCTTGAGTGTCGCTTCTGAATCACCAACCAATCAAAATCAAGAAGGTGAGAGAAATATTTTAAAAGCTGCTTGAAGGTCAGTAAGGGAAGAAGAACATATTTTATAACCTACAAACAGTCAGCACCTGAGAGAAGCACTCTGTGCTGTGAGTGGACATAGGCCCTTATTTTCTGAACAGCTTGTTGCTGCTGCACTCGTTTTTTATCTCTGTGTGTACCGGCGAATGGCGTACTTTCTGTATTGGAATATTTGAGTTGACAAAAAGTCATTCAAAGTAAGTTTAAGCAGTTGCTATTATCAGAGTAATGCTTAAGTAGAAAGTCCACCAAAAGAGAGTTTAGAGATTTGGTTGTCACTTTGGAACTTGTTTATTGTTACAGACTTAACTGTTGCTCTTGGATGTTTCTGCTGAGAGCAGTTGTTTCTGAATGTTTTTCTTGAATAAAATAGATCTGAGTTTGAAGATGTGCAAAGTTTACTTAAAAAAGACATTAGAGGTGGCGTCTTGTTTATCCCAGACCTGAGGGTGTGAATGCTTTTTGATGCCAGCTGGTGAAAAAGCCTCTCATGGGATTGGCCTTATCTGCTTTACTGTCTGCTTTTATTTATTTATTTTTTTACAGATCTTATTTATGATCATTTACAATAGCCCACGGGAATAATTTAAAGTTTACATGCTAGGATTACAGGGATATTCTTAATGTACTGATGCTGTTGTTTCCGAACATGAAAATTCAAACGTGGTCACCAGACAGTCAGCGGCTGATTCCTGACCTCTTACTGACCCCTTATGGCGCCTGGCTGTATTGCTTGCTCTGGCTGGGTTTTCAAAAGACATGCAGAGTGTTTGTGATGTGAGTGTGTGTACATGCTGTTGTGTGAGTGTGTGCGCGTTCCTTTTACATGAGAGTTAGGCTATAAGAGGCTTTGTAACACAGCTGCGGTTTGGCTTTCTCCAAAGTGTTGGCTGAAATCTGAACACTGACAAACACACACCTCAAAAATACTGACATGCCTTCATGGGGTGTCAACTTGCAGAGTTGTGCGCTTGTGTTGTGAGCGTGTGCATTTGTCACCAGGGGCTAAAATTAAAAATGACAGTCATATTACACATATGAGCTAATAACATCACACTGAGTGTGACTGGATCTATGTTTGTGTGACTCTGTGTGTTTGAGTGTAAACCTATGGGTTCTGGCTCGGCTTATCTCTGCCGGCACACTCAAACACCCCTGCTCTCCTCCATCTAGGCTGAGTACAATGCGTCTAAATCGGGTCATGAATGTATCATTTCAGTGGCAGGCTGGCAGAACAGAACAGAATGTGCACCTTCATCTCCTCCTCGTCCTCCTCCTTCTCCCTATAGAGGCTTTGCTGCTGTGTCACATATTCCCCAGCAACCATTTCAGAGACGTCATGTAGGTCAGCGAGAAAAAGTGGCGAATGTTGAAGAACATCAACTAAAGCCATCTCAATCTGAAGGAAAACACACTCCAAAAATCAGGATTATTTAGGAGACACTTTCCTCGTTAGTTTATTGGAAGTTTCTAATATCTGCTTAATCTGTAATGGACTAAGTTGGAAACGACCTCATCTCTAGAAAGTTCCTAACCTTTATAAAAGAATCACAGCAGTATGGAGTATATTTGTTAAAGCTTCTTTAAGAAACTTTTGCTTAGTGTTGAATTTGGCGCCCCCTGTGGACAGAGCGTAGAAGCAGACACAGTAAATTTTAAACTTAACTCCATTAGTGATTACCAAATATGTTGACTTTGAAAAAAAACACCAAATTCTACTCAAAATTTGCGTAATTTGACATTAATGTCAAAACCTGTTTTAAGTCGGACAGTCCAGCACCTCCAATGGAAAGAGTCTCCATGATCCAAGTCCAGTAAGAGTTTACCCAAATGTATCATATCAATAAAGATCCACAGATGACTTCAAATCTACAGAGATCCATCTTACTTTCCAAGAAGAAGGTTTGAATCCCTCCTCTTTCCCAGTATGCTTTCACTGTTGCACCAATGCAAGTCAATCACTGACACACTGATGCCGCCAAGTGGCACTACACGACACATATATAGTGTCCTGAAGCATATCGATGGGCATGTGCTCAGCTCTGATGAGGCATCATCTTCTTTAATTCCAGTGTAGCCAGCGTAGTATAGGACAAGTCCAGCCTAGACTTCTCTCACAATGCAGCATTTACATACACCTGCAACATGAACACCATCACTATGATGGTTCCAAAGCAATGCCTTTTCGCTGGTTTCTAGAAGTTCATGGTAGAAAGGGTTCTATAGAGGCTGTCAGACCAGAAAAAGAAACCAGATCCCCCCCATCATTTACTCACAATTGATGAGTTTTAAGGTTGTCAGAGTAACAACATCATTGTAAAGTTGTGTAAAAGTGAAAACGCAAAATTTTCCAGCTCTTTACTTATTACAACTCGTGGCTGTGGAAGCTGTTTCTGCTGGGTACTGTTAGCTGACACCAAGCAGGCATCAGTGTTTACAGGCATTCAGAGTGAACATACGGAGATAGTCAATCTTCTCATCAGTTTTGGTTTGCATTTGGAGCTCTCAAAAGGTGGCAGTACTGTTTCCTCAGCTAAAAACGCCCAACAGCAGCTTTAAAAGACCCAGTAAAATATTACTAGCTGGATTCATTTAAAATTTTATGTCATGCTATCTTTATCCAAACTACTTTTAGCACTATCCTCCTGGGATCTAACCTCATTTCCAGAGCACAAAAGAAACATGTAACCTTTGGCTATAATAGGAAAGCTCACCAGAAAGTCATATAGCAAAGTAACTATTATAGGAGCTCAGACTGGTTGAGGACCCAGGGCTGGATTGTAAGCTCACATTTTTTATTTTATTTTTTACTCACTTTTTGCATCACATTCTTAAATAAATAAATTGGATGTAGCAGTTTTTAGCATTTTGTCTTTTTCTATTTTCTGGAGCTGCATTGCCACACTGACAAAGCTGCCTGCAGTGTCCGCAGACATTATTTACATTGTAAACCAGCCTCATTGGCTCCCGCCAGAAAATCTAAAATGCCATTAATTAGCCACCATATTTAAACCCTGTGCCCTAGCTCAGAAATCAATGTTTTTTCCATCAGCTGTTTTTCTTGCAGGATGTGAGTTCACCTTTTTGTGCCTTTGAATTGGATCCAATTTGATGATGATTGAAGTTGGATAGCCAAAAGGAGAATGTCATCACTTGAAGACCCTCAAACAGAGTCCTGTCCCAAACTGTCCCGAGGTGTTTCCCTCCTGTGAATTTCCTTCCTGTCAAATATCCAAATCAGAGCCAAATCCTTCCACCCCTCCATCCCCCCCTTGGCAGGAGAAAAGAGGGCAAGGGCACCTTGGGAGGGGGGGTCGGGCTAAAAGGGGAGATGTCTAAATTTAGCGCTGGTAGCAGGAAATGGAGACGGAGTGCCCAGAGAGGCGTTAAAAACTCACCGCTCTGCTAGCGCCACCCTTAGATAGCGTTAGTCTCACACAGCAGTTTTCAGACTCTTAAGATACAAACAGACATATAGCACGGTTAGCGCCAGGCAGGACTACAAGAGCCAGGTGAGTGCAGGAGGCAGGGGAGTCCGGTGTTGGTTGGAAGAGTTTGTGTCATGGTGTCCTGTGTGGGAACGTGTCAGGTCAGTGAGTGCTCGACAGCTGGTTTGCAACCCAACACCTGTGCTGGCGTTTGGAGCATCTGAACACATATCTGCTCTGTTACTCGCCAAACTTTTATAGGAGTCAAGACGTTACAGGCTCTGTTCTGTGAGGAGTGTGTTTTTATGAGTCGTAAAGCTGCACTTTTGTTGCATGGCTGACTTTCCTTTGTGTCGGGTATGATTTATGATTGCTTTCTTTTTGGTCTTAAATCCATAAGCTCCCCTTTTTGAAATATCTGGAATTTGAAAATAGTTGTTCTCTTACCTGTGAGTCAAATGTGGGGGCTAAACTGTGACATTTTTATTCTTTCTATTTCCTGTAAATCCACCACCTTCGGCTTCAGGTGAAAATGGTTTTCATTGCGTTAGTCTGAGGACTAAATTTAAGTATATTTGAGAGGATGAGGTAAAACCTTTTAGAGGAGTATTGGTTGGAAACACAAGCTCTTCTCTTTTTCTTCTATGCCAGATTCTCGTGCCACATTTCTTCCTTCCTGTCCCTCTGTTTGTCAGCGAGCGTACATGTGTTACATTTCCCTCCGTTCCAGCTGATTAAACAGACAAGTCATAATGAGTAACATCCAGCTCCATCCCTCATTACCATGGCCATCACCGTCGTCATCATTCATCCTCAGATCACTGGCAAGACTCCCATTAAAGCCTCAGTAAAAGCCCACATGCAGCAGCAGCAGCAGCTTTAAATCCTGTCGTAATGGAGTCATTAGTTTCGATCTTTTTTAATGAGATCTGGTGGCACAGGACTGTGATTCATCAGAGCAATAAAATCTTGTGTTCAGTTCAGAGACTGACACGATGGCACCTATTGAAGTTGGACTTATGTTGGTAAGCCCGGAGTTTGAGTTCAAAGAAATGGTCCTCAAAGCAGGCTGCCTCACATCACTTAACAGTGGAGGGATAAAGAGGAAGCAGCAGCTGCTAGCAAGCTCGGGGGAGCAGCCCTCAGAAAGATGATCAGGCACTTTCCACAGCTAATATTTAAAAATGTATCATGAATTTGAAAACAACATTAGAGAAAGTGTTCCCACAAATTATTACAAAAGCTTCCTTGTTACTTTTTAGTTCCGCTTATTGCCGATAACAAACGTGATATGACTTCATGGCACTGTTGGGACAATTGCATGGAAGCCACACCCCCAAGGATACCCTACCTAATTATTAATACCTTCTTGTTCAATCCACTCTGATACAACAGTAATTTATAAATTGAACATAATGTTGCTTCAAAGCAGACATAAAACTAGTGATAGTGACCGAATAATCTTTATTAATATGTTAGATGTGGAAAAAACAACAACTGAGAGGTTGAGTTTTTTTCTCATGGACACCTTTACAGAATGATTTATGTAAGTTTAGTTAAGTTTCAGGCTGTGGAGTCGCCACCTGCTGGTTGTCTGAAAAAATGCAGGTGAAAGTCACCTTTAAGTTCCAAATGACAGAAATATACTAATGTAGATTCAATCAGATTGGATTAGATTAGATTAGATTAGATTAGATAAAATTTTAGATTAGATAAGATTAGATCAGATTAAGTTAGGTAAGGATAGATTAGATTGAATTAGGTTGGGATCGATTAGGTTGGTTTTCATTAGATATGACTACATTGGTTAGATCGTATTAAATGAAATTGGATTAGATTAGACAAAATTAGATATGATTAGGTTGGTACTCGCTGGATTACATCAGATTGGATTTGATTGATTCAGTTAGATTAGATAACATTGGGTTAGATTAGATTAGATTAGATTAGAGACTGTAGGCATATAGAATATATGCAGTGGTGTATCAGAAAGAAAAAAAGCAAAATGCCTTAAAATATGTTCAGCAAAAAATTGAATGCTGTCCTGATTTCATGTGAGGGAACCCCCAAACAAACTGCTTCATCATTTGAAAGGGCAAAATAATGTTACATCAGGTAGTGTTGATAGTTAATGTACGACAATGTTAATTACGAGCTGCAGCAAAATTCTGGAAAATGGTCCTTTTTTTACCAGTATTGTCTCCTCAGATGCAGTCCTGTACTGTTCTTATAAAATGAATGAAACTATGACTTGGAGTATGTTATTTTTTCAAGGTACATGTGATAGCACAGTTCAAGAGTTCAGGTGTGATGTAATAAACTGGGAGGAGTCGGTCTCCTGGCTGTAGCCTCGTACTGCCCGTCTTTCAGTCAGAACATGTTGGTGTTTGAGCGTAACACTAAATCGTCACTGTAAAAGAGTCTCCAGAAAAGAGTTGGAACCTTGATTCATCCACTGTCACCACATCATCCCACTCCTGCTTTACCCGTTCCATCACAGTCATGTGTCTGTTGTGTTTTTGTGTGAATATGCGCGCTGGTTGTCATCTCTCTGTATATGTATGTTTGTTTTGTGTCATTCTGCGTGTGTGCATGTCATCAGGAAAGAGCTTAGACAACAACAGCTCGCTTAAGGCGCAATCCAGCACGAGCTCCCAGCCTGATAGCGCTCAGAGCCCCCCAGCTGCTGCGTATAGTAAGTCAGCACAGCCCGACAGATGCAGCTTCACACACACACAGACTAACACACACATGCTTGTACATGGACACGCTCCAGTAGAAATTTACCTCAACTTAATCCTTCCCGCCTACATCACTAACTCCCCCTCTCATACTTAGCCTCACCCCTTCATTAACGCAAATTAACCAGCAAAGAGACACAAACTTCTGGTGACATTAAAATCTCAAAATGAGACCAAGTCATTCTGAAAAACGGTGAGATGCTGTGTAGTATTTCTACTCCTCTACAACCCAATCCCCTCTCCTCCCTCTGCCCACGCCTCGTGTGTTTAGAACAACTTGTTGCCTCCACCTTCTGGACAGAAGTGGAATCACAACACGGCACAGACATTTGTTGTTTTTCAGGCATCTCAGAGCATGAGTGTTATCCTTGTCTTTTGTTTTCATCTCTCTGGACTTTGTCTCGGTGAGCTCTAATGATAGATCCAGTGTCGCAGTAGGGATTTTAACCTTTTTCCTGTAACAATGTCAAAAAAGTTACACCTAAAGCAAGGACACAGGCCTGATCTGAAGATTTTGACTTGAAGAAATGCTATTTATTCATCCCATCTGTCTCCATTAATCTAAGATAAGAAAATTCAAGCAAAACTTCATCTAAAGAGATAGATGCAGCATGGTACAGTGTGTAAGCATTTAGCATCACAGACTCGGTAGAAAAAACTAACTGTAAATAAAAAAATCTATTTGTTTGTGTTCCATATAAGAGCATCCTCAAAGGTCACTCAAAGGGGGCATTTCAAGCAAGAATTTGACTCCTAGATATACTCGTTTCTGCACACTGACTTCTTCCTTACTGCTCGCTAAGACAAAGTTTTTCCATCTGAAAGTCCACACCTCTTTTGTCAACCCTCCACTGTTTCCCATCTTCCTCCCCCCTGAACTTAGCTGCGACAAAGTTTGCTGACTTGCTGGGCTCAGTGCGTCGGGGCTCAGGGCCCACAGCCGACTGTGAGGGGAGATCCAGCACCCCACCTCCTGCTGTCCTTTCCTCCCCCTCCACTCCTCACCCCCCTGTTGTCCCAATGCAGAGTGAGTTGAAAACGACATGAGTTTCCATGGGACTTGAAAAACCTGGATGACCATCCTCATATTCACACGGCAGCCGTTTTCCTCTATAGTCAGACTTGGTGCAAAATGTTTACGGTAGACACGAACACCTCTATCCCATGGACAGATGTTTTAACTCATTACAAGAAATTCAGGTCTTACTTTATGCTTGCGGTATCTTCAAACAAGTTGCTTATCTGGTTCTCTCAGGTAGATATGCCTTCTTCAAAAAAGTATCACAAAAGAGACACAAGATTTTATCGAATTGTGTCATCATGATTAAGGAAACCCCTTAGAAGACCATTAAATTTAATGCTTATTAATTTAATACTTAATTATACCTTGTTTGTTCTCTTTCAATTAGAGATTTTGTCCCTTTCCAAACTTTCTGGAACAGATTTGGGATTCAAAACAATTTTTTTTTTTTGCAACTTGTTATTTTGAATAGAGAAACACCGGATAATAAAGATGAAGAAGACTGATCAAATAAGCTTTACGTAGCGTGCACAGTGAGTGAGGCACACAGTAGAAGGGGAATGATTATTCAAACAATAAAATATATATATATTTTTTTTTTTTGCTTGGGTTGCTTGTCCCTATGGCAGCAGTGGAAGAGGCTTACAGAGAGCTAGGTAAGGGCCTAAAGACAGTATCTGAAATGAAGCTTTTCACTCCATGCAAAGGTTTTGGACTCCACAGTACATGAATGAACAATTATGTTTCACCGTGAAACAGGCCCTAATAAGTGTGATTTCAGGTCGACAGAGAAGCGATGACAAACAGTCGTAACAACCGTCAGGCAACAACACTAAAGCTCTCCTAGCTTCAGAGGAAAGTGGCTGTCTGTGAAAATGGGCTTTAAATTCGTCCCTTTATTCCGTATTTGTTTCCCTCTTCTCTGTTTCTAATCTGCTCTCTTGCATTCCTCCCCCAACCAACCCATCCATCCTCTCTGGAACGGCAACACAGTGTCTAGACTCACAGACCTGGTAAGCAGCGTTCGCAGGGCGCCGGCACCCCCTGCGCCTGAGGTTGACGCAGCACCGGCACCAGCACCAGCACCGGCACCAATACCTAGTGCCAGATCTGCCCCTCCACCCGCACACACAACCTCCCCTCCTCCCCCTCACTCCCCCTCCAGCCCATCCCTGTCCTCCTGTCAGAGTGAGTACAGAGCATGAGCCTGTGACCCCCACTCCTCACCCTCAGTGTGCAGTGTGTGTTTTTAACAGTTCCGTTTTGGCGATGAGGGTCCATTGAGTGGAGTGTGTTGCGCTGAACACTCATTTATCTCTGAGCCTTTTTTAACCTCCTCCTGGGTCTGCCAGAAAGACCTGCTGCTGCTGGATTTGGTTGCTCCAACGGTTGATGTTGCTTGTGTTGATATACAGAGATTTCTGTGTGTGCTCATAATACGACGCGTTTGAGAGTCCTCTTCTTTATGAATGTGGGTGACAGGAATGTTTCCCCAAACTAATCTGACTGTGATTTAACATGCTGCATCAATAGTTTCTTACGCAGAATCAAAGCTTTCCACGATTTAACAAACGACACATAGAAATGTACTTTTCCTGCTGAGTTTTTCAAATCACGCCGTATTCCCACGTTCCACCTCATGACCTGCTGTTGCTGTTGTCTCTAGCTAACTTCTCCTTTTTTTCCGTCTGCAGCACGCAAACAGGAAATCATCAAGATCACTGAGCAGCTGATAGAGGCAATCAACAATGGAGACTTTGAGGCTTACGCGTGAGTCTTATCCTTGGTTGTGGTTTTTGTTCCTCACCGTCAAACAAAAACCCCAAAATCATGTTCACCCTCGCTAAATCCTTCTTGCTCTCTCCTGCGCAGTAAGATTTGTGACCCTGGACTGACTTCATTTGAGCCTGAGGCGCTGGGTAACCTGGTTGAGGGGATGGACTTCCACAGATTCTACTTTGAGAACCGTAAGATTAAGAGATTTTTTTGCTATATGTTGTTTCATAATGACGTCCATTTCCAGAAATTGTTTCATATCTCACATCTGTGGTTTTACTTTTCACGTTTTCACCTTATGATTATTCTAGCCAAAATACGATTTTGACAATAGTATTATCAGTCAATTGTGGGAAAGGCTAGACAAGGGTGAATGCCTTAAACATAAACCAGAGCAACTTTGCTTCAAATAATGATTTCTAAAATGCTTTTATTTTGAAATTCTTACTGTCTTGCATTCACATTGCCTTATTTCTAATACTGTATGAATATGCTTTTAATTTGAAACGAATTACAAGTCATATTGGTAGACTATGAGTTACAGAACCCAATGAAAACTGTTTTGATAACAGTTAAAAGTGCAAATATTTGATGTGTTGTCTCCTGCTGAAAAAGCACAAGCTCATCCAGTGTTAAGACATCACTGCCCCCCCATTATGAGCCAGACTATTCTGGGATGCAACGGCGGGCGGAGTCACTTTGGTTGCATGTACAGAGTGGTAGAAAGCACTGACCCAAACACACAAAAAGACTTAAAAATAAAGATCCGGAGAAATTTAAAGTAAAAGTTTCTAGTGTTACAAAGCCAGTAGATCCAAAATAAACCACCATCATCACTGACCGAGCTAAATTGGTCAGGTCTGGACCAGCTAGTGTTCAGAGTTTCAGCATAAAAGCACTATCCTTTCAGTAATTATGATGTGACAGAGTGGTCTGTGGACAGCGTGTACTCACCTGGATTTGAAATCAGGTTTAAATGTAAGAGAAGCCAATATCTGTCCCCATATTGATGCCCACAGATTTCTGTGTCTTTGGTTAAGGGATGTGCACAACCTCTGAACAGAGAATTCAAAGAAGAGCTGAACCAGATTGCACATCTACCGGTACAAGAGCATTGGTGTGTCATGTAAACATCACTCTACGTTGTTTCTTTGAGTAAATTCAACAGCTGATGTTTGTTTGTCTTGCTGCAGGCTGACAGTTAAAGTTGTGAGACTGCATGAAAAGTCTTGAGCCTTTTCTCTGTTTATAGAAAAACGGATACATTTTCTTTTCTAACTGTAAAAAAAAAAAGTTTAAAAACAATGGAAAAAAGAAAAGTCATTGAAATCTTGTTATTTTCAGTTTTAGCCAAGAACAGCAAGCCCATTCACACCACTATTCTGAACCCTCACGTCCACCTGATCGGCGAGGATGCTGCCTGCATCGCTTACATCCGCCTGACTCAGTTTGTGGACGGCCAGGGTCGGCCGCGGTCCAGCCAATCAGAGGAAACTCGAGTGTGGCATCGCAGGGACAGCAAGTGGCAGAACATCCACTTCCACTGCTCAGGCGCACCCGCTGCACCACTACAGTGAGGTACGAACACAGCACAGAGACTATTGTATCGTCTACATACAAATAAATCTTTGCATCTGTAACAGTATTAACTCTGTGATAAACAAAATGGAAAATGGACCCTTGTGGGACGCTGTTGTGTGTGTTAAAAAATCATGTTTGCTTTCTCAGGGTTGAATGCTTAAGTTTTGTCTGTGAGGAGTGCTCTGCCAGAGAGAGAGGAAGAGGAGGACTAGGAGGAAGAGACGAAAGAACATGTCTGGTGTCAGTTTAAGGGACGGGGCTGCTCACACCTCAACAACAAACCCTCCCTCTCTGGACGCCCCGAATCTCCCCCCTGAGCATGCATCTCTCCTTATACTACAACCGCTGCCCCCCGTCTGTCACCGGCCTCACAACAACCTCTGACTACCATCAAACAACAGCAGCAGAACGTCCGACAGCCGAACAGCTGGCTTCCTCTTCTTCCTCTGGCACACTGGCTGAGAGGTGGAGGTGGGGTTTGGGGTGGGGTGGGGTGGGGTGGGCGGTGTTTTTAGCACTCGGTGTGTTTCCTTCTTCTTCCTGTGGTCTGACCCCACCATTTTTGTGAAACCCTCTTGTCCTCCTGTGAATTCACACTTGTGTGACAAAAGCACTGCACTGGAAACACAGTATGTAAAGATTTAAGTCAAATCTACTACTATCATTATTATATTATTATTATTATTATCATGGTTATTATTATTATTACACATTTGCAATTGTATATGTCATTTGTATAATTCGAAATTCTTGATGCCAGTGGTTTCTAGAGTTGAAGGATTTTTTTCTTTATCTTTTTAAGGAAGCATGTTTTTCCCATATTTACAGTAGCTGTTTTTTATTGTGGCTTTTAAGTGAAAAATGATATTGGTAGTTTTGTAATTTGCTTACTGTATGTTCGCTTTAATATTGCGCCCAAACTCACTGTCAACAAGTTTGTGTGTTCGTTTACTTGCTTTGGCTTATTTCTGTTTTTACTTTTTTTGTTAAGGGTGGTGTGGCTGATGGTGTCCTGGGTATGACATAGTACCGGTGCAGGCAGGGGCTGTTATCACTTAGTTTCATTTAACTCAGTGTCTTCCTGCAGCAGAACCTGAACATTTCAAACAAAGAAAGCAGTCCACATGCAAATGGACTTTTACCCTGAAACAGCTCACTGTCACGTTGAAGTTGGATTCTTATAGTAGAGGGCCTTTTACTCTTGCACTCTGAATAATAAACAAATTCAGCTCATGCCAGGAAAGGATCAGTTTGACCTCTGCTGCAGCAACCAGCCTTAAAGGTTCTCTCTGAAATAATCTAAGAAGCAGTTTTTAGTCTTTAGACCTAGATGCTCTCACACTTTGCTTCTCTAACAGTGAAACATGATTATTTCACTTTACAACAACACAGTCTGAACAAAAGTGTGTCTTTCCTTAAGTTAGAATAGTACAATGCAAGATCTTGCCTATGGTTGAAGATGGTAATTTGCCTCTTTATCAGCTCTTAATCAACCTGAAAATATTTTATTGTAATTCTAATGCCCTATTTATGAAAACGACTACATTTTGCATCTAGTGTCTCCAACCTCAACAAAACATTTTCTGATCAGTGAAACTCATTATGTCAAGGAGGAAGAGCCAAAATACAACATTTTTTTCATGTTTAGGGAACATAGATCCTTATGGCACAATGAGAGAGGCCTTTTGTATTATAAAATATTTTAATACAGCATTATAACTTACATATCACAGTTGCATTATAAAATCATAATTGTATTATCATGATATTTGTTCATTACATAAATTTAAGTACTATTATAAGGTTTGTCATGTTATCAAATCTTAGACTCCTTTACCCTCCCTCTCTCATGAAAAGGAATTTATATATAAATATAGTTATATATTTAAATAAAACCTCAGTAAAAGAACGAACAGCTCATCATTTTACGCAGAGTTGTGTTTGAGTCCAAGTGGCTTGAAAAGATGCTCCTATGGTGATGCACTGTTGGTGGCTCCAGCTGTTGCTAGGCGACACTTAGTAGCTCAGCATGCGTTTCCTAAAAGTCAAGATATCTCAAACTTGTTAAAAATGTGTTTTTTCCTCAATCAAAACACAAAAAGAAGTCGATGTCCTTGGTCAGGCTTAAAGTATTAATCAGTATTAAAGAATCAAGAGTGTGTGTGTTTCTCTGCTCTGTGCTGTCCGTTGCTACAGGGTGCAATATTTGTATGAGTGTGTGCAAGCATGTACAGTACATTCGTTGCTCTTCTCTCCTTGTTTTGGAGGTGTGTATTTGTGGTGTGAGAGGTGTCAGGGGAAGGCTTTATTTCAGGGGACGGATCAGTCCCCTGCCTTCAGTCGAGGATTTTCTTTTCTGCTGATGTGATTTTGTGTCTCTTCTTTTGTTTTTCACGAGTTTTTCAGCTTCTTATGACTCAGAGTGCTCGTGCCAGGAGCTGGCAGGATAAATCCGTTGGACTTTGCAGCACTGAAAACTGTTGTTTGTTTGTGTTTAAGGGGGTTTGATTTGCAGTTCGCCCCTTTGTCCTTTTGCTCTTGCACCATTGGCTGCCTTTACATTTGTCTCGCCCCTATTGGTCAGACCAAGATATGAAGAGAGCGGGCAGTTGCTTTGGTGAACAGTCCTCAGGTTTCTATTTATTTAGACTATTTATTTATTTATTTGAGTGGATAACTTTATTGTGCTTTGTTCTTCTTTGTTTCGATGTTTTAATATTGTACAGCTCATGCACTTGTGCGAGTACGTCCGTTGTTTCAAAAGGGACACTGCTCCATGTAAAACATGTTTTTAAAGGGATATTGCGTCCAATTTGCATCCTGCATGTGTTTTTCTGCAACGACCAACATGGTGTGAATTTCTGTTTTCTGCTTTTTCCCTTCTATAACTTTAGATTGAAGTCATTTCCTGACATGATTTGTTTAATTGTGTTCATTTTTCTTTTTCATTTGGGTTTATATCAGTGTCAGGGTTAAAGGTCACATTATATGGATTGTATTTTGTGTGAACTGTCCTCCCAAAAGACTTCTTTGTTTTCGTTTTCTAAGGTGATGAAAGTTTTTCTGAAAAGACTTTTTAGGATGAACCACTGAGTCTTTGTATTGTACTCCTGTCTCATCCAGTACCAGTGTTGATGCTTATCGACCCTGTTTTTTAGTAAAAGGTCAAAGGTTACACCAAGGCGTTTATGTCTAACCAAGAGCCTCCAGTGTCCTCTGAAAAAAAAGAAGAAATAGCAGCATGTAGAGTACAAAAGTGTTGTTCTTCTGTTCTTCTTAGTGTGTTTTCTAGCCTTGAAAATCAATAGAATAAGATTCACATATTTCAAGTGAGGGAGTTCACAGTATTACACAACTGCAACTGCAGCTGACTAGCAGCATAGCTGACATTTTCTTTGCATGACAGTCATCAGGACACTTGTTTTTCGCCATTTTCCTTTTGATTTGTTTTCTCATTTTCTACTGAATGCTGTTTTACTCCACCTTCCTCCGTCTGTTCTCTCCGCTTTTACAGTGCATACAACTATTTTTGTCTCGATATAACAAAGATGATTCTTGTGACCAGGACGAAGATATTCACGACTGTGGCACTATGAGGATGGTGGCAATAATGATGAAGAAGGTTTATCTGTATGCTTTTCCTCAGAGCTCTGTGTTGTCGGTGCAGAACAGCTGGAGAGCTGGTCGACCATCGGCACAGAGAGCGAGCTGCTGCTTTTCTCAGCTTGAGTGTCACTTTGAGGAGCTGCAGCTGAGCTCCTGCAGGGGGCGCACTCAAAAGCTTCCCCCTTTTTGAATCATTTTACATTTTTAACCAGATACACCAACATCACTCAGAAATCCTGACTGACCCATCAAAACTAAAATCCGGACTAAAGATGAATAACTGATCAGCTCCACGTATAAACGACCTTCTCTGCTTCCTCTGTGTGAGTGAGGTGTTAATGAGATGATCTGGAGCTGCTGTGTTCACTCTGAATTGTCTAGTGACCGAGCTGCATCGACAACACTCAGCCGGCTTCTCTGCCTTTCACTCTTTCTCCCATAATCCCCTCTGTTTCCAGCCTTCTACAATCATTTCTCTGCCATCTTTCACCTCTTTCTAGTTTCCCCCTGGTCTTTTTGTCTGTTTGGGTTTCTCCTGTATAATAATATTGACTCCTCTAGTTCTTTGATTCTCCGGATTATTGCTCTGTTCTCTTACCTGCTACACATGTTTCTATAACTTCATAAACTGTGTTAAGGTGTTATCAATAAAAGGATGGTTTAAATAGAAGAGTCAGTCACTCTGTGTTCATTGCAGAAGAGCTTTGAGTTTTATTAATAGAAGAAGAAAATCAGGACATGGGTGAAGTCTTTCAGGTGTTGAGCAGAATATTCACAAAGCAAAAACTAAGCATACAAGTTATAGGAAACAAGATTAAGCCAGTCTACTGAAGTAAAGGTTTGAAAAAGAGGAAATAAAAGCTGCTAGAAATGAAGACCTCAGTGGGCACAGCTAGTCACTTTCAAAATAAAATATTCACTCTTAAGAAACAGAACATCTGAAAATACAAGAAATAAACCTTCAGCTATAATCACAGAAATTCAAAAAAATTTGAAGAACAGATCTGTCAAGAACAAGATTTAATGTTTCGACTATCTCACTGATTGTAGAAACAATCATAATTGGTCATAATTTCAACATCAGTTTGGAAAATTTCCTGCAGTTTTTCCTAAATCTCTCACGTGGATTCAACCTCAGACAGAAACACAAAGTTTGTCAAACATACTAAAACAATTTTCTTAAACATTGTCATAGAACAATAAAATTAAAGATTTAATTTAAATTAAAATACAACACTGAATTCAAACAAAACTGTCTCTCATCTATATTTCATGAAATCAGCTCCATCAAAATAAAGGTTCAAAAACTGGAAAATTGAAGCAGATTATAAATCATAAAGAGGTTAGAAATGGAGACTTAAGTGGGCACAGCCAGAAACTAGACACAAACAGCTTTTCCACGTCAAGATTATGTCAGTTTATTCTGTGCCTCTGGAATATTTTCTAGATTCTTGGAAGACTAAACCTTGTTGAATGGTACAAGAGTCCAAATGCTCATTTGGTTTATCCTCTGTCAAACTAAAGCAGAGTTGAGTTGGGTCCTTGCACTTTCATACATGGCTGCTGGAATGATGCATCATGGGAACCCGGGTTACGGAATGGTCGCAGTTAGTTGCTGCTTTGGTGTTTTCTTAGAAAACAGGATCTACGTAGTTTTGAAGCTGCATGTTTTGAACTCGGCTTTAAGTGTGCGCAGACTCCCTCTGCACCTCAGAGCTCTTGAAGATTTTAGCCATAATGGCTGGCAGATGATCCTGTGCTAGCTTCAATAGGATTCACCATGTAGGATTGCTAGTAACTAGCGGCAGTAAACGCCTGCTCTGCTAGCGAGTAGCATCTGCAGCTGCCTGGACAGCTACCGTGTTGACACTGCAGAGGCTAATCAGAGTTATTTATGTAACGTGCCATGATAAAAGGCAAAAATTACCTGTTCAATAAAAACTCTGCTGTCTCGGCGTCTGTTTTCAGGTCCAAATCCTGACTGCGCTTTCTTCACCGCTCGCAGGATGACCCGATGTTTATTCGAGTTAGAGTCCTCGCTTAGTCACATTTCCTCGTCATCTCTGCCCTTTCTTCTATTGCCTTGCGTTTTCTTAGCACTTTTGGCAGTGGGGCAAGGAGAAGTGTTTTTTTTTTCTGTCCTTCTCCATCACATCTCCTGTAGCTGAGCTGCTACGTTACTTTTAGCCGCTCAGAGCTCTGAGGAGGGCCGGGAGAGTGGGAGGGGACAAGTTGGAACTATGAGAGAGGGGTGTGTTGAATACAGAGAGGTGATTGGATGGAGAGGCGGAGCAGGAGATTGACCAATAGGAGCTGTCCGGGACAGATGGCTCCCACTGGTCAATGTTTTTGCAGCCCTGCACCTGTTAAGGTGAACAGTTTTTTTTCTATTCTTTTTTCTCTTCACTTTGTGGAGATCGCACTAGAAGACCACGATCGCCGTATAAACAAGATTTATAATAATTACCAATATCTCCAATTGCCAACCATGCCTTTAATCGTGATTGTATTGCTTCTGCAGAGCCTAAAGCCCAAACACACATGATTATGGGAGAGGCAAAAAATATGTCAGGTCAGTCTGTTTACACAGAGCATAGCAGAGGTTGGTCACACTGTGAGGATCTGTTGCATTTAAACATCTTACCAGCTAATCAGACCTCCTCACTCTCTTTCCTCCAGCTCAGGTGGTCTTATACTGTCTCGATCTGTTAATCCTCCAATTTCTACATGAATTTATCTCTGCCGGTCTGTTGTTGACATGCGTCTCTGGGGTATCTACATGCTGAATGATTTTCCCGATACGAGTATCCAGTTGAGTTGAGGTATTCACAATTCTTGGGAACAGGCCTTTGGAGAGAGTAGCCTGTTGGACGCAACAAGGATTTGTGTCATTCGCGCAAACAGTTCGCTCAATTCACATTTTTGCGCTGCACAATATTTGCACGTCATTCGCACTACCTGAGTAGCACATGCATCGAAACACGTCTTTCCATTGACTCTACATGTATAGTTTTTACTTGCGTTTGGTGTGAACACAAGATTAAAATACAACTTTCTGTTTGACAGGAACACGCCGCCAAAAAAAACTACTTCCTGTTTTATGTTGAAACACCTAACTTTAAGGGCTCACCACTGTCACACCTACTGACAATAGGTTCATGTCCATTTCCATAAGACACTGCAAATTTGACACTGATTGGATAAATGGGTAAGTTCAATCAGACACCCAGAAAATCTCTAAAAATAAGTCTGTTTTTTAAGTACAAATCAAAATCGCAGACGTCATGTTGGTCTAAGGGTTTAGGTGCAACAGACTGTTTTGTAGGGGTACGAACAAATGTGCACAGTAAAGGTTAATAAGGAGGGCCTTTTGAAAACTTAAGGGGCTCTATAGGAAACTTTTGCAATAGTTTTCAATAAAATTTTCACCAGGACGGTGTGCATGCAAAATTGTATAATTTTTATAGATTTTAGGGATGTTTTGTATAATTTGAAATAAAAATAGCAAATACAATAGGGTCCTAACACTGTTGGTGCTCTGGCTCTAATCATTTGTAAATAGATCAAAAACCTCCTCCACTATGAAAACATGAATAAATCAATCAGCCTGACCGCCCTACCTGAACATGACAGAGAAATCCCCCTTTGACTAATTTTGATCTTGGAAGTGTTAGCATCACCAGACTTTGCAATACTGAAATACGGGAAGACAGTCTCAGTGAAAGTGTCTCTGTGAGTGTAGATGTGAGTCCTGTCTTCGGGGTCATAGAAGGACACTTCTCCTCTGTCAAAGTCCAACTGGACTCTGATCCTCTGTAGACTCTTCTTCACTTGGACACTCTCACCAATACCATTTGTGTATTTTCCACTGTGATGCTTGAAACACCAGTATCCATATTCTGGTGAAGGAGGACACTCTCCCTTCCTGTCAACTGACTCTTTAGCCAAACCTATAATCCAGTCCGGATGGTCTCCCACCTCCACCTCCCAGCTGTGTTTCCCTGAGCTGAAACCCTTAAAGCCAAGAACAGTAGGATATTTGGTGTGTCTCTCTGGATTATCAGGAAGCTGCTGCTTTGTGTCTCCTTGTCCCACACTGGTCAGATCATCAGACAGATAGAGCCAGCTGTTTGCAGTGTTTGGGTCCAGAACGACTGGACTGAAGTGGACCCTCTCCTTCATCTTCTCCCAGACTCTGAAGGACAGGTTACCCAGGTGTTTGGCCACATCTATCAGCACTCCTGAGACCAGCTGTGGATCTGACTCTGAGTTCAGGACTCTGGCTCTGCTCTGAGTGACTTTATAACTGCTGAGGAAGGCCGCGTTGTGTTTCTGCAGCTCTTCTTCAACAGCACAGATACTGTCTGACAGAGAGGAGATCTGCTCCTGAATCCTCTTCATCTCTCTGATGATTATCCTCTCCTTCTGCATGTCCTCCTCCCTCAGAGCCCCCAATCTGGACTCCTCTTCCTTTTTCAGGAACTGGTGGAGCTTGTTGAACTCTGCTCTGATCTGTCTCTCTGTGGACAGCAGCTGCTTCTTGGAGTGTTGAATCACTTCATTGTATGTTTTCTCCACTTGTTTGCATTTGTCCTTCTTGTCTTGGAGAGACTTTAAGTCAGATTTCAGCTGCTCCTTTAGATCTCTGACTGTTTGTTCTACAGGAACCACAGTGTGAGTCTGGTGGAGAGAAAACTCACAGACAGTACACACAGCTCGATCTTCATCTTTACAGAACAGTTTAGGCTCTTCTCGATGTTTACTACACACCACCTTTACCCTTCTTTCTGCTTTTTCTGCCTTCGGTGATCTAATTTTTTGTCTTCCCACAAACGAGTCCGCCAGTTCCTTCAGTGTAAGGTTAACTTCTGGATTATCCAATAAAGATTTCCTCTTACAGATGGGACAGTTTTTGTTCTTGTTTTGTTTCCAGAATTTCTGCAGACAGCTTGAACAGAAGCTGTGGTTGCAGCTCAGAGACACAGGATCTCTGAAAATCTCTGAACACACGTGGCAGTTCAGGTACCTTTCAAAAATAGTTGTTTTCACAGCCATGTCTCTTTATCTTTGAGTTGCCTTAAAATGAAAGACTCACCAAGTTTTTGCCTGTTCCTTTCAAGATGTTAAAATCTTCCAGGAAGGATAAATACTTCTGTTTTTCTCACAAAGCTGTGTCACATGGTAAGATACTTGGAGGAGACGCTGCTTTGGTGTTTAATCACTTACAGATGACTCCGGGATGTTCATTATTAAGTTCATTGTACACACATCTGTGGGAAAAAAAGTATGAAATTGTAAATCCCTCTTTGTTTCTGCTGTCATTTTTTAAGTACAGTACAGTAAATAAGCTATTTGTTGGACAAAATATTCAGCATGACCAGGGACACACAGTGACTATCCAATATGGCCTACTTGTTACAAAAGGTTAGTAGCCCTGCAGTACACAAAGACACAATAGATATTTGTTTCATATTAAAGGTGTAGTGGGTAGAGTTAGGATATTTAGCTAGGCCTCACTGTAAGATTTAAGTCTGGAATGCTCCCTCGCCAATATTTCTTGTCACTGCAGAAAGACTGACAAGAACCAAATACAAATTACAGTATTACAGTATTACAATCACATAACTTACAAACCAAGTCATAGTATTACAATCTTGTGTAATAAAACTTAAACACCAGCGTTTCCCCTACATTCATTCGGCAATGGCACACCACACCGAATTACATGCACCGCTACTGAAATTTTACATGGTCATTAAAATCAATGCGCCACTAATGATTTCTACTCTCATTTCTACTCTACTGTGTGAGCACAAGAACACACAACGTGATTTTTGACTTGTTTTGAGTCATCAACGAGCGCATCAAATCCTGTTGGACCCTCTTCAGTGAGAAGACCCCCGATATATATATATATATATATACATTGTTCCATATCAAGACATAAAATGTGGGGACACCATTTTCAAGCATATTTAAACTAATTTAAAAATTATTCCCACAATAGATCTAAATCTTTTAACTCCTTTTTAGGATTAATCACAAATCTGTGGAACCACACTTAAAAAAATCTCAAAAACATAAGTAGAATTTTAGAGGTCTGGGCAGGGGACAGCCACTTCCCAATAAAAAAGTAGGCCAACCTAGGTATGAATGATACTTTTAGCTTATCTCTATCTCATTTAACATTTTAGGTTTAAAGAGGTCACAAAAAGACCTTTGCAACCGGGTATGACTGAATACATTTTTGTTGCTTCATCTTTTTTGTTTGTTTTTGTCAGGGGACAGCATTTTAGACATGTTTGGTAGAATGCCCCATACACGGTCTAACAGCCCGAGTAGCGCGGGTAACGTAACATAGCCTGAACGTAACAACGTAGCTCCTTGAGCAGCAAGAGAGTGTTGGTAACAACAATTCTGGGTGAAGACTGACCTGAGGAACAGGCTACAAGAAGAGCACCTCGCCCTATGCATGTGTGTAAGCATCAATGTCAGTTAAAAATTTTGTCAGTTTCTGACTCGTTTTTCATATTTTCACGGTTAAAAAATGTGTTCGTCAGTTTAATACGGTTAAAAACTATGTCAGATTTTCACCATAAAAAACATCAGTTCATCAGCTTCTTACAGTTACAAACTTTGTTAGCCACTTTTATGTATAATTTTTTTATTCGTCAGTATTTACTGTTAAAATGTTCATTTGTCCGTTTTTTAGTCAAAAACTTCATCTATTAGTTCTTTATGAGTAAAACTTATTTTGTCATTATTTCACGATTCAAATATTGATTTGTCAGTTTTTTATATTTAAAAACTTCGTCAGTTTTTTACGGTTAAAAATTTCGTTCGTCCGTTTTTTATGCTGCTTTTGTAATCTGAATGTCTTTTTTTAAGTCATCAAAAATGAAACAATCATGATACTCCAGTCAATATATACTCATTCAAACACAATTCTATTTTACAATGTACATTCAATTAATGTGCTGTTAGAACCGCATCTTTGAGTTTAAGTGCGTCCGCCAAACGTTAAATAAAACGTTAAACCGGCCATCGTTAGATACTAGATGCCATACCCGGTGACGACCCGTGCTCACTTTAACAGCGTGAGAGCCCTGAAGCTCGGACCCGGGCAGACGGTTCCCCCAGCATCGCTGTGACCGCAGCAGCCCCTCCCTCCCTCCCTCCCTGCTCTCTCTCCTCACTGTCATCTCTACAGCATCACACCTGCTTCTCTGAATGCTCTACTGTAGGGGGGGACGACACTTCATACGGAGAGTAAGAGTCGTTTAATACAATCCAACGAGCAATAACATTATATCTAAGTGGCTGTGCTGTATTTTCATTTTGTTTGCAGGACCATCAAAACAAGTCACTCAGGAACTTCTGCACCTCCCAAATACCAATGTAGAGGAGTTCAAACTCCAGATTTACCGACCTGGCTCCCTGCCCCCCCATCAGAGAATTACATTCAACATTTCTCTGCTGGTCTCTTTTGCCTAGCCCCAAAATAAGCTGCATGTCATCTATGCTTGTGACATACGAACCCAGCCAAGTCTCTTGTTCTTAGAATAGTCTTTCAAAAGCAAAACTCACCACATTAAAGTGCTTAATATCTTCCTGTTAACTGTCTTCCAGCTGAGATCTCAGCCCCTGTAATGGCGTCTCTGGTCAGTTCAGCAACTTCAAGAATCTTCTGTTACTTTTATCCAACTGTGTCACATGGTGAGTTAAGAGGAAAGAGCTGCAGTGTAGTTTGGTCACCAGTAGATGGCGTCATTATGTTTCCCTCCGCTAATGTTAACCTTGTATTGTGCACATGTAACACTGGGTGTTTTTAGAGACACCACAAGTGTTTTCAGAGGCTCTAGTGTGTTCAAGACAGTTATAGGTTAAGTTATAAAGGTAAACTAGTTCATCTGACAATAAATGAAGATTAGAAAGAAGTTCATTAAGCATAAATACTTGTGGGTAAAAAAAGGTGTTTGCAGGATGGATTATTATAAGATTACATAGCTTTAATTTGAATGTTTACAATTTGATCAACTTGTGTTATGAGTTTCGGAGGATGCCAATCACTAATAGAGTGAGATGTCAGACAGTGCAAGTTATACAAAGTGACACAGACTTAATTGATATTTATTTGTGTTTTTGTCACCATTCTTACAGGACCTTCATTTCTGGAGACATGTCCTGTGGTCTAACAAAACTAAAATTGACCAAAAAAAGGAAAAGTGTAATCTGATTTAATGTTAGATGGAGAGGGAAAAAAGTTAATGTGCTTTTTTATTTAGCATATGTGAACTTCTGGTTTCAACTGTTTTTAGTTTTGAGTGGTGCAATTTTGTCAAATACACTCTGTGTTCTTGGTTGAAGTTGTCCACAAGGTCCCCAGGTAAGAACATCATGGACAAAGACGACTCATCTACACTCATTTTAAACCTTTCAATTGTATTGTCATCAATTGTGCATTTGAGTTATTGAGAACTGTTACGTTGTATAGAGAAAGCAGAAACATCAAAGTAGATGCAACAGTGATCAGAAAAAAGCTACATCCACAACAAGAAGCATTGTAAAATTAGGTCCTTTTGAGATGACAAGATCAAGAGTATGTCCTTTATTGTGGGTGGGCCCACAGACATGTTGAGGGAGGTCAAATGCCTCCAGCAGACTAGGAAAGGTTATGGTATCTGGATCGGTTTCAATGTCAATGTGAATGTTAAAGTCACCAGAAATAATAAGGCAGTCAAAATCAGTGGAAACCTTAGATAACAGCTGAGAAAAATCTTCCAGAAATCTACATTTGGATTTTGGTGGATGGTAAACAGTTATTAAGACTGTAGTTTTGCAATGTACTGACAGGGCAAGGTATTCAAATGATATGAATTCACTGAGGTGAAGAGCCGGCCAAAGGCATAAGCAAATTAAGCGCCTGTTTAGGGTCCTGCGGCAAATAGGGGACCCCCAAGAACAATCCAAAAAACAAAATCAAAAAATTTTTTCAATAATTTTTATTTTTTGCATGTATGAGGGATGCTTTCTGTATGATCAAATATATATTATGGTAAAAATAAAATAAAGTAAAAACATTTTAGTGCTGCTTCTGATGAAGGCCTATGATTCTTACTGCTGATATGTCAAAGCTCCTCTACCGTTGTGTCTTTTGCTGTGCCATTTGCACTGAGCATCCTAAGTGCAGGTAGTTGTGGGGCAAAACAATGTCACAAGGGCTTATCCTTCAGGAGCAGAGAAAAGAAAGAGGAAGAAGAGAAAAAAAACGCCAAGATAAAGGTATGTTTGCATATCATGGAATGTTAATCAAAGAGATTTGTGAAGGTGTGTGAATGATCAACAATCAATATTATTGGCAGAAATAGAGGGCCCCAAAATCAAATTTCGCTTTGGACCCCATTGAGGCTTGGGCCGCCTCTGATGCCACATATCACTGAGGGCTATTAGGTGTAGAATAACTGAATAAGCACTCCTCCTTTGCTCCTCACAAAAATATATCTCAGCCATCCACTGCCTGACATAAACAAGGGCACATAGTATATGACGTTTATTTATTAGTTGTCGCGGACACACACTGAATTTTCCAAAAGCACCATTCTAATGATGTATTCATGCAGCTTCGGGTGGATGACAGGCCAAATAGTACAAAGATATATTCATTTAAGCAAATACCCGGCTACATGTGTACATGGTCTGAGTCTGCCCATGTGTTGAAGCTGTCCACGTCTTGTGACCCCACTTCCTGTCCTCGTGTTTTCTCCCTGTATTTTTTGTTTCTTTGGATTTCTGCTCCTGGTGTTTTTGGCTATTTGGAATTTTCTGTTGGACATTTTTAAAAGTCAGCTTTAGTAAGTTTAGTCTTTTGTTGAATAAACTTTTTCGTTCTGCATGTGGGTCTTCCCTTTTGTTTTTGTTTATTTGTAACAGAGTGAACCAACAAACAATGGGCTCAGCAGACCATGTTGATTTTAAAAATTTAGATTTATTTCTAAGATTGGTTATTTTCAAAACTTTTTCATTAAGTCCTTCTCTGGTATAGGAGGCCAGTGCTAAAGCCATATAGAGCAGTCTGTATGGCTGTGAACAGGATCTGCAATATTGCCTAAATCAAAGGTAGCCGCAGAGGGAGACACAGCAATCAGGGATCCCAGCGCCACCTCTTAACAAAGCCGACTCCTGGATCCTGTCTCGTCCGACCCTGTTATGGCATCTCTGGTCAGTTCAACGATTACAAAAATCAACTGTTACTTTGATCCGACTGTGTCACATGGTGAGTTAAGAAGGAAGAGCTGCAGTTTTTTGCAAGTGGAGTTTGGTCACCAGTAGATGGCGTCAATGTTTCCTTCTGCTATGTTTAACCCTGTACTGTGCACACATTAGCAGGCAAAAATAATGTATGTTGAAAAAATATATGTTGAAATCATAAATTTAGGCTATTTTTGTGAGTTCTGCAGTCTGAATATGATATGAGAAAGTCATGTAGAGGCTTTTACACTGAAAACTGTTTTTTTTTGTGTGTGGTCTCTGTGTGAGGACTGAACAGAGAGTAGCAAAGAAGCAGAGAGAGGAGAGCTTTGAAACCTTTATTTCAGCCTCTGTCTGATATGCTTGATACAAACCACTGTCCTTCTGCATGTCACTTTGAGGAGCTGCAGCTGACCTCCAGCAGGGGGCGCACTCACAGAGGAAAACACACATGGAGCAGCTTCATGCTTCAACTGTAGTTTCACCAGAAGTTGAGATGTGGAAGAAGAAATGGCTTCCCTTATTGAATGATTGTGCATTTTTAGTGAGCTGATGGCTTTTTTTCAAATCAACTCACATGAACAAACGTCAGCGTCACCAAAATAAAAGCTAAGAAATGAGGAAATAAAAGTCAGACAGATTAATTTAAATAGAAAACTAAGGTGAACATTTTCTTCCAATATCTGGATAATTAAAGCACCAAAAATATGAAAGAAATTTCTGCCTTAATTAACATCAAACATTGTCATAAAACAATCGTTTTATCTGCATGTCGTGAAATCAGCTCCATCAAAATAAAAGTTAAAAAATGTTTGAGAAAATTCTACATTAAAATAAAAGGATAGGAAATAAACTCAAAAAGCAGAACTGAAGTGAGCAGAGGGAGACACATTTAAAATAAAAAAAAAGGATAGTGCTTGAGAAATAAGACCTCTTAAAACACCTGAGATGAAACTGTTCAACTTTAATCACCAAAATTAGAGAAAATTTTAAAAATGGTTCCTGAATTAAAAGAATCAAACAACTTCATTGATAAAAGAAACAAAATATTGGTACAACTTCTGTTCTTACAATCCCTGTGTTGGTTCAGGACTTTTTTAATCCTCCAATTTGGGGTAAAACCTGAGCAGAAACACCAAAGCCAAACTTTTGACTAAATTAACATAAAATACTGTGAAATAAACAAGTAATTTTTTTTGCTTTTCAAAACATAACAATAACATCACAAAAATAATATAAACTTTTTTCTTACTTTGCAAACATAAAGAAAGAAATCTTAAAGCAGAAAACCTACAAATCTGAATGTTTCAAATATTATTTTCAGAGATCAGTTTCTACATCACCTATAAATGGTAAATAGAAAAATCCTATTGACTGATCCAAAATAAACAGGGTTAGATGGAGATGTTTGTGGTGACTTTGTTCAAAACAAGAGTCATAAAAATCAAAACAGATTAATGCAAAAAAGAGGTGAACTCAGAGTTATTCTATGAACTCTAAACAGTTCAAGTTCTTTCAGCATGTTCACATCACATCAAACATTTTCATGCAAACTTCTTCACATCAATAAAACAGACGACTTTTCTCTACCAGCTTATTCTGTGTCTCTGAACATTTTCCAGATTCTTCAAGACCTCAATAATGTTTGACTGATTTTGACTTCAGAAGTTTTAGCATCTCCAGACTTTGCAATACTGAAATAAGGGAAGACAGTCTCAGTGAAAGTGTCTCTGTAAGTGTAGATGTGAGTCATGTCTTCAGGGTCATAGAAGGACACCTCGCCTCTGTCATAGTCCAGCTGGATTCTGAACTTCTGGAGACTCTTCTTCACTTGGACACTCTCACCAATACCATTTGTGTATTTTCCACATTTATACATCAAACTCCAGATTCCATATTCTGGTGAAGGGAATCTCTTCCCTTTTCTGTCAGCTGACTCTTTAGTCAAACCCACAAGCCAGTCCGGATGGTCTCCCACCTCCACCTCCCAGCTGTGTTTCCCTGAGCTGAAGCCCTCAGAGCCCAGAACACTGGTATATATAATGCATCTCTCTGGATTATCAGGAAGCTGCTGCCATGTGTCTCCTCGTCTCACACTGGTCAGATCATCAGACAGATAGAGCCAGCTGTTTGCAGTGTTTGTGTCCAGAATGACTGGACTGAAGTGGACCCTCTCCTTCATCTTCTCCCAGACTCTGAAGGACAGGTTACCCAGGTGTTTGGCCACATCTATCAGCACTCCTGAGACCAGCTGTGGATCTGACTCTGAGTTCAGGACTCTGGCTCTGCTCTGAGTGACTTTATAACTGCTGAGGAAGGACACGTTGTGTTTCTGCAGCTCTTCTTCAACAGCACAGATACTGTCTGACAGAGAGGAGATCTGCTCCTGAATCCTCTTCATCTCTCTGCTGATAGTCTTCCCCCTCTGCTCCTCTTCCTCCCACAGAGCCTCCAGTCTGGACTCCTCTTCCTCTTTCAGGAACTGGTGGAGCTTGTTGAACTCTGCTCTGATCTGTCTCTCTGTGGACAGCAGCTGCTTCTTGGAGTGTTGAATCACTTCATTGTATGTTTTCTCCACTTGTTTGTGTTTGTTCCTCTTGTCCTGGAGAGACTTTAAGTCAGATTTCAGCTGCTCCTTCAGATCTCTGACTGCTTGTTCTACAGGAACCACAGTGTGAGTCTGATGGTGAGGAAAATCACAGACAGGACAAAGACCTCGATTTTCATCTTTACAGAATAATTCAGGCTCCTTGTCATGTTTACTACACACCACCTCCACCTTCTTTTCTTTTTTTTCTTCCTCAGATGATCCAACTCTCAGTCTCCCAGCAAACGAGTCAGCCAGCTCCTTCATTGCAAAGTTCACTCCTGGGTCTCCTTTTGAAGATTTCCTCTTACAGATGGGACAGTTTTTGTTCTTACTTTGTTCCCAGAATTTCTGCAGACAGCTTGAACAGAAGCTGTGGTTGCAGCTCAGAGACACAGGATCTCTGAAAGTCTCTGAACACACGTGACAGTTCAGAAAACTTTCAAAAAGAGAGAATTTCTCAGCCATTTCTCTTGATATGTGTCTTATCTCCAAATGTAAGTCTCATGTACTTTTCAGAGTTTTAAAATCATCCAGTTTTTTTTTGTCGTACAGCTGTATAATGGCCTCTTTGTTTCTTTTTTTTCAGTTTGTCGTTCACACATCTGTCAGCAAAAATAAAAAACATCATGGAAATACTGAAGTTTTTTCAACAATAAAGTTAAAGTTAATTTTAGTCAGCATAAACATTTAAACTTTTTAAACAGACTAGCTGACCTTTCCCCAGTTAAACTACACTATGGAATAATGGAATAAAACTCTCTCTTCAGATAGTGTTTGAATACAACAAAACTTACCAGATTTATTCTCTTTGGCTTCTTCAAGTCTCCAAAGGTGCAGAAAGTTCTCTGGTGGTGTTCTGGTGAGGTGGCTCTGCAACTGTATCAGACTTTGTCTTCAGCTGAACCAGCCTCTTTCATTGGTTAATCATTGATGAAAAGCAGCAGATAAGGTTTTATCATGAGCAAAACGGGTGTGTCTCACTAATGATGACTTCTCTTTAGTCCAATAGAATAACAAGGACTTTTGAGCTGTAGATCATGCAATGGTTTAATAGCTGTTAAAGATTAACATCTGTAAAATAAAATAACAAGAGATTAATTTTTTTTTTACTGCATCACTGTCTGTGTGAGTTTTTTAGATGAACTAATGTTCAAAATTCAGGCTTCGGCTTTCAAAGCCATCACTAACAAAGATCAGTGCAAAGGTCAGTGTTGAAAAACAAAATCACACAAACCTGTTTCCCTCTTTACTTCTTCAGGCATGTTCAATAAGATCATTAAGATTTCCAAAGATAAGACAAACAAAGAGCAACAGACTCCAAAGAGCAGCTCATTTGATGTGATATCACTGACTGATATTAAGAAGCAGAGATGCAACTAGTGAACACACTAAAAGTCTGCTCTCTGCTGGAAGATGTATGAATTGCAAGTTATACTCACAAGAGGTTCAACTGACATCTCCTCACTCACTTTTCCTTTATTTGAAGACTTTTATGATCACCTGTATACTAAGTGAAAAGAAGAAAAAATAGATAATGTTTTTACAACATGCTAAGAAAAATAATCACGTCCACTCCTGGTTAAATAACTCAAGTCATTTAATAAATAAGAATCCAGTAGAACAGAGAAAATATGTGTCTCAAAAAAAGAAATGTTAACGTTTCTCTGCATGACAACACAACTGTTGATAAAAGACGTAAAAATGTAAACATGAAAAACAGATAAATAGAATGGTTTCTCTCCAGCCCCCTCTATCAGGCCAGTTTAACCAGTCTCTCACTGGCCTCCCAGAGTTTCTTTGCCACACCTGCGTCTCTTGCAAAAGGCCGCAGAGTGGCGGGTCGGCAGTCGGTGAAGTAGCCCCCACTGTGTTTGGCAGCTTCGTCTGACACGGCACAGTAGATGACGGTCTGAGCTCCGATCTCACATGGCACGAAGAACATCCACATGATCACCTGCATCAGCATCCGAAACAGGATGGAGTAGTGACACGTCCAGCCGCTTTGGACAAAACCTGATGAAACGTGGTATCAGGATAAACAGTGTCAGGATATACATGTATGTTTTAGGGTTGGTTCTGGTTTGACAAGTATACACTTCTTTTCTTTTCAGCAGCTGTAAGTACATTTTACATTAAATGCTGTCCAAAGTGGTATATGGTTCCAGTCAATACTCTGGCCAGCTGCTCCAAACTGACTGTACTAAATGTCATTAGCAACACATAATATGAGTTTCAGTATGTGTTAATTCACCTTTATGATTGTTCTCATTAAAAAAATAGTCCTACCTGGGTGCACAGCACATGAGGTGACTCCCTTCCCGTCAGTGATGCGAGCCAGCTCCTGACTGAAGTAGATGTTTGCCAGCTTGCTGCGGCAGAAGGTGAAGAAGGGCAGCAGGTTGTAGTTGAGATCCTGGAAATCCAGTTTTTGGTATTTGTAGGTAGAGCATGTGAGGGTAACCACCCGACTGGGGGCGCATTCCTTCAGGCGAGGCAGAAGCAGGTTGGTCAGGAGGAAGTGGCCCAAGTGGTTGACACCAAAACACATGCTAAAGCCGTCATCTGTCCAGTCGAGGACGCTGGGCATGCCTGAAGAGGGAGAAGAAAGGGGTCATAGAATATAAGGTAGAGGGAGTCAAAACCTTCCTCCACCTTTTCTCCACATGATGAACTATTGGCACTGACTTTGGTTTCCAAAGTTGACTGAGGTTATACAGGCTTATTAACTTCCTCATGTGCTATATGATAAAACTTCGATATTCATATCAGATCTCTGTGCTCATATTGACTTTCTTTTTTATTTTAACCTCAGTATTGATCCTTTAACATTTGTCTTTCTCAACAATATCAAAAAACCAAAACACCCTTATGGTAATATTTCATGGAGCCAAAAATGACGTATTTGATAGAATATTCACTCAAAAGTAGTAACATTGTTTTTCATTTGTTAGCATTATTAAACTGTGTGATATCAGCTGTGGTGTTAAAATATTGTGTCGACTAGTGCAATAGTGGGTTTCACTCTCGACGTATAAATAACAGATCTCAAAAGCTGATGTGATATTGACAGTTGCAAAATAAAAATAAGGGGCCAAAACCCACAGGCCCCACCATATGAAGGATTCCAGCTTCTTCCTTTTACTCTGCAATGATTCCAGTTGCAGGCATGAAGAGACCCCTGTGTGATTGACGCCCTCACCTGCGTTGTTGACCAGGATGTCCAGCCTCTTCTCTCTCTGGAGGAAGCTCTTACAGAATTCCCTGACAGAGCGCAGGTTGGCAAGATCCAGCTCCATGTGAAGGACGTTCAGGCTGTGACTCTTAAACTTGATCTCCCTCACTGCCTTCTCTGCCTTGTCCATGTCTCTGCAAGCAATGATGACTCGGGCACCTCTCATCGCCAAGGCAACAGCTGTCTCCTTGCCAATGCCAGAATTCCCACCTACAAAGAAACAAAAAACATGGAGAGGGTATGAGTGTCAGTCCTTATGTAAACATTAGACTGAGGCTATAATTAATAATAAACTAATATCACTCTGATTGGCAGTTAAAAGACACTGAGCCACATATATGCAACAAAATCCAGCTTTATACTTAGCAACTAAAGGTTAGTATGTGAAGCATTAATGTTTACATGCTCATTTACCCGTAATAAGAACTGTTTTGCCATCCAGTCTTTTCAGATCGGTGCAAAATCTCCTCTTTTTCAACCATTTCAAAATAAAAAAAGAAACCAAGGAGGCTAAAATAGTGTAGAGCAGATACATCTCCCCTGAACTGCCACCCTCGGACCTGATACCTTTCAATGCTAACAGCCTGAAGCTAACGTTAGTTGACGCTCAACACGCTGTCATTACTCAACTATGACACTCCATTTCGGTTTCATGCAGTTAACACGTCTTTCTTCATTTAGGTCAAAAATATCGATAGAAAGCAGCGTAGCTATTTCGTTTATTCGTGCAACCACCTTTCATTCATTCTGAATCAGTTAGCGTCCAGACGTCGTGTATCGCTTTGCGCATGCGTCAAACTTGATTTCTCGCGAGAGAAATCTCAGTAAACAACTCGTGGTAAACAATCTTCAACAGTTTAAAACAACTGCTTAACCGAAATAGTAAGACCATTTTCAGATGACAAGGTGAGCTTTCAAAAGTGTTTGGACAAATTCTCCATCGGAATTACACCAGGAGAGAGAAGAAAACGCTAGAAAACAACCGCCCTCCTTCATTTTAATATCAGTTAATGCATAACTTCATAATTACCGTCCAAGCTCTTGGCTAACCCAGGTTTGCTCTTCAAATGACCTTTGAAACACTCAATAAACGATGGAAATCACAAGAGTAACACAGTTTCAGGCAAGAGTCAGTTCACAGTGTTATTTTGCTCCTTCACACAAACATGAGAGCTAATTTTGGAGGGATTTTTCTCCTCTGTGGATTACTGCTCGCTTGCGCATCTGTAATAGCTGGTAAGTCAGCCTTTATAATTATTTAACCGAGCACGGTTTGAATAGGTTTTCTAAAATAAACTGACAAATATAGAGTTTTTAGTTGTCCAAGTTTCAAGTTACTTTAACTAATTAGGGAAAATCAAGCCTCATTTTTGATAAAGCCTGTAGTTTACTTGCCTCTGTGTTTTGTAGGGCTGTCATGCAGAGGGAGGTGTGGAGACATCATGGAGAAGTGCTCCTGCCACACAACCTGTGTGTCTTTGCAGACCTGCTGTGCAGACTACAACCAGTCCTGTCTGCAGGTTTCCCCTTACTCCAGCTCCATGCTGGGTGGGAGAGCACTCAGGATTCTTAGTTTGGTCCTTAATCCTGGTGGGCGGCTTTTCTGCAGGTTTGGGAGATGTATAAAACATGTTTAGTATGCAGTTCACATTTTTTCTTGACAAAGACATGAAGGGTTAGAGCTGCACAATAAAGTATTTTTGCTAGTACCCAATATGCTGATATTTTTAAACTCATTTTGGCTAATACTTACAGTAATCACCTTTTTTATGGTCCAGAATGTACCTGTTACTCTGACCATTAGAATCTATTCATATCAGAAATAAACATTTAACTCCACCGTAAATTATTGGAGAAATGTGAGCATAAGCTGTCATTATGTGACATAACTTGGTGTGCCACCTTATTGGCCTCACACTTCAGAAAAATTTTGATCCGACACAGTGCCAACAACGTCATGCATCACTGAACAAACCAAATCAAAGTCATAGGAAGAGCAAAGCTGAAGGAGCACTTTTGTAAGATTCAAAGAACAAAACATGCCAGAATGGACTTTTCTCTGTGACCAAGAGATGCATAACAAGTTAATGTTTGATGGTGCATCAATATGATTGATTCAGCTGATTAGAAGAAAAGAAAATGACTCAAAAATCTCCATGTGTTGAAAATGGAAACATGTGGCTTATTTATGAAAAAGAATAAGCTGTCTTTGTCAGTCAATATTTTACTTTGAGTTATTGTGGCATGAATAGAATTTCATGATTGAAAGGATAAGCCATTATTCCTGATATTACCTCTTCATGATGAGTCTTAGTCAGTGACTCACAAAGAAATAGTGTTAGCTGGCAAAAGAAGGTTAAAAAAAATCAGATTGTCTGCTTTGTTCTGCAGGTTTAAAGGGGAGATTGACCGTGAAGGTTTTATTGATGCTGAAGGCCATGCCTACTGTATCTCTCCTTTATTGTATGAAAAGGGTTGGATTTCATTCAATGTTTCAACAGATGGAATAAATTTCGACAGATCTGGAGAGTATTTGTCAGGTAAGTTGCTGTAATATGTCTGAACTGCACTGATTTTTTAGTGAAGATGAGAAATTATTAAAAATATCACATAAAGAATACCTTCTGTGAAGCTAGTATTTAAGCCTCTCATCTTGCATTTGATACCAAAATAAAAATGTAGTATGACACCATCAATAAGAGATCAATGTACCAGGAAGTACTTTGAAACTTCTTGCCCGTGATTTTTCATTTACGATTCATGCAACAAATCCTTAGGAAGTAGTCATTTTTTAAGGTGATCTCTCCGTCGCAAAACATTTGTCCCTCTACCTTTTTAAATCTTTCATAATCTGGATCTATAGTTTATGTGCACTTCTACCCTTTTGTTCTAAAACTGGAGCCAGTATGCAAAGGTCTCTTTAGCCTGCAACCTTTCCTGTGGCCAGCAGGGGGCAACCCCTTCAAATCTATCAGAAAACTGCCTCACGACTCCATCTGAGGAGTAGCTGCAGTAACTCAGTTGCAGTACTTGCTCGTCAAAACTGTCCACCAGTATAGAGGATTTGAAGTGTGTATTAAGTGGTCCAAATGTGGTCCCCTTTGGCTTAAAGGAGAGATGTGTGAAAGGTTCATTGTAAGTGTTAAACACAAGGTTTAGAAAAGAGCACACAAACCAAAGTTGAAACCACTGTTGCTGGATTTACTTCTTATGCATGGTCCATACTTTGTATCAGCAGATCTCCAGTAACATTATAACTGCATGTCCTTGTAATGTTTTCTGTTTACTGTTTTCACTGTGTTAGTCCATCCCAGTAAAGCAGACCCTGCCCATGAGGTCACCCTAGTGAACACAACACAGTGGCAGAACTACGGGACCCCAAGCACGGCTGGGCGGCTTAAGATGACGTGGAACAGCTCTTTGATTGCAGCAGAAAAAGTGAACATAGAACTGTGGGGTTACAGGGAGTCCAGCAGGAGCACAGAAGCAGGAGTGGATGGACCTCTGTCTCTACAGGCCGAGCTGGGCTACCTGTACTCTTTGGGCAGGAATCAGCCCAACACTGGTGCCTTCAGCTTCATACCAGAGCCCTCGCAGGACTACTTTAAGTGGGAGCTTGGAAACATCCGTATCACTGCTAGCTCCAAATCAGATGGCGAGAGGTATCTTGGATACACTTTTATGTATCATTACACTTATAATATGCTTGGACTATTATTAGATTCACTGTTAGATCTTAGAGATGGTCAAAACCACAGGGCAAAAGTGGAAAAACAAGATTGACTCTGTTTTAAAGATCTTTTGAAACTGTTAGAATCAAGTATTACAAATCCAATGTTGTCACTTATATGATGGAGATATTATCAAAATGTACTATGTACACTACTAATATTAATATCCTAATACCTTAATATTCAGTGAGCATGACAGAAGGAGCAAAGCAAAGCTGTCACCCCTTGCTGATAAGAAAAATCTGAATTTTCATTATCATGCTCTGACAGTTTAACAGGTAGAGATAAATTTCGAGCCTCTCATTTTAACACTTTTATCAACCTCATATTTCAGGGGACAACATGTCAAGCCTTCAAAATAATAAGCCTTCCAAATGTTGTTTTTGTATGCAGAGATGTGCAGTGTCTCTGGAGTGGAGGCCATGTGTTAGCTTGGCACCTGGAGCAGGCTTTCAGAGATGACTCTGCTGCCTGGGCCGAGAGCAAGTGTCTGCAGTGGGGCGAGGCAGAGGAGAAACTGCCTAACTTCCTGGAAGAACTCATTGACTGTCCTTGTACTCTGGCTCAGGCTCGAGCTGACACGGGCAGGTTTCATGTGAGTGCCCTTTACCGTGTGAACCAGGCATATTTCACATAATAAGTGCGCAGGATTTTAGCTTTATGCCGCTTTAGTTTAGAGGTACAAGGCGAGTCTAAGGTCACATTCACACTGGGGCTGTTTTGTCCACTTTACATAAACTCTGGACTGTTTCCTCAGATCATCTCAGACATTTGGTGTAATATGAAAGCTCATACGACTCTGGTGCAGACCAAACCTGTGAAATCAAGACCTAACTCTATAACTGTGTAACCATGGCAATGTGGTGTAGTCTCTCCCTCCCCCTCCTTCCTCTTCAGTACTGATTCGCTCATGTCAGGTAAAAACAACATGTTCTGAAATATATTATTTTATGAACAAAGCAAAAGTAGAAGCCCCCAAGACAGCTTAAATTCAATGTTACTCCATTGTTATTAGGTCAATAAGTCTAAGAAAGGGGATGGATAAATGAGCCACTAACTTTATTTTCTTTGTCCCTTATTTGTTAGCGTTTGCAGAGGACAATGCACCGCAAACAAGCAGTAGTTAATATAGTGTTTTTTTTTTTTGTTTGTTTCAAGTAGGATGTCACTGGCTTGTTTAACAAAGTCTGCCTTTGGATTTCATGGGTAACGTGTGCTTTAGCAATTCAGCTAATATTGTCATGACTGTTTTGAAAGCAGTCATGTGTCTGTAAAATACATGAATAAACAAAACAAAATAGACTAAAATCCCATGTGAGACCAAATAATGTAGCAAACAGGTATGCATGGCATCTCATATGGAAGAAAGCATATTTCTAGGTCAGTTTTCTGCCTCTCCAAAGCTGCACCTGTTCTACAAAATAAGAACCTCGTCACATGCTAATGACGTTAATCAGACTGAAATTGCACCAGATTGAATTTCTAATTCTGTTATTCTCTAAAATTAATAGTTGGAATGTATTTAATGTTTCGAATTTTTCTTTGACATTAAAACAACTACAGGGAATCTGTGTGAATAGTTAACTCATATTTCCGCACACTGGGACCAGTAACAATGACAAGTTAGTTTTAAGAAGAAGGTAAAAGCAAAAGCACAGTGGTTGCTCTGTGGGAGCATCCTGAGATATATAAACACACTGTCATTGAAGCTCCGCATTTATGTTTGATGTAATTATGTCTGTAATCTGAGCCCTGCCTTATTTACTGACATACTCCATGTCTCTATTTAACAACTGCCCAATTATTACTGCTTTTATGGAGACTGATTTCCTGTCTCTGCTATTTCAGACTGACTACAGCTGTGACATTGAGAGGGGCAGTGTGTGCACTTTTCACCCGGGGTGTGTCCACTGTGTCAGAGCAATTCAGGCCAGGTAGGAAGGACAGCAGGACAGATCAGTTTTTAACCTGTTTCAAAGTGAAGACTCATAAACATTTGTCTTTATGTCTTTGACTTGTTTTTATATCCATGACTTTAGCCCCACTCATGGCTCAGGGCAGCAGTGCTGCTATGACAGCACAGGCAATCTGGTCTTGACGGGAGACTCGATGGGTGGCAGCACCCCAGACAGGGCACACGACTGGGGCTCCCCTCCGTACAGGGAGCCACCACGGGTACCGGGGTACTCCCACTGGCTTTATGATGTCATGAGTTTCTTCTACTGCTGCCTGTGGTCCGACCACTGCGACATCTACCTCAGCCATCGACCTTCTAGCGGGTGTCGCAACTACCAGCCCCCAAGAGCAGGTGAGCCCACCCACGAGTCAAATACAGTGTTTAAATAAACGTGGTTGTGATGCTTGAGACCACCTCAATGTGCCGAACAGATATCATAAAAGAAATCTAATCTAACAACCAAGCTCAGAGTCATAGAGCAGCAGTGGTGACTACCTTATAAAGACCTGATTTACCAAGTACTGTAAATCTGATGTATCATGTCCTGCTCAGATCTTCAAGGTTATCCGTCAACATTAAAGGTACAGTCTGTAGAAATGGGGGAACTTGGCAGAATGTAGTGACCTGATTCTAGATTTAAAACTCCTTTGTTCACCCCTCCTGTCTGTGATGTGATGGTGGTCTTAAAAACAGGAAGTTCCTGTGATGCATTATACGTTTGAATCAATTTTTTTTCCTCTTAAACTCTAACATGCAAACGTGATTTGTGGTTAAAATAAGTATTTTTGAGTAAGAAACATGCATGTTTTTGGTACTTCCCTCTTTGATAGTTTTTCTGCATGACACTGATACTGTAGCACAACACTTATCTTGCCAGATTGGGATACAAATCATGTTGATTCATTTACTTTTTGTTTTCTTTTTGCTCTTTTTTGAATAGAGCAGCTAAAAAAGAGGCAGATTATGTGAGGAGCAGAGAGTGCAGCTAAAGGTAATAGCTTGGAGTTTAGACGGAGATCAATGCAATGAGGACTGCTGACTCCATATGGGGTCAAACTGCCAGTATTAACTAGTGTCTCTGCCTTGAGGCAAAACTGACTCTAGGAAAACATCAAAAGCTGAAAGAAACAGAGTTCAAACATATGTGTGTGTGTGTGTGTGTGTGTGTGTGTGTGTGTGTGTGTGTGTGTGTGTGTGTGTGTGTGTGTGTGTGTGTGTGTGTGTGTGTGTGTGTGTTTGTTTATTTAAGCTTCTGTGTGGCTGCACACACAAACTCTACTCTGTAGGAGCAGGTGACACAAGATCAATTTGTAGGATGAACAGAAGTAAATGAATTACAGACCGTGGCTGAGAGTGACGCTGTTGGAATATATAAGATCAACACTTCACCCCCTGATCTCAAGAGACTAGAAACACAACTGCAATCCTCATTCAGATTTCTCAAAAATCAATGTTCAGATGAATTAGATATCAGCACAAATGTGTTTGTGTCCAAATGGCGTTGGATGTAAACTCATCAGAGTTTTGTTTCTTGTTGTCTCGCAGGTGTTGTCCTCGGGGATCCACATTTCATAACATTTGATGGGCTCGGCTACACCTTTAACGGTAAAGGAGAGTTTCAGCTCATGTCCTCGCCAGACAGAGAGCTGAATATCCAGGCCAGAACTGAGCCGGTGACATTTAAGAACGGTGAGCCCATATTTGAAATGATAGCCCTTTCTGTGCTCCTGCTGTGTCTCTCTGTGTCATCTTAATGCTATTTTGGATCAGACTTATTCCAAAAATTCTTCAGAGAGACACATTTGATCAGCCACAAGATATATTATCTGAGATTGAGAGGTTATAATCTTTGTTTTGCACTCTTCTTTTTACTTTGGTTTAAGGCTGACTCTTATCTTTTTACACTGTCCTGATCTTGGTGCTGTAAAATGACAGCCTGTTTCCGTTGCGCCCTCTTGTTTTCACTCTGTATCTCCCTGGGGTCAGACATAGTGAACAATAACAGATGTTAGCTTTATTGTTTATTATCCCCCCAAGTCATTGCACAACAGTCACGGTTCAAGCGACTGTAGAAGGCCAGATGTGATTAATATTCCCCTCGTCAGATCAGTGAAATCAAACAGCTGGATTAATTTAATATTCCAGAGATTAAATCATTTGACTTCAAAGCTGACTACAAAGTAACACATCTATTCGGATAAACACCATGATGTCTAAATTAACCACTCAGGTACCTCAGCCAAAGCCACATGGTTGTCATCAGTGGCGATGAAAGAGAAAGCGTCTGATGTCGTCGAGGTGCGTCTAGCAGAGGGGAACCTTCAGGTGCTGAGGAACCAAAAAGTTCTTCATTTCAGCGAGCAGAGATGGATGGACCTGCATGGTGAGATCATTTCCACACTCCTCCTCATAATTCTGGTGGGAGGACCAAGCTTTTAGACCAGCGAAGAAATGCGTACTTTGAAATTTAGTTATCTGATGCAAGGGAGTCCTCTTCGTCCTCGCCTAAGTATTGCATCCATGTGTGGTCAAGGTTTACAGTTAAAAGATAATAGACTCTTCCTTTTTTCTGTGAGTACACCAACAATTAAACTTGTTGTTTAAGTCATGTTATCTCAGTGAACAATGACTTATTTCATGAGCAAACTGTGGCGATTAGACTCCGCTGTGATTTTGTCATGTATTTCACGAAAGTTGATGTCACGAAAAGTGATGCGAACTGACAACAGCAGAGAGGAGAAGAGATTTCAAGCTTGTTGAGCAGCAGGATAATTGGTTGCTGCAAAATCTGTTTTTTTTTATACTTAAAAGAATGATATGTGATCAGCTGATCATGGTGGCAAGAAAAAATAAAGAGCTTAAAGGGATATTCCGGCGTAAAATTAATTAAGGGTCAAACACACCATAACACTGGGTTAGACACCCCCTCAAGAGATGAATGTTGCAGACCGCTTGCTTCTTTAGTTATACCAACTTTAGTAACAACCACAGCATAGCAATACACAGCGGTCTGACTAGCCATAAACAAACCTCAACCAAAAAGCCACTCTATAGCCACAAATAATGCTCAGAACAGCACCTAACTTCATCAACAGTACATACAGGGTAGCCATAGCACTAGCCATCAAACGTCTTTTTAACTTTGCCTAATTTATTCAGCAAAGAGACTAAACACAACTCACCTACTCTCTTCCAGCAGTTGCTTGTTTGCAGCGAGACCTCAGGCTAGTCCATTACAGACTGCTTACAGACAGCTCAAGAAACAACATTTATGATCATTTCTTCGTGATTAATATGGTGATTATTACTTGAAGGAAAAGATAAAGAAATTATCGTAAATGTTCTTCTTTGAGCTGCATCCCCCCACAGCAGTCTGTAATAGACTGGCCTGGGGTCTTGCTGCAAACAAGCGGCTGCTGGAAGAGAGTAGGTGAGTTGTGTTTAGTCTCTTTGCTAAAGAAATCAGACAGATTTAAAAAGATGTTTGGTGGCTAGTACTATGGCTGGGACCCTGTATGTACTGTTGATGAAGTTAGGTGGTGTTCTGAGCATTATTTGTGGCTATAGAGTGGCTTTCTGGTTGAGGTTTGTTTTGGCTCCTCAGACCGCTGTGTATTGCTATCCTGCGGTCGTTAATAAAGTTGGTAAAACTAGAGAACCAAGCAGTCGGCAACATTCATCTCTTGAGGGGGTGTCTAACTCGGAGTTACAGTGTGTTTGACCCTAAATTAATTTTATGCCGGAATATTCCTTTAATACTTTGCTAGAGAGGAAACCCTTGTGGACATTAGCCAGGGCCAAAGTAACTTTATAGTTTATCATCTTGTAAGTGTGTAGCAGTATAAAAGAGCAAGGCAAGTTTATTTAGGTAGCAGATTTCAACAACAAGCCATTTCAGAGGCATAAACACAGACATAAGAAGAATCGGTACAGAGATCAGAAAACAAAATGTTGGAAAAGCAGTAAAAGGCAACATTTAAAATCATTTAATTCATGCAAAGACAACATATTAAATTTTGAAATTGAGAAGTTTGATTATTTTCTGTTCATATTAAGTGCTGATCAAGTTGGAGGAGTGGCTTCGTACGGCCTCTGCTTCTGAGCAAATATATCCAACCTTGCATCGTCGACACCTTCAGCTGTGCTGGATCTGTCGTACAACATGACCACAAACTTCTCTAGGGTTTTCAGGTCTTCATCATCCAATACAAGTGGGTAATGGCTGAGTTTGCTGAAGACAGTGGAAGCCTCATCACAAACATTCCAGGTTTGCCAAGACGACTTCTTCCCTTTGCCACGGAATGCTGAAGCAACATCGCAACCAGTGAATGCATTGAAGAAGTGCATCCCTTTGCTCTTTTCTGCAAGAGTGCCACACAGGTCATGAACAGGAATCCACTTCAGGTTCTGTCTTTGGCCAAAGGCAACCCACAACTGCTGCAGACCGAGGTTCTGAAGTGCCTGCAGAACACTCACTGCGATGACAACAACATCTGTGTCGTTGGCTTTGACCATGATGACCTTGCTGCCTGCTTCTGTGGCATGCCTGGCATGCACAAAGATCTGGGTGTTTGCTTCTTCATGACTGCATGGTGCCACCCCAGCCAGATTAATAGTAATGTTGTAAGAAAGTGTATGTGCAAGTGGGAAGTGTTGCCTAATAATTAAGTGACATGTAATGCAGGCAGGTCAATCATTTTTCTTTTTTGGATTTTTTTTACACTGACACATTTTTTTCAGTCTCTCTCTCTCTCTCTCTCTCTCTCTCTCTCTCACACACACACACACACACACACACACACACACACACACACACACATGCATACACACCAGTGGCGATTGCTTTAAGACTGCAAGGGAAGCTCAGCTTCCCTTAAAATGTCACCCCCCCAAAAAAAGAAAAAGTGGTGAAATACGTACGGCTGTGTGTACATTTCATTTACTAAATACGCGCTAGAAAGCCTTCATCTTTTGTTCAGAAACAGCTTCTTATCACACTGTGATAAGAAGCTGATAATCCCAGGTAACCGGTTCAACTTCGTTCTCATTCATCCTCGCAGCGCCTCAGCACTTCACACAGCCGGACGCTGGGCTTCTGCTGACTTCAATGTGGAAGCTCAAAGTGGGTTGTTTCAGCAGCGAAACTAGAAGCTCATTGGATAAATGCTGGGCTTTGTCCCGCTCATCGGACGCTCAGCGTCTCTGGAGTTCTATGACGAGAGGGCGGTCCCAACTTTCTCGCGGACGCTGAGCTTCTGCATCCATGATTGGATGAGCTGTCTGAGGCGAAATCCTTTTTTGATTGACAGCTAAACAAGCGAATTAGCGATCTTGAAGAATAAAACATCTACCAGAGCATTTTCCAAGTTATTCATTCCGTTGTTCTTAACTGGTCCGGAGACTTTACCGATGCTCAGTGACTTTTGTCTTTGTTAAAAACGACTGCCGTTGTGTTTGGCAACTCTGTTCTGTTACATACAAATAAACAAACACAATTATGATGTAGGCCAGAAAAATGAGCTTCCCCTCCTTGAAAGACCTGCAGTCGCCACTGACACACACACACACACACACACACACACACACACACACACACACACACACACACACACACACACACTAAACCTCTAACAACACTAAGATATGTGTTACCAACTATTTTACCCAAGTCGAACATAATGTAAACCTCATAAATACCAGAATATTAGGATTCTGGGACTGAAATATGGTACAAGGAAGCCAGTAAGTAAGTCCATGTGTCCAAATTTGGATTCTGCATAGTGGAAAATGTATGATTTGACACCAAGTTCATCCAAATAGGACAAGTCTATGGGATTTTATTGCAAAATGCAATATTACTGTATTTTCAACGGTGGCCATCTTGAAAAATGGCCGCCGTTTAATTTTCATTTGGCCAGACAGAAATATCAAAAGAGCAACTCCTAAGGAGTATGAGTGCCAATTTTGGTGCTTTTATCCGCAAGTGAACGATTCTCCTGTAATATGCTATTATCCGCCCTGCTAACAAAAGTTAGAATCCTCCATGCTTTTCTTTCCTTTTGATTCATAAACTTTTCTTGACGCACATGAGTGACAACCACTTCCCCAGCTGCTGAGAAAAGAACAGTAAAAGATGCGTGTTTTTGCTACTTACCGTTGACATTGTCTGACCGTATTGGCCGGTGTATACAGTGCAGGTGAGTTGAATGTGCCTATAAGGGCGGGTCTCGTATCTCTCGCCTCCTGTCCCGAATGCTCGATAGGCAGGCGCTCTTATCCACTCTGCCATTGGCCAGACCAGTTTGAAAAGGCGATTTGTGGCCGTGTGAAGAGTGTGTAAAGCAGCGTGCCTGACACTCAGTATGATTTAAATACACCACGATGGGAAGTTCAGCCCTTTGAATGCAGTCGCCGGCAGCGACAAATAATGACAGGGGCACTTTGACTACCGTAACTATTGAACCATTTGCCCTGGCAACGTAATCCTGCCGGATTCTGAAAGCTGACAACCGAAACTTAATGCTGACATATCATACATTACGGTAGTGGCAGCAGCTTTCAACTGCTGCGCCAGAAAACGGGGTCATTTTGGCAGTTTATCTTTGTATATATGATCAGTAGCGGTTCTAGGCACGGGCGAACAGGGCAGCCGCCCGGGGCGGCATTTGTGTCATGACTCATGGGGGGCGGCACGAGCACTTCCAAAAAAATAAAATAAAAGATAATAATAATAAATCTTAACCGCAAAGCGGTTTTGTATTAACTCTTGTTGTCAAATTGGCGCCCCCCCCCCCCCCCGCTGCTGTAGGCGCCCCTGCTTGCTCCGAAGGTGCTGCACAGAGGCTGACAGACTGTAGGAGACGAGGCGGGGAGAGAGTCGCGGGGGGACAGCTCTGCTCTGTGTACGCATGTCAGCATATCAGCGGGAGCGCGGATACGTCATTTTGTAGTTTTTTAATCATTTCTGGAGTCGCGGTGAATGAAATCACCGTACCCGTCTGCCTTTGATAGGCGAATAAAGCGCTCGGGTTCATGCTCGGATCTTGCTACGTGCTTGATGAGCTTCATGAGTAAAGTAAACAATGACTGAGGCAGAGAGCAGCTTCAGAGGAGAAACATCCAGCAGTGTGAACAACCTCTTCATATGGAGTGCTTTGGCTCACACTATCAGCGTTTTCTCTGAGTGTTGCATGACTTTGGGTGAGAACAGAGATGAACACACTGTCAGCCACGTATTTATTTATTCATTTTTTAGTTTTTAGTTCTGCTTTTGTACTGGCACTATACTGGGGCAGCTGTATACCCTTTCAACACCTTATTTTCTATATTTACATTTGTATTGAATGGACACTTTGTCATGACTGCCACTTGTTTTACAGAAAGCAAATTATTTGTCATTCTCCAGTGCAGAGCCTCTACTTTTATTTATACAGCCGCTTTATTTCATTTGAGTTTGTTTGTTTAAGGTTTTCAAAATGTGATGAAGGTTCGCAAAACTAAAGGAGAGCTTTCTTGAAAGCCACGTGTTTAAGCTCTCAAATACTTTTTGAATTTTGTTTCTATCTACTACAGAGGCCGAGATAGCAACTTTTTTGTAAACCTTAACACTTCAGAAAACCTCAGGATCTGGGGGCCCTTCTCAAAATGGCCCTCAGGATTGTGTTTTTTTCTATTGAAGGATTTCTGCAATTGAGAAATATATTATTTTTGTTGTTATAATAATAATAATACTACATAGTAATACAAAACTATCTGTTCAAAATTCTATCTCTTTTTGTGTTTGTGTGTATGTGTGTGTGTGTGTGTGTGTGTGTGTGTGTGGGGGGGGGGGGGGGGGGGGGGGGCACTTGGAGAGGTGCTCGCCCGGGGAGTAATTTGGTCTAGAACCGCCACTGTATATGATATTTATCCTTGTATATATTATATGTATTGTTGTATATCATAGTATTAGAGTTCATTCAATAACTTTTGAGTGTGGTTTTGCGCTGTTTTGTGGCTAAACTAATCAACTTTCGGACAAAAGTTGGAAGAAAGATGAGCTGTCAGCAGTTTGTGACTGCAAGGAATAACAGGTGAATAAGAAACCGCTACCAGCTTTCTATTTGCACTGTTTGGATGAACTTTTGGCAATAATATGAACAGTTCCAGCCCATGAGACTGAGTTTGTCAAATAGAGTGGCAATGCCTGACCTAATGGTATTTGAATAGAGCCCAATGAGAATGTTGAGAGTTTATGTTTTGTCCGTGAAAATTGTGTGTGTTTTGAGTGTGTTCTGAAGGCAGGTGAGTCAAGAGGAGTATTGTGAGGGCCTATGCATGTAGACGTGTAAAGTGCTGAAAAGCAAACCAAAAACAATTGCCAGCCAAACGGCCTCAGGCTGGAATCCACATTTCCTGCCTCCGAGAACCGCCGCCATTTTGGATCGTGTGTGCAGTGCAGGTCGGTTGATTGTGCTTGTGTACAACAGCGGGTCTCGAACCTCACGCCTCCTGTCCTGAATCAGCCACTCAAGTATACAAATTTGAACACAATCTGTTGTTTCCAGGTGTGTTTGTGTTCGCCCCATCCCAGCAGAACGTGACCGTAATCTTCCTCTCTGGTGCTGCTGTGGAGGTCTGTGTGCATGAAGGAACCATGGCAGCGACAGTCCTCCTTCCAACAGAGTTTACCAACCAAACCCAGGGTCTCCTTGGCCTGATGAACTCTGACCCTTCAGATGACCTGTTGACCTGGGTGGGAGAGGTCATCCCTCCAGCTGATGTCACCCCAGAGGAAATCTTTACCTTTGGTGGTGGCTGTAAGTGTGTGAGACTTCCAAAGAGCTTCAGTCTGTCACAACAGTTCAGAATCTTTCTGTGTTTATATATAACTTCCATATTTGCGTCCCATTTGGCTTGAATTTGAACAAAAGTCCTTTGAGCACACAGGAAGTAAACAAGTCACTTGTTTGGGGTTGGAACAGCTGTAATAGATTCCAGAGAGATATCAGGGCATGTGACCATCCAGTGCAAGTACAACCTCATCTCTGGAACACAAGTGAGGACCAGGCTGTATACATACAGGGCAGTTAAATCCTTAACTAGGAACAGGTCTTTGTTGCTGAATTTATTTAGGGTTCTTGAAATTGAGGCCTTTACCTGTACTGAGTAGGACAGCTGTTGTCTCAGTCTGTGGGGGACATGAGGGATTTCTTCACCAGTACCTGTGTCTCTATGAAATTAAAAACTTTGCACTCTTAAACATTTTCTTCCTGTGATAGCCACATAAAGTTCTGGTGCATAAAATGTGGTTTTTTTTAATCAGTAAATAAAAAAACTCTTAAGTTTCACATTTTTACTGTTTTGTTGTATTTTGATTAACAGGGAACATCTCAAAGGCATCCTCCCTTTTCACCTATGACTCCAAGTATCTTCTGGATAACTACTATTTCCCACCGAGTCTGGATCCCGCTTTTGTTCCTGCCTTTTCTCTCCCTGAGAGACCTGATGACCCTCTGGTGGCAGATATGTTGATGATGTGCTTTGGAGAGGGGGCAGAGTTCTGTAAATATGACACCCTGACGACTCGGAGCCTTGCAGTGGGAAACGCCACTCTCAGAGTCTACCAGAATTACCAGGCCCGAATGGAAGCCCTGGAGCCAGGTACGGTGGAAATCCCTGACATTTATTTGTTGTTTTTTTACAGCTGCAGACAAAAACATGTTGCTGTATTTGTCTGTTTTGTTTCTGGTGTTGCCTAAGAGTAACAATAGACATTTTTGCTCATTGTATTCTTATAACAGTTTGGTCTGTCTTTATAAAAGAATCGCATGCTTGAAAATTCAATCATCATGTCCTAGAAGAAAGAGCTGGTGAGTGTGTGGCTGTAAAACCCCTGAAATATCGTGCAACTTGGAAGCTTTATGGGGAGAAATGACTGATTTTAAAAGTAGCTTGTGTTCATAAATCTGCTTGTCATATAAAAAAGATTGCTTGTAGTTAAGAAAAGAAAATGGTTCAAGTAGTTTGTTTTTTGTCTTCTGTTTTTCTTTGCATCAGTGTCATCCTGTGGCTGGCTTCCCACCCCCAGGAATGGAGAGAAAAATGGGACACATTACTTGGAGGATGACATGCTAAGCTTTTCCTGTATAGATGGTTACATACTGTACGGTTCAACAGAGCGCACCTGTCTGCATGATGGGACCTGGACAGGAGAGAGACCCCACTGTTTAAGAGGTACGTGACGGAGAATTGTAACCAGCAACAGTGATTGTAGGTCAACTATAACGTGGAGACAGGCTGCTCAGCTCTGAAAATGAGCTCTGACATCGTCTATGCCTGTCGGGTGGTGTTTTCCCCCTGCCGTCCAGATATGTTCAGCTCCGCTTTTCAAAACAACAAGGTGCTGAGTCTCAAGGCCTTATCAGAGAGGCCATAAACCAATACTACGTGCCCCATAAAAAAACAGACTCCAGAGAAGCTCTCCTTGTTGATACAGCAACATATTTTTTGATACTAGAGCTTAAGAAGCAAATGCAATGATTCATGAACTGTGCTGTGCTTGAATGCAGTCTGAAAAGAACAACTGAAGACCAACTTTATATTTATTTTTTTGTGCAAAGACAGATTAGTGTTCAGTCATTTTTCTGTTTTGAGAACCTTCACATGTATGTACACCCCTATGGTGGTGACCGCAAAATGAAGAAAAGCATGAATGTCACCCTGACTTGAGTTTTCCAGAAGTTACCATCTGCATATTTGTACTCTCCTCCTTTTATCCTCTTGTGAAACAGTTTGGCTGAACATACTAGTAAGAGTTCAGTTCCTTACTCACTGAGATGGGTAACTCCTCATGTGTTTTATATTCAGCATGATTGGCAGCATCCTCCAATGAAAACTAAAAGCGACCATGAGAAAGCTCCTTTTCTCATCCTGGCTCTCAGTGAAAGACAGGGTTCAATAGACTCTGCGCTCATGCAGACCATTAGTTGCAAAGCCATAAACTTCTGATCCCGTATTGGCTCGGCTTTCTGTTTATAAATCAGAAGCACCTGGGTCTCTGATGGTCTCTTTCATCATCCCAAAAGTGGGCTCTCAGGTTGTTGATGCAATTACCAGCTGTTGCCCTTGGGTGGCAGTGTTTTCCATTACATTGTTTTTGAATAGTGGTTCATGACGAAGCAATTGTGAGCCTCTTGGATTTTGAAAACCTTAAAAACAAACAGGCCAAAGCTCAGTTATTCATCCATAGAGCAAGATTAGTGGGAAAAGGATCACGAGTTAAATTAATTCTATTAACATTAAAGGTCAAGTTCTATGAAGATTCTTACCCAGGAAGTCCGTTCTGGTCAATCGCTCAATAGTTAATTTTTTTGTCATACTAATCAAACCCAATTCAAGTGTTTTACAGCAACTGATGGATAAAATAAGAAAACAGCAAAACTGATGGTAAAACTAACTTAACACGATAGCATGAAAACATGAGTGCTAAGAAGGTGCGGCAGAATTTACACATTGAAGTTTATTACCGTAAGAACAACAACCTTTCAGGTCTGTGGGGTCTGCCTACATGAACTTAAAAGCATTCAAAGAAACAGAATATGCTAAGTGTCAGTTTATACAGTAAGATTCCTTGTTACTATAGTAACATTAGAGCCTTTTCAAAGTGTCTGTTTCAATAATACATATAATACAACAGGTTGAAACACAGTATGATTCATGTAGGTCATATTTGTGTCATAAACAACAACATTACATACAAAGACAACATGATAGGATGTGACACAATACAATATGGTATGATGAGGTATAATGCAATACTATACAGTACAATATGATGAGATATGATACTTCTGCAGAAGGTGATACACATATTACAATAGAAAGAACAAGGGCAGCAACTAGCCTTTACATCAAAATATGACCATGCTCTTCTATACTCTTGTAACTTGTGATCTACTGGAAGTAGCATACGCCTCTCTTCAAATCAAAAGCACAATTTAAAACAGGAAATGAAGCAAACTAAAGGCAAGAGAGTAAAAAGGTCAAAATAAAAGCATCTCAGACCATTATTTTATTAGGAGATCTCAAGAGAAGTTGCTCTCATGGCACTGTTGATGCTGATAAAACATAACTTTATACGATATTAGACGAGTTGACGCTACATGATATGAAATGCTAAGATACAATGCGATGCAATTCAACACACATATTCTGCCTAATATAATATGCCTTTATAACATTTACGGCAGTGTAAGGAAAGTAGACGTACTGTCCATCACTCACCTTTGACCCTTAACCAGTGAGGAGGAGCTAAAAGAGTCATAGCATATGCTCTTAGGTTTGGGGTGTCATGGGAGTGTGGGGGCCTGGGGGAGCAAAATGAGGCAGCCTCTTAACTTATAATCTAACTCCACATCCATCCCTCCATGTGGCTTCACCCCCATCCTCCATCTTTTCCTTGTTAGAGCTGCAAACAACACTTCCTCTTGATAGTAATCAGGGACGAATAGACTTCGTATGTCAGATTTAGTAACAACCGACTAGGTCACAGCTGGACACAATAGATCCTGACTCCTCCTGCAGGCAAACACATTAGTTCCCTGACTTTTTATCCGGTGCAGGGCTGTTTGGAAATGTTCTTCATTAAGCTTTGTTTGTTATAAATAACCCAGTATACTTCTAATCAGGACTGTTGATCTTTTTTTAATTGCCTTACTTATCTCACTTTATGTGCAGACTCATTTTAACAAACTTTCTTGACAGATATGATGCAACAAGACAGAATCCTTATATAAAGTATGTGACTGTGATAAATATAGTCCCATTGACACATGCATGTCACATTTTCTCACTTGTAAACATGCGTGTATGGATGAACACAGAACCAGAGCAGGACCTATGCACGGTACAAACACAAACCTCGGCAGTTTTATCTATATAACAGAGATCGCACTCGCTCTCACACTCTCATTAGACAAATCAGAGCCAACAACTGTCAACATGACCTGAGGTGAACAGTGGCAGGTGTCACATGAGCTGTTACCTACGCCATTCAAATGTGACCTCTAGCCATGTAAACAACACTAAACACAGAGCGAGCAGGAGACGCCCTGACAGACACCCCCCCCACCCCCCTCTTTATGTGAATCACCACGGCGCAATGGAGGCTCAGCACTCAGAGAACTGTAGTCATTGTTAAGATGAAACGGCATGCCGCCAAACAACAAATGCCACCACATCCAGTTTGACTTCTTCTCTGAGTCACCCTAATGAGCCGCTTTTGAAGTGGTGCCTGTCAGCAGAGGTGAGACTAAGTCCTTCCAGTCAAAAATGAATCTCTGTGTGAATATCTCCCATCAGTGAAGGCCCCACCTATTTGAAATGGATTATAACCTGCTGCCCTACTTGTCAATGTGTGTTTTATCCTCTTTAGACAGGGGTGTGGCGAATTTGGATGATCGATGTCAGTATCTTTGGCTGAAGCGCAGAAATACAGAGTCCTTGAAGTGTGTTTGATCGGAGCAGAAACAGGGCCGTGGCCAGGAGAGGGAGGACTTTAAGGTTATGGAGTTTATTAGCTTGGCTGCTCTTTGTCCCACTCCTCTGAAAAACAAGCTGTGTATCCAGGGCTATTGTTTGCAAACCTATGAAAGGATCACCGCCGTCTTGATGGTTGTGTAAGATTAATAGACTTCCTCATACAAGGAGAAAAAAGTGATTAAAGGAAAGGTGACAGCTGCCAGAGAGGGAAAGAGCTGTTTGTACGGGAAAGTGTGTTGCAAGACCAAGCCTCACTCAATTTTCCAGCAGTGTTTTTTTTTTTTTTCTAAGATGCCCCTGAGAGCGAGGAGTCTAGAAAAATTAAGTTTGCTTAGAAGAGGGAGTTGTTGAAATGCCAACACTTCATTGTCTGCATCTGGCAGTTTCTGTCCTGGGAATGTTTTAATCCACACTCCTTGACAATTTTACGAAAAATCTGTCTTCACAAGTAGCTCCCACTCTTTCAGTCATGATGTTAAACTGCCTGCTTGGTTCTTTTTTATATTTGAGTGAGAGCATTGAAAGAAAACATCCATCTCAGTCCAGCAAAGTTTTTCTTAAAAGTTTAAGCAGCTGATTTGCCCCTCAAAGCATTCTGGGAGATTGAGTTGACTGTTCAACATAAGGGAGGGAAATGTTAGAAATGAAATTTTCGTTCACATGAAGAAAGCCAATCAGGCACAACAGTAAACTAACTAAAGCTGGCATCTTATTCACAGCTTCTGACCAGGAAGGTTATGGAAACAAAGTCCTGATCTAATATCATGATTTATCAGATCTGTGCAGGATCATCTTCAAGAGCCTACAGACTTCTTAAAACTCTTGAAATTGTTAAACCTTCATTCTCTAAAAATACAAAAACTGTTAGAGCTCATGTCAATAAAAGTGCATCAGGGCACAGCTCTCAGGTAAGGTAGCGCACTTTTCTTTCCAAGTTTGATGTCGGCAAGTTATAACACTGCTGGGATTTGCATCTCATTAAAACAGATCTATCTGACTGAAAGTGTGTTTCAACTGATGACTCAGCTGTTTTGAGTCCAAAAAGATGACAAGAAAACAGGCTGTGGCTGTGACTGGTCGTCAAAGTACCTACTGTTACTCCTGACAATCTGTACTTAAATCATAGCTGGACTAATGCTTAGTTAATTCAATGATAAATACATTTAAACCTTCACAATAAAAGTCCCTTATTGATTTGTCATTAAAGTACCTTTATTCTGAAACACCTAATCAGGAGTGGTGAGGACAAAAACTAAGATTCATAGTAGGATCAGTTGTCTACTAGGACAAGAAGTATTTTTCATATAGTTTGAGGTTATTTGTAACTTTGAGGTCTAGAGTGTGCAAATGTTTTAGTCTGACCTCTGCTCATTCTTGCCTCTTCACAGCACTCAGCTATTTTTATGTCTGATCTCTATTTTATTTTTATGAGGGTTGTCTTAAAGTAACATTCTCGTTGGCTGGACCGTATTTACTTCCAAGTAAGTCAAAACATTTTAGGGGGATTGATCAATTACAGTTACACAATGATTTGCCATGACTTGACATTCAGAGGCATACACACCTGGCATAAGGGTTCGAGGACCACAACAAACCCACATCTGCACCTCCAGAGGGAGTTAAATCTTTTGCCGTCATTGAAGTTGAAAAAGCAGGTTCTATTTATTTCTACCTGGCCTGGTAGTTTTTGAGTGTGTCAAGGAAATTTCATGCTGGTTAAGTTTATACATGAAGCGTTTTAATGTCTGGAGTTTACCATTTTACACGTGGTTCAAATTCCGAGAATACTTGCACCCATCACATTAAGTCAGTCAGCCGGGGAGATTCACATATCAGATGACAACAGAAGCTCAGCACTGAAACGCACACACTGTTACCAAGGAGAAGAAAATCAACAGGATTATTTGAAGATGATATCACCATCGTCAAAAAGACTCATCGCTATTTTACATTGATAAGCGTGTGTCTCAGGGGTGTGTGGACGTGTTGAGGTTATGAAAACAGACTTGGATTTCTGATTGGTATCACCTGTTTGTAGTTCCTCCAGGAGAAACACCAGGAGGGAACAATGGTGAGCTAAGGTTTTTTAGAAGTTGAGAGGATTCTTCATACATTTTTGATTTTTATTGTAATTGTCTAGTCCTAAAGTGACTCCTAGCTTTCCTCAGCACCGCTTTAGCAACAAGAACCCATCCACTGAAAGTGCTTATTTTGCCGCTGGCAGGCTGGATTTGTCAATTCGAAGAAGTACTAGAGAGGAAGACCATTTTATAGAGTGGCTAAGAGGCTTTTCTTGTTTTCTTCAAGACAACAGACTGCTACTTTCAACTACACACAAGTTTTTACCTATCACTGCTTCCATTGGTTAGTTTGTTTCTGCTCCCTTGCTCACCTGGCCAAAAGCTATGGTGGCCTTTAAGGACAAAAGGGCCCCGGTGATGCATGAGAAGTATGGCCCTTTTTCGGTTATTTGCCATCGAAGATTTCTTTAAGTGTTGAGAGTGTTTGCATGGAATTGATAAAGCATTAGCTGTTCCCTTATTGGCTAAATGCTATCTCTGGACAGTGGCATTTTCATATAGCACTCCATGTATTTCACAGCTCCCAGAAGTAAACTTAACAAGTGACTGGTTTTGTCGCTCCTTCTACAGAAGACTTAACACTTACAATAAAACACAATACAAGAACTTTGTTGATCTTCAAAGGGAGATTAGTTTGTCTGGAATTCTGAATCTCTCTGTCCTGCATGGAAAAGAGAGGAGCTGTCCACTGTTGTCATTGTTTTTTTTTTAAACAGGATGTTGAGTCTGTCTCCTAGTGATTGTTTCATGGAGAACATCACACAGAACTTCAGCCGTTGCCTTAGGTGGAATGTATACAAGTATTGTTATGATATGACTGAACTCCCTTGGAGCATAAGATGGCCCAAGAGCAACTGCCACCAGTTCAATATTTGGACTTCATATCATGTTTGCCGTGAATATAATAAAAATTGATACGTGGTTGTAATCAACTGATAAAAGACCCTGGAGCTTTCCTTTTTGATCACTGCAAGTGAAGTTCAGGGGTGTAATGATGTAGCTTTTGGGCCTCACCAGAAGCAAAAGAGCGAAAAAATGTGAAGCTTCTTGACTTTCTCTCTTCTATATGCTTCTGCTACATTATACTCCAGGCAACTTGTCATTGATCCCAGTGCTGCTGAATCCAAGGACGTGTGTCGCGTAACTGATTAGTTTCGAAACTTCAGGGAGTATTTGTACACATAGGTATGCGTTTCACCGTGACTCAGCAAGCATATACACCAAATGATGGATTTTGAAGGACTAACACCTGCAGTGCGTACCTGACAAACACAAACCAAACTTGTCATATGTCCCAGACTGACTGTATTGTGTCTGTACCCTTGCCTGCCTTGAAAAGAAAAATGAACCTCCTGGCTGAGCATGCTGTATGAAAGGGAAGTCAAATAGATTAAAAAGGGTCCACTGAACTTGCCAAGGCCTGAGGAAAGTTTCAGATGCTCTTATTTGATCACAATATCTAATCAAGTTCAAACAATGTCAAAGGAGAGCTCTGGGAAAATCTATCAAATGAAGACTTTTTCATTCCACCAAGCAGTTATAATAATTAAAAATTTTGGAGCCAGTGTATTATTTTATTTTGTTTGATCCCCTCTGTAATTATAAAAAACAGAACCATAGCTTTGCTGATATAATGGCAGAACACAATGGGCTTTTGTTAGAAGGCTGTGCTTGACCAGCATTTGAAATAATAAGTTTTGTTCTCCACTGGTGCAAAATAGACTCATAAGCCTGTCTCAGCTGCATTGATTCTGAGAGTGATATTCCTTGTATACCATTACTGGGAGACAGCCATGTTAAATGAAATGTGGATTGGCTCTCTGACTCAGGAGGTTCTTCTTACATTGATGCAAAAATAGGACAGCTGTCCTACTATTCTTACTGGATTGACCCATCGTCCCAATTTGGTTATAAAGTCTCTTTAAGTCTCTTCCAGTACTTAAACTGTAACCATGATATCAAACAGCTGTAAAATCACAGTCATGGACCTACGCTGTGGCTTCATTGTTCATAATCAGCCCTTAATTGTTCCAGCAGGTCTTTGTTCATCAATCCTTCATTAACTAAATAAAGCAGGGTGAGTTCGCATTGTTCTTTACAGCCACACCCTGCAATCTGCTCCACCTGCTCCACCCATCCTTCCCATGGAGCGTCAGTCCATCCTCCACTGTTAGATGCAAAGCTGTTCTTCTAGCCACCTTCATGAATTGACTTTTCCTCTTAAGTTTACCTCATTTTTGCTTTTATCATCAATGGGCCACTACTTGCATTTTGATTCCAAATAACTAGCTGTGGGGAAGGTCAATACTATTTGCTGATAACAGGGTCTAATCCTGTGTTGTGATTTTCACAGATGATAAGGTGGGGTTTGTACTTGGCGCCATTGGTTCCCTCTCAGCACTGGTCACCATGGGAATAATGGTCACTCTGCACACCAGGAAGCAGGAAAGGTAGGTTCAAACAAAACTCATAAAAAAAATAGTTCTTCCACTTATATTGTTTGACATGTCCGTCCGTCCATCCACCCACCACCCATCTGGGATTTGAGGGCTCCGAGCTAAACATGTTGATCAAGCAAGGTTTCCCAGCTCTTCCTGGAGGATTCAGGAAATGTGTGGGTCAGAATGGATCGATAAAAGCTCAAATGTAAAGGGACATTATGAGACAGATCAAGAATAAAAGGATGAAGGGTCCATTGTTTATTAAAACATACAGCTATCATCATGAATAACCAGAGGTGATGTCTGGTTATATGTCTTCATAGTAATATTCCATATCTTAAAAAAGCTATTGAACCTCTGAAACAGGGCCTTGGATTCAGATTTGATATATGGTAAACTTCGAGTCTGTCCTTGGGTGTCCTCTCAGTTGAACATGGCAAGAAAACCTCCACAGGGGGGCACTCAGGGGGCATCATTATCAGAGAGAAGCGAGAGATCTTGACCCTTGAAGTTTGAGCCAAAATACGCTTAGGAGGGGGAATCTTTTCTTGACACTTGTGTCCATGATCTCATCTTTTCTGTTACTACCTAAAGCTTCACACCCACACTCTAGTCTCACCCTGAAGGGCTTTCACTATCACTATAAGGGGCCACATTTTAGGTATGGTATGGTATGGTATGGTATGGTATGGTATGGTATGGTATGGTATGGTACGGTATGGTATGGTATGGTATGGTACGGTACTGTATGGTATAGTATGGTATCTTATTGTATCGTATCTTAATTTATCGTATCCTCTTGTATCGTATCTTATGGTATGGTATGGTATGGTATGGTATGGTATGGTATGGTATGGTATCGTATCATGTATTCTTCAGTAATATATGAAGATAATGTGTTATAAAAATGTCTTTCCTTATAAAGTATGTGTGGGAATAGAAATGAGTTACTCAGACCAATACTGTTTTTGAACCAGCCTGTAAACATGTTTGGTTGAATAAACGTGTATGTGGCGTCCGGTGCTTCTGCAGCCAGTTTCAAGTGTGCACTTGGGTAACTGCAGTTTTTAATACTTCTAATTTCTTTATGAATACGCTCCCATATTAACTACTTAAGTGAATCACAAAAGCCATCAAGTATTTCCTTTCTCCTCACGTCTTCCTGACTTTTGTATTCTAATTTCCTGGTAAGCAGAGAACTTTGATGTCGGTATCTGTCATAGGTATCCACTATCAACACCCATATATCTTCTATGCTGTTTTTCAAATCGATAGATGAGATGTCAGAGAAGGAGGCACTTATTTTGAAAACCAGCGCATAGCTAGAGGTCATCTCCCCCTCCCACTTCCTCCCAACAATCAAAACCTTTTTCCTGTGCCAAGAAGACCAAGAAACACGAAGCAGTGAGTCCCACCTGCAGTCTGAGATATCCTGCAGCCTTTGAGGTTTTACACATAAATCCTCCTTTTTGATCTGATCAAACCAAATAAAACTTTTCACCCTGTGGGATCGTGCTCATGACTCCAGTCCAGAGAAACAAGAGGCTAACTCCTCAACAGCTCCTGGGCGTACACGAGCAAATTAAAGGCTTGTTTTATGGACTCAGATACTTCATCTGGGCTTTCCCCTGCCATAATTCCAGCAAAGGGGGGAAAAAAAGGTTCATGTCAGGAGTCAAGACCCACCTACAACTCCCAGCAGCATTTGGGGCTGGCAGGCGATGAAGCTACTATCTTTTAAGATGTGGGAGCAAGAAGGGAGCACACCTGCCCTTTCTTGAAGCCTTGATCATGGGAGGCCAGGTGTAAAAAGAGATGAAGAGTGTCAGAGGTCTGCAGATGTTGGAGAGGTGAGGTCACACACACACAGCGTTGCCGGTGCACATGCTAACAGAGGAGACCCAGGTCACACAGAGCCAGGAAACATAGCGTGCACACAGTAGCTCCAAGAATCAAACTTATGCATACCTTGAGTTTTAGTGGTCACACACACACACACACACACACACACACACACACACACACACACACACACACACACACACACACACACACACACACACACACACACACACACACACACAGTCCCTTACCAACAAGCACAGACACATTGATTTCTTCCAACATCAGACACACAGCAGGATGGGAGTACCAGGGGTCGTGCTGTATTTCACATCATGTTTAGATTGCGTGTCTGGAGGAAAGAAGCTGTCATACTATACGACTCTGAGTGTCTGCGTGTCTGACTACGTGTTTGTGTGCGACAGGTAGATCGCAAAGGCCTCCTGTGCTTCAGTTCCCCTTGTTTGGGACTCAGACCTGCTCGGGTACTTTCCACATCTAGGGTTACCCAGCAGGTTACAACAGGTCCGCTGGCAGCTCACCACAGGAGCTAGAAAGTCGTTACACCATAAGAAGAGTGTATTTGTGTGTGTACCATCATCTCTGCTCCACTTCTGCTATATGACACATCAAAAAGGGTGGAGGGGGGCTTTGTCTGAACCTGGCTGGGGGCTCAAAATTATTTGAAGGAGGGAGAGGGGAAGCGCTTCAGCAAAGCGAGATGAAACAAATGTTAAGACCTTCTGGTGTTTTGCTCTTCTCTATTATATCAGATTAAAACATCAGAAATGCAGGAAATCACGACTTTTTTAACACACTTTGGAGCTGATATCAAACACAGCAGTTGATGAGTTATCTCAGCCTCTTGGTCTATCTCTGTCAGATCTTCTTCTGGGGGCAGTGGTCATCTTTTCAGGACTTTAAGCGTAGTCAGTGGACAGTGACAAAGGACTTTCCGTCAAGGCGTTCTTTGACATACTCTGCCTTTGTTTACAGCTCAATAAACAACTTGCCAGCTGATTTCGCAAGTGAACATCTCATCGAAGATGTTAAATGAAACTTAAACCATGAATGTGGCTAAGGATTGGGGGTTAAAATCAACAGCATTCGATACGATACAATACCATACCATGTTGCACTGAAACCAAACAGCTCCAGTCTGAAATGATCTTTTCATTGGCTGATAAGCTGCACAGAATAAAGAAAATGGAATAAGAAGTTTTATTCTGAAAAACAGTAGGAAGGCTTGGTTTAACTGCTCTTTAACTGCCATGTCCTCGTTCTGAAAGCGCCCTTAATGGGTGAATGAGTTTAATAAAGCTCCATTAATAAGAGCAATAAAGTTTAGAGTGGTCCCTGCCCTGATGCAAGGTCATCGAACAATGTTTCTACGACCAGTTTGGATGAAGCCAATGTTTCCTATTACTTCACTCACACTGCTCTCATCCAGCAGAGGCACACACAGTCTGAGTGTGTGCTGAAAGAACTAGACGTTCATTAGTAGTAGTGGTTTTGTAAAATAGTGTTTTTTTTTGTGGTTTTAGTTGGTTATTCTTTAAATCACAAGTTGTTTTAATCACTTAGTATGTTTACATGCACAGCTAAGTTGAGCTAAAATCGACGTCGCTCAATTAGGTGATTTAATTGGACTTCAGTCCTTTTCACAATTAACACACACCAGGCAAGAATCTAACCATTGACAGAACCATGTCTGCCTCCGCTACAGTAGGTGGAGTCATGCCCCCTTTTCAGCCCTTCTCCTGGTTGACGTACTACATCTCGAACCAAAACAATCGACAAACATGTTAGCCAGAGGGTTATTTGTCGAATGATATAAACATGAACAACTTTGCAGTTCTGTACTTCTTGTTTATATGAAGAAGCAGCGTTTGTCTTTTATATGTATAGAGGTTTTGTTTAATGATGCACTTAAGCTGTTGAAGTCCTGTAGCGTGTGCAGAACGCTGAGGCTAGTTTCAGTCCATCTGAGAAATCCTATCCTGAGCTGCTTTATTCAAATACGTTAGTCCACCTATAAGAAGTTTGATTTAGTGCAGTTTCAGTCAGACTAATATGTTTATGTTTGCCTAAAAAGTCCAGTTTCAGTCAAAACAACACAATAAATTGATTTTTTGAGCAATATGTAAGCACACTGACTCTTTTTCTGTTTGTTTGTTTTTTCAGGGAGAAACACAAGAAATTGGATCAGAAAGAAACCCAAGAACACACCTGCTAAACAGAGTTTTCTGGAATGATGGATCACACCAACGTCACACCAAACCCTCTAACTGTGTTCAAGGACAGCAAACAATTAATAAAAAGCATAGCATTTAGAATTCACATGCTGATGGTCATCTTTTGACCTGTCGACCTGATCAGGAGAACCTCAGGCACACACACTGAGCCTTCAGCGGGTTGTTGGGCCTCGTGTTTCTCCTCTTGTTTAGTTTGGAGAACCTCCAGGCTGTGGCGAATGGTGCACGGGTTGCAGATTGAGAGCATTGAAGTTGAAACAAAAATGCCATGGTTGTTTTTGTATTCCTGTTTTGCATGACTGATTGTCCTATCTCCGCTAGAGAGAGGATTGTATAAATACTACATAGAGATATCATCATCACAATCAACACTCCCTTCTCCTGTGCTGTTGAAAATGGGAGCAGATGTGTTCATGTCGGGCGGGAAGTGAACCTGATCATTTTTTGGTTGAAAGACTTTGAACTCATGTTCAGCATTTGTGTGGGCTCACAGCTTTCAGTCAGACAAAGAGTTTTGTTGAGAGACTGAGCGAGAAAAAAAACACAAATGTTACATAGAGGTCATCTCTTTGCACTATATCAACACTTACCTTCTTTTCACATATCTGTAAGTGAAGACACCAACTGATTGAATAAATCTCTAAATGTTGCCTTTTGAGATTAATGAGGGGATCAAAATTAAAAATGAAGGCTCATCCTCTTTTCTGTGAAGCAGATGTTTGTCGTCTCACACAGCCCCATGCCCCATCAGACAGACCATCATCTCATATTACCCCGGCGGTCTTCCCCTCTGTGAACCTGACTCTCCTCTTCTTCTCAAAAACAAAGTCCCTTGGGGGGTAGAGGAAACAGTATGACAGGGTCCTGTGCGGCTGATCCCTGGGAGTGATAGGAGGGGGTCCAGCTGTGGAAGAAGAAGGGTTCTTGTTTGGAGACTAATTGAAATAACCTGGTGTGCTGGACACGGCAGGCTTTGAAGTTTCACTGCAGCATGTGAACACAGTTTTCTGCTGTTGTGCAATATTCGGTCTCTTACAGGCTCCTTCTGACTGGTTGTTGTTGCTGCTCAGTCGAGCCTGGGGGATTCTTGGGGCTCTATTGTTTTTGTATATACTACATGTGTCTGTATGATCTGCTGGCAGCAACCCCCAGTACTGAAAACTGAAGGGGTGCTGAAATACTGAAGTGTTCAGTTCAGACTGGCTTCAAACAGCAAGCCAGTCTGAACTGAACACAGTAGCCAAACTTATGCCGTCTATTTTGACTGTAGTATTAAACACGTGTACAACACGAGCATAAAGATAGGAGTGTATGAGTTGGGGTCACTTATAGGTGTACTAGCCACAGTGGATGCAAGTCAGCTCGGTCCTAGGTGTGTTGCAGTTCTCAGCAGACCAGGCTGAGTCTGCCTTTTCACTGTACCAACACATTTTCAGTACTTGACGTTGCCTTCAGAAAAACCATTTGATATTGCACTATTATGGACATAACACACTGATGTACTTTTAAATACTCGGTGGATGCAAGTTTGTTATTCCACCTAGCAGAATGTATTCTAATGAGGTAACCTGTGGACCTCAGATTGTGTCCTTAAGCAATAAAAACCAATGCATCCTGTTTCCACTGGCGATTTCTCAGTGAAGGGCAAAGCTGACCAACGTCCATTGCGGCTTGTACACTCAGTCGTGACATGTAACTCATTTACTAACTTTGAAAATACTGAACTGTCTCTTTAAAGTCTGCCAGTCCATGAGTTTAGAGTTTGGTCTTATGTATTTGCCCTTTTTTAGACTGTTCCAAAGTTTGAGTTCGGTTGATAATGCCAATTCTTTACAGACCACTGGGTGGCGTCACTAAAATTATATTCACAATTGATGTACTCTGTGATGAATTGTTGTTGTTATACTGTTGCTCTCAAACGAAGTAACGCTATACCTTGTTATTTGTTTGCTCACATATTATAAGACTGACTAATTAGATTTTGGAAAAAAAGAAAAAAGAAGAAGCGAATAGGTGTTCAAATAGCTACACAAAGCGAAGCCAGCCGATGAGACTGTGCCAGGAAGTGTAGGACCCGAGCCTATCTGACCAGCCGAGTGGGTGTGGTACTCACACTGGCCCAGCTAGTGTGAGACAAGAAGATAAACAATGCCTCTGGGATAGGGAAATTATAACCGGGCAAAACCGCTCACGCTGAGTCCAAGCTTTGACTGCTATAAACCCAATACATGTGCACTTAAAATTCAGGTCCGGCTGAGTTGACTGCAGTCTGTTGCTGTTGGTGATGCTACAGGGCTACTATCCTCCTCTTCCACAGCTACACGCCAAGGTAAGCCCAGCAAGAATTATGAGTAAGATAAAAGCTATTTTGCTAACTAACTGAGTTAAAGGTATATTCCAGTGTAAAATTAACCTAGGGTCAAACACACCGTAACACTGAGTTAGACACCCCATCGAGAGATGAGTGTTGCCAACCACTTGCTTCTCTAGTTATACCAACTTTAGTAACAATTGCAGATAGCAATACAGAGAGCCACGCGCTCAACCAAAAAGCCACTCTATAGCCACAAATAATGCTCAGAACAGCACCTAACTTCATCAACAATATATATAGGGTACTAGCCACAGTACAAGCCATCAAACATCTTTTTAACTTTGCCTGGTTTCTTTAGCGAAGAGACCAAACACAACTCACCCACTCTCCTCCAGCAGCCGCTTGTTTGTTCAGAGACCTCTGGACGAGTCCATCGACTGCTGTGGCGTCATGCAGCTTAAGGAAGAAATTTATGATCATTAATTTTTCATTTCATTTAAGTAATAATCACCATATTAATCATTTTGCACTGCAGACGCGGGAGTTCTTCTGCCCTAGCATCTTGGTCTGATTGCATTTCCATGTGAAAATGATCATAAATGTTCTTCTTTGAGCTGTGTCCCCTGATTTGAAGCCGAAAAGCATTCTGTTTTTCTGCGATTTTTCTCCATTTCCTGAAAACAACATCACAAAGTAGCGTTGTACAAACTCCACCACTTGAGCAGAAGCATTGTACGCATTCAGCGGTGGAGATGCCGAGAGTCGCTGTGATGACGCTCTGCTCAAACAGTGTATCCTCTGGGTGAGCTTTGCAATCTTCGTACGCACATAGGCTGTATTAAGTGTAAATTAAAGAAAACATGAACCCCCTAATAACTTTGAAAAATGGAGCTGTACAGAAAAAAAGAGGACTTGAGCACAAACCAGTCTTACAGTAACTACATGTCAACATTGCAAACAGCGGAGAGAAAAATTTATATTCTGTGTAATAAATTTGTAAAGCTTGTCCACAGCTCCATACAGATTGCTGGTGGAGGAGGGATTTATGACCTATACTGCAACCTGTCACCAGAGTGTGCCTTTTCCAGGTGGCTGCACCCAGCAAGGAGGCAGACGGCATCCATTCTATATACAGTCCATGGTTCAAATGTCATGCCCAGAAAGAAAAAAAAACCCTGCGTGATTACAGTTATTCTGAGTATTTATACAGGAACATAAAGAAGTTAGACATGTTATGGATTGAGATACATTTAGTGTAGCAATAAGAGCAATGCCAGTTCTTTGAAAACGCTATTATCAAGGCTTTCCTCCAAATAGCAGAAAAGACTTACTAGCAGTATCAACAAGGACTCCAAGCATTAAGGAATCTTGACATGGGTATCAAATCAGTATCAGATAAAAATTAACCACCCATCCAACCATTTCTCTCTGTGTCTGTGCTTGCTTATGTTGGATTCATTTCTGGTCTCTTAAAATAACAGAAGCTGCAGGGTCTCCTTTTTTCATTGCAAGGTGTCTTAGGGCTATTTTTGTTGTGAGTTGGCCCTGTTTAAGCCCAAACCGACTAATTGTTTGATGAACATGAAAACAATGCAGGAACAAATGCATCCAGAAATAAAGAAGGGCCCCACACCCCAGAAAAGCAGGAACCTTCCTCTGATTTTCCATTTTGGGTCATTTCACAGCATCAGTAATTTTACTCACTCACTGTAAAATCTTTTAACTGGGTGCAAGTTTGCCTGCTTTCATGTGTCAGTCAGGACTACGAGCAGAGGCGGCGTAGTAAGCTGCTGTGTCTGTTTGCAGAGTCTGATGCTGATTAATTGCATCTGGATAAAAGTGGAGGGTTTTCATCTCCGTGGAGGCCTGTTCTAACCCTGAATGTTTATGCTCGCTTATCATCCTAACAGCCCGTCGTAATTAGTTCAATCAAATACAAACACGAGTAAATGCTAATGTGCTCAGTGGAAGCCTGTTGCTTTCACGTGGGACTTTTCCCCGCTCCTCAGATCTGCTCTACAGTCCTGGATTAGAATAAAAAGACTTCTGAAGTGGCTTTTGGATGAGGCTTTTGTTTTTTCTTTTTCTTTGTTTCATGTCGACTCCAGCTTTGCAGGTGTGCTTTGTCCCTAACCTCTTAATACCTCATGCTTGAGCAGCGTCTTCTGATGTTAACTCTAATTTTAAGGCGTAGGTTGAAACAAAGCAAGATTTCAGGATTAAGAGGGTTGCCCAAACATGGAGTTTTATGTCAGAGTTTGTCACTGGCTGCGTAAACGCTTAACCATAGAGAAGAGATTTTAGCCGTGTCAGCAAGTCTAAGATCAAACACAAACTCTTTTTTTCCGTTTACCATCAAAGAAAAAGTCAAAATTGAGCCATGGACTCATAAAAATTCTTTTGACTGATTGTACAGTCAAAATAAAATACAACAGAGACGATGACAGTTTTGCATTTATATCAACGCAAACGGATGGACGTGCAGATTTCTCCTCTATTCTTACCTTGAAAACGATTCTCCCTCTTCAGTCACAGATGTAGGGCCTGTGTCCACTGAGAGTGTTTTTTTGTGCTAGCAGAACCCACAATCTCGACTTCAGAGCGGTTCTCACTTGCAATTTCTTTGTCTGCTGGGGTTTTGTTTCCTACTGCTTCTTAGCAGCACATCCATGTTGTCCAACCACTGGCTTAGAGACCAACAGGCGAACCTTGGAGCATGAGCAGAACGTTTAGGCCAGTTTCAATTCATTTAAGCCGTAAACATGACAGACAACATCAATCTCCAGCTGCAGTATCAAGTGATGTTTGTATAACTATGAGAAGTTTCATTTCAGTCAGACTGACGTGTATATGAATTTTAAAAGCCCAGTTTCAGTCAAACTATTGCAATAAATCGTTTTTTTTTTTGAGCGTATGAAAACGCACTGACTCCCACTAGTGGAAACAGGCCCTAATTTGCCCCGTCCAGTGTCACTCCTGTGGATTCCCAGTGATTGCTTTATTTCAAAATCATTAACTAATCCCATATACTGTCAGTGAATTTCCCCAAACTTTTCCTGAACATCTCTGGTTAAATTGTCACAACAACTTTATGTAGGGACTGGCAGGAACATTTTCAGGTACATTCAGGGTGAAAATTTCAATCGTTTGTGTTCACAAACTCCACCCTGAAAGTTTCTGTAAGTTTCCAGGATATTTTGTGCTAACATTTTTTAGTCTCTCTTTAATCAAGCTTCGTAACTTGTGTGTTTTAAACAACTTCAGTCTTTGCTTGTTGACCTTTTTTCCGGTCACCTGTGATTTGCAGCAGTGCGTCTCTTCTGATGATCCTCAAACTGAATTTACTTGGATCTAAAGCAGTATGACCAGTTTTTCAGAGCTGTAGCCACTCCAGAACTGCTCTTAAGTGGACTCTAGACACAAACTGCTCCTGACGTTAACACTCAGTTTAAGTTTACCCCTCACAGACCAGCTACCAGTGTTTCCTGTCTCCGTCATCAACATCTGAGGCTGAACTTCATCCCTCGAGGCGGTGTAATCCACTCAGCAACCAGTGGCCCTTAGGACCCGCAGCTCGTTTTTCACTGGAGTCAGATCTTTTTATAAAGGAGCACGTCATTCTCCCAGGCCACAGAAAAGGCAGATACTTCACTTTACTACACCACAGATGAGCGTAGCAGAGCAAAACAGACCCAGCGCGCCCAATCCACCCCTACAGATGTTCGTCTCAGCCCATGCCCAACACAGGAAGCCATTAAAGAGTAAATCAATCAGTCGGCTCTGCGGAAACCAAGGAGACAAACCTCGTGGAAAGCTTGTGGAGGGGCAGATTGCCAGGGGAGTGAGATGCTCTACGCAGCTTGTACCAAATATAAATTCATTGCAGGCTCTTGGAAACTTGTGTGTTCATAAACACCAGAAAAGGGTGGAAGTGATTTCCCCGATTCGGTCTGATTCAGATGCAAAGCAGTGGAGGGCACCGACAAAAGAGAAGTGAGAGGAGAGAATAAATAAGCAATTGTTAGCGTTTGCCTTTTATTTCCCCGGAGGCCAAATATTTTCAAAGCTCAATCTCATCCTGAGAAATCATTTTAGTGGCGATAATCCTCAAACAACATTCCCCCTCTCTTATTCCTCAGCTGCAAAGAATACAAACCATTTTCAAAAGCTTTCATGCATGGATCAACTGTTTTCATGAATAAAGATGTGCATCGTTGCACTTCTTTGCAGCGTGCAGAGATGAAGTTTCGCTCTTTCCTGGTTGTTTGTTTCCCTTTGAAGAAGTTAAGTTCTTACAGACACAGCTCCACTGCTCCTCTTATCACTTTCTACTCCAGCTGACCGCAATCTGCAGCCATTCTGATTCACTTTTATCTGCTATGTTCAGATCTCATTTACATTCACGTATTTCATTGCTTGTGTGGTCTTTTATTCTATCTGTACACATTCGTCTTTTCTTGCATCTGAAAATTTTGAAGTGTTTTTCCTCAGATCTTTAATTTATTCTCTAGTCACTGCCAGACACGAACAATTATGGCGTCTTTCCAAGGGAGACGCTTCAATCGCTAGGTTTAATCTGTCAAAGGATAACTTTATCCCTAATATACCTTATGTCTCAGTATGTAAAGCTGAGTGACTCAAGATTTATGATAGCACCTGTCTGTTAGCACAAGTAAACTGTTCCAGCAGGCTCGGGAATTCCCATCAAATCCAGCTCCAGAATCCCCCAGATCTTCAAGAACTTTGTTCTTACCATCAGAGATAAAGCTTTGCAATCCTCCCCAACCATTATGCTTAATGATCTGCTTAACCAGCAGCGTTACGCCAAAGCTCCTTCCAAGAAGAAAGACGACTTCAAACGGGACATTTTCTTCAGAGCTGGGTTTGTGTTTTCCCTCTTTATCTCCTTATCAGGCAATGTGGAGCTTGTCTGATGAACAGATATGACACAGAAGTATCTAAATCTCTGCGCTGTGTACGTGGAGTTTCATAGAAGGCTTTGTTTGTGTTGGTCTGTGTGTGTGTGTTTTTGTGTGGGTGTACATACAGTCTGAGGGCCTGTTTGTTGTAGTACACAGACACCACCCGTGTTCAGTGTATATGTCTCTTAGATTAAACCGAATCAGCTGAAATGATCCCAGGCCCGCCTTTGTCTGATCTTACACAGTTTCTGACAACAAAGCTTTATTTCAAATCATGTTTGTATTCAGTGACTGAAACAGGAATGATTTTCCTCCATTAATGAACTTGAGATAGATCTGTTGTTAACTTCCTCTGTTTACACCGAAGTCAAGACTTCAGTCTATAGCCCGTTAGAGGGGTTGATCCAGCTCTTCGTCAGGGCACATCTCATTGGTAGGAGACCACGGGGAAGACCCAGGACCTACTGGAAAGATTATGTCTTTCAGCTGACTTGGGGATACCTCAGGGTGCGCCGGGAAGAACTGGATGAAGTGACTGGGGAGAGGGAAGTCTGGGCTTCCCTGCATAGGCTGCTGCCCCTGTGACCCCACTCTGGATGAGCATAGAAGATGGGTGGATGGATGAAATATTAGCACAAAACTACAGAAAACCAAAACTCATCATTTGCAAACAATATTCTTAATTTGAATTCACAAGATTGTAACTACAACTTGTGGGTGCACAAATATTATACTGCACACACCAATCTGAAAAGAAAAGAAAAGACAACGATGTTTAGTTGCTGTCCACAAACTGAGATCAAACCAAGAGTTTAGATGAGGGCTACAGTCCCCGTTATGGTTTTTACTTTTCTTCAGATCTGGTGCTTCTGAGAGTAAATCACGTCATCCTGCTTTATTACTTTTATTACAAGTGCCTGAGATGACAAACTTTGTTGTTTTTCTACATTTTTTTCCCCTTAAAGACTCAAAGTTTTATAGCTGGTCCACAGTCACAGATCCCAGGGGCAGTGAGGTATTAAATATTGTTGAAGCTGACTTGCTTGTGTCACATCGTAGTGTTTCCTCTGCGTGTCTCTGCATAGACTTCTCTCTATGACTCTGCAGTACACATCACAGGGGCATTAGAGGTCCTTTATTATTTTCCTTGTCTTATTATGGATTCTCAGCGCTCTGTTTCATTTGTTGTCTCCTCCTCTGTATGTCTGAACCCTCAAGGTCAAAGATCTCATAGGTATTCATAGCGGCGTCTCCCCTCCGCCCGCTGCTGATTAAGCAGGCAGAGCAGCCGCGGCATCATCAGGTTCAATTTCTGGTTCATTTCAACTGCTGTGAGGAGCTTTTAACCGATTATGACACAGTCTGAGTTTAATAAAGAGGCCTCTGTGTGACCTGGAAAAGCAACTCGAACCAGGTCTTTGAAACTTGCTTCTTTTTTGTGTTGACTTTTGTGTAGCTTCTTTCTCTATCCAGCCACGGAAGTGCTGGCATTGTTAGTTTTGTCTTTCAGAGCATAATTCAAGCTTGACATCTATGTCCACCTTGTTTTTCCAACTAGCTTTAAATCTGTATTTCCAGTTCTGAATTCCACATGTAACAAACTGTGAAGCACTTCTATCAGAGCGAGCATTAACTTCTTCAGTGCTGAGAGCTCCAGTAGCTCTTCTGTTGGATCGGATCACATGGGCTACCCTTCACTCTACATGTGCATCAGTGGCTCTTGGACACTCTGGACTCTGTCTTCGCTCTCTTGGACCACTTTTAGTAAGTAAAGACCTCTGTGGACTGGCAACACCCTTCAAGAGCTGCATTCTTGGGACGATCTGACCCAGCTGTCTTACTGTCCTGGTTTGGTTCTTGTCACAGATGTCTGGGTCCAGGCCCAGCCCCTTATGTCCTTGAGTTCAATTAATTATTAACCCAAAGAGGCACAACCTCCCATGTTGAACTGGATTTACAAGTCATGAAAGTGTCTGATCATCTCTGAGGGAGCTGGTTCAAGCTAGCTAACAGGCAGCTGGCTGCTGCCTCTTCGTCTCTCCTTTGCTTTACCCCATGTGGCAACCAGGGCAAAGGACCTCAGCTGTGAACTCATGGTATTTCTGTTTCCTTATTTTATGCACAGTACCAGTATTTATTGGTTAATAGACACAGTTGTCATCAATACTGGTATATTGTGTCCCTAATCCAAAGTTGATTATTACCATGAAAGGTTCTTCTGATTAAGATCTCAAACATGTCAGGAGCATAGACTGTATATACTATTGACAACTTGGCTCCACCTTCCATCATTATACGGCGGGAGAGTCACTGTGATGACGCTCGGCTCAAACAGTGTATCCCCCCGGTTGAGCTACGCAATCTTCGCACACCCATAGGTGGTAGTGAGTGTCAATCATAGAAAACATGAACCCCCTAATAACTTTGAAAAATGGAGCTGTACAGAAAAAAGAGGACTTGAGCACAAACCAGTCTTACTGTAACTACATGTCAACATCACAACCAGGGGGGAGAAAAATTTATATTCTGTGTAATTCATTTCTAAAGTTTGTCCACAGCTCCATAAGGATTGCTGGAGAAGGCAGGATCTATGATCTATACTGCAGCCTGTCACCAGAGGGTGCTGTTCTCGGGGTGGCTTCACCTAGCGAGGAGGCAGCTGAC